TTCCTGTTCAGTCTTGCCAATTAAACACCGTGTTTTAGCGGCGTTAAACAGTTTGACAAATAATAAGTAGACTCAGTGTATATCCTGTAGAATACGAACTTGACTCGGTGTTCAATGCTCAAAAAATCCTCTTGTCACGCTATTTTTCTAATTTTGAATTATTTTTCACTAAATTTGTTTATTACCCTCAGTATGCGCGATGCACCAGCTGAAATATTATTTGATGTTTTCGTTAAACCCTTGCTTGTCTAATACAGCCAAAAAATTGGAAGAAAATGAACAAAAAGGAGCAAGACAAATGGATGGCTGAGAGAATAGAACAATGGCGAGCTGAAGTAGAGGCTGAAAAGTTAGTTTTCCTTTTCTTAAGGTGAACTCACGCCGCAAAGTAACACTCACCAGTGCGACGCGTGCGTAATTCTATGCAACAACTAACGCGGGTTATTTACAACGCGTTAGTGAATGTTACGCATGTGCTGCCTTATGATGCTCAATTAAAAATAATTGGTAAATAACAATTGTGCTAAATAACAATTACGCGTTGTTGGGGCACTTATACATGTGATCATATGACAACAGTGCTCTTATCGTAAGTCATCAAAACAATACGAACTATTTGAATTGGAAATTTTATAATTCTCCTATTTAAAAATAACACAGTCATCAACTATTTTCGTTCGTAGAATCTGTAATGCTCAGGCCACACAGAGGCGGCCGCTGAAGCGTTCCAGGCGCGGGAGTTTTTGTAATGTACGAGGTTACATGAACTGTATGGCCAGAGCATTAAGCTCTCTCCAAAAAAGTTGTCATTTCGCATATCGTCGGGGGTAGTGCAATTTTCAAGTTAATTAAGTCGCTAAACCAAATCCGCGTGTATGTCGTGGCAACTAAATTCACGTGATTTACGGGAAACTATCGTTATCAGTCCGTAGACAACATAAATTAATGCTTACTGTCAAAAATCGAAAGTCGTAGCCATTGAAATAACAAAGTGTGAAATCCATCTCCTATAAAATTTGGTTTGGTGCAGATATGCAGCGTGCACAAGTATGCGTCCACCTTTATTTATCCTTCCTTGCTTTCTATCCCTGTACCCGCCCGTTACTACTGTCCGTACATACCGTGTCTATGAATACAAAACACTTGTTAAAAACAAAATTAATTAATTATTTAGTCCAGTGCGGCGTACCTATATCTGTTTTATAAGTAAAAAAGAAAAAACGGACTCAAAATGAGTAAAAGAGAACGAGAGGCCATGATGGCTGAAAGGATGGAGGCTTTGAAGGCAGAAAGAGAAGCTGAAATGTAAGTTTTATTAGACCAATTGGATGACTTTATTGGGATAATAGAGATCCGCGATGCTAGTATAAAAATATCGATACGTAAGTACAACATTTACAGTACTACCGCTTAACAGAGTCGGCTTCTGAGGTAGCTGCGCGGTGCGGGAGGAGTGACAGTTTACGTAACAGCTTTGTCACACACGAGATAATTTCAACAAGATTTTTTTGACGATATTCAATAGCAAGTTGATTGAAAAAAATGCCTATCAAATTAATCAATAGTTGTTATGCGAGACGTTCAATTAAAAAAACTATTTCATTGATAATTGAAACTAATAGACAAGGCATTTGACACTTTTTAAACCAAATTGAATATCGTCATTTTGAGTTCTTAGGTTTTCGCGATTGTTATACATAGGAATGAAACTATTTTTCCGGATTTAAATCGCGTATATTTGTTTTTTCAAACAAAACGTCGGTTTGTTTGAAAAAACAAATATACGCGATTTAAATCCGGAAAAATAGTTTCATTCCTATCGTCATTTTGTTGAACTTATCACGTGTGCAGCGCGACATAACTGTAACTCCCGCCCCGCGCAGCTGCCACCAAAACCGACCGTTAGCAGTTATGCAGCTAACAGATTGACTGCATGGATCGTAAAAAGAGTGTTGCACTGTTGTTATTGATAAGAAAATATAGGGAAAAAAAACAAAGAAGATTAACATCGCAGAAATGCGATACGGAGTCATTCGCAAATACTTGCGATCCGTCGTGCGAGCTCGCAGATTTCAGAAGTTTTGTGTTTCGACTAGAGTTGCAACGAATATTCGATTACTATTCGGTTTTCGGCTTGTTCGGCCTATTTTTTGCTATTCAGCCGAATACCGAACCTTAAAAAAGGAGGAAGAAATAAGGAAATAATACAGCAAATTATCACAAATAGTAACTTCTATGAGATCAAAAAAAGGTAATAAATGAACACTACCTATGATTTAAAAAAAAACGCTAACAAAATCAACCTAGTGCTTATTATTTGCAAATGAAAATAAAATTAAGTTTTTGAAATTTAATCAAACTAAAATGAAATAAACAATTACTTTCTTCGTTAAGATGTCTAAATTTGAATTATAAATTTGAAAATAAAATTTTTGAAAACAAAATTTAAAAAAAAATTTGAAAAAAATTAAATTAAATTAAAAAGAAAGTAAATTGAATTTTTGTTTCTTTTTACAAAACTATGCATCATTACTGGTTTAATTTAATATTTATATATATTCATCAGTCAACCGTGACCATGAGACCTGTAAGGAGCCCGAAACGTCGGTTTATGTGAAAAAACAAATATACGCGATTTAAAATCCGGAAAAATAGTTTCATTTCCTATGTGTGTATGGCTATCTTTACTATAATGCAGTTTGCGCGCCAATTTTCGTAAGATCATTAATCAGGCCGAATAGTTTAGCCGAATATTCGATATTCGGCCTGAAAGCGAAATACTATTCCTTGCAACACTAGTTTCCACCCTTAGTACAACTAAAATAATAATGAGACAACCCTACGCTCCAAACAAAGTGTAAATATTGATGCGCTGAACCGGGTGGGAGTTGCCCTACTTGTATTACACTATGGTAATACCATAGGCCAATAAATGACTTAATATGACTGCTAATCGAGATACAAGATGGCGTAGTCGGGTATTTAGTATTTATTGGTACACCAGATGTGGCCACTTGTACCAAATAGCTATTATATAAAGTAATTTGTTTTACATTGACGAGTTGCAATTCACCTCATCCGTAGAACAAAGACCCATATGCAAGGCTACTTATTCTCAGAACATTGTAAATTTCGTTCGCTGTTCTTGGGAGTCGATATCATATTGACGGGTGATCGTTTTTACTTTCTGAAATAAAATAATACGTAAATCACCTCTCCTCCCTATCTCAAAGATTGTTTCGTTTTTCATAGTACTACTCTCAGTCGCGCCTTACGGTCTTCTCTCACTCTTTCTTTAAACTGCCCTATCCATTCTTCTAACTTCTATTCCAACTCCTTCAAGGTTAGAAGCATCAAGCTGTGGAATTCTCTGTCTGAATCGATCAGATGCGCTAAGTCTGTTGAGTCTTTCAAAACTCTACTCAAAGCTCATTATCTTACACTCTAATTATTATTATTTTCTCCTATTCTTACCTGTGTTATATCTTCTGTGTTGTCATTATTATGTTCTATATAATCCTACTTTCAAAGGTTTGTGCAATCATATGTATTTTTTTTGTTATTTATTTATTTTATTTGTTTAAGTATGTTATTTACTTATTTTACTATTATTTTTTATTTCTGTTTTAGACTATTTTTATGCGCCCTCAATTGATTATTGTCTCATAATTTCCTGTAATCCGAAGGTTGCTTGGAAGAGATTGCTATATAGCAATAAGGCCGCCTGTTGTACCTGTCTTTTTATTTTTTGTATTGTTTTGTATTTGTCCCAGTGTGCAATAAAGAATGTTTGTATTGTACTGTATAAAATTCTGAAAACACTTGTATCTATAGGTCTTATTTTGAATAACGATATTACGTATTTATCCTCTTTTCGTTGTATGATCACATCGGACTCTGTTCTTCGGATGAGTCGAATTTATCAAAACTTCTCTAATTTCTAGTGATAGTGATAACAAACAAATCAACTAGATGGCGCTTATTGCATACATTTTTATGCAAACTGCTGGCTATTTTTTTATTTTCATAAGGATTAACGCCATCTGCCATCATCGTTTAAATTAATTTGTAACATACAATGCCTTCTGTTGACACGCATATTTGCTAAAGATCAGGAGAAAATTTTAGCAAAAAGCAACAGACTACTTATATTTGGTATTAAAGAGGAATTTATGGATATCCACTGCCATTTAAATAATATCAACTACTTCCAGGTTAGATCAGCGCCATCTAGACATAAGACGAGATTTCGACCTTTTTCGTAGTTACAATCTGTAGTATGGAGACTAGCAGTCGTCTTGAGTTGTTGGCACATGGTAATACCCAAGATTGACAAGGAAGCTCTTATCATACATCTGTCTCTTTCGTTCAGGCAAGCCAGGCTGGCGGGCGCAAAGGAGAAAAGAGCGGCCTTAGCTCGGGCACGCGCCGAGCTAATGGCACAGGACTTGGAGGAGCAGGACATCCGGAGGGATATCTTGGACAAGACATGTGTCCTATTTGAGAGTAAGAATAATAATATAATTACCCACAGACTGAACATGGGAACATTGACGAAACTCGAAAGAGTATAAATTGCCTCGTCTAATGACCATGGCATAACATTAATACGAGGAATAAAAATAAACTGGCTGTTCTTGACAGAGTTGTCTTCCCACGGAAGAAAAAAACAATAGAAGTGACATAAGCCTCAATTACTATCGATACCGCACAGAGACAAATGATAAACACTACGAAATCTTGATAATGATTGGTCATAGTTTCTAATTTAAAAAGATGAAACAAATAATTGAAACTTTACCCAGTCTCTATATTGTTGAAAGTCCAATACCTTTATTCCAAGTTACTATGTTTTTGAATTTTATATTGAAATTGTTTTCAACGTGCTGCCATCTTGCAGCCAGTAGCTGGACTACGACGAACGATTAAAATCTAAATCAATTCGATCAACAGAAAATTGAAAATTTTCAATTAAAATAAATCATTTGAAATTAAAATAAGACATACCGATGATATGAATTACTACTACGGATGCACTCCAAAACAGCTTTCTATGATTTTAAAAAATTTGCGCGAAAGAATGACACAACTATACCATACAAAGCGAAAATTGCGGACTGAGCTCAAGTAGGTCTTTTGAGACCTAATGTTGGCACGCATGCGATGCTAACTAACCACTTCTACTGTATTTATTGTTCTGTGGTCTTCACAACGCTAGAAATTCAGTAATAAAATTCCGGTTGACATTCAAAATTTGCCATTTACGAGGTAAAACTATACAGCCGTTACCATAGCTAACGTAATCGATATTTTGATTCGAATCACCGGAGAAGAAGTGCGATAAACTGTCTTAAACTAGATCAAGTGGTTTAAGTATTTGCTATTAAATAATGGCCTTGCAAAAAATATCCGATACACTTAAGGATGTTGTCTAAGGCCGCGGCCGCACTACTAAGGTGACTGCGACGCCACGGTGATTTCGTGAAACAAACACATTTAAACATTTGTCGGTGGCCGCACTGCAGAAACGACAAACGAAATTTATTTCTTCATATTGCAAAGAAATTTCAAATGGTCTCGAAGTAATGACGGTGTCTGCATTAAATAAAACTATTTAGCGACTCGCGACGACACTTGAATTTCGTACGACAAGAAGCGGTGCGACGGCGATTTACGACAAAATGTGGGGTGATGTACCTGAGCAGCCACACTGTCGTAAGGGACGTAGCGGCGTTTCGCTGGCTTCTCGCTTTTGGAATGCGGCCACCTATTTTCTCGCGTCGCCGCCGCACCGCGCTGTCGCCGTACCAGTGCGGCCCCGGCCGAAAGAATGTACTAATGTATTACAGGGTAGGATGTACTTTATCCGATCACTTAAAATCCTGAAAACAGGCTAAAATAAATGTCTAAAACAAATTATTTAAGAATAACATATCTAACTATGTGTACATCATTTTTGTATGAAAATATTTGTCAGAATCGGCTAAATTTTGCTTGTCAATTGGAGCCATATTACTCTTATTACAATCATGTTTATCCCAAAATTTGCAAATTGCTCAACAGTTTAACAACCATAAAAAAACCATAACTTAGTAACCATAAACTGCCTCCGTGGCCGAAAGGCTACCATGGCCGGACTGCCACGCAGAGGTCCCAGGTTCGATTCCCGGGCTAATTTGTGATTGTCTATGTGTGTGTTTATGTGAACCAGTCAGACCATTATGGACTAATTCATTTTCTGTAACGTTGCAACGTGCAACATTATTACGCAAAATCTATTCTAGATATAATTTTAACGGTTTTCTGTTTTAGGATTTGAAAAACAAAAGATTGCCGACGACAACAAAAAGCAAAAGGAAGCCGAGGTAAGCCTCTAAATGATAATCACACCTCTAATAATAATACCTCTTTATCAGGAATGAACGCGAAGATTAGGTCATTTCCTGTATAACAACATTATTTAACATTTTGAGAAATGATACAAGTTCTAAAGATAAAAAAAAATTATAGGAATTTGTGTTTTAAGTCAGGTATAATAATAATAACGCACACACTCATAGCCCCGCACTAGGGAAACCCTGTATCGCGGGTACCATGGACACACGCATAGACAGCCACAAATTACACCCATATTAAAAAAAATAGCAAACATAATTGAATGATAGTAAAGTGACTAAGGCATAAAAATATTATATTTTAAGATGTTTTAAGATGCCAGAGACTTGACAGAATGCTTAAACTTTGGCAAGCTATTGGCAAAGATGTCGACAGTGTTGATACAGTTACTGTGAAATACGTACTACACGAAGCTGAACCTTGGAACGCTTTTATGACACTCAAAAGTTTTTGCACAGATTTGAGAATTCCATGCTATAACGAACTTTATGAATTAAATTTAAAAACTTAAAATTTCAAATTTCAAACCAACGTTTTTCTAACTATAACACGTGAAACACGCCCGTACCCGGGGTCCTACTCTTGAAGCGCGAAATTGACGGACTTCGAGAGTCATTCCGTACGCGACTTTTAAATTAACTCATTTTTATTAAAATAAATCAATTAAACAATTATTAGTTTAATGTATTTATTAACTTTTATTATATTTACAATTAACAATATAAAATGATGTGATAGACCTGTACAGATTTTTTATACATAATGATTCAACATAAGCGACCGTATCGATGCAAAAAAAATGTTGCGCCTTCGCGCGTTTGTATCGTCGCAGTCACTCGTTTGCATCGCTGCTAATAGTCGCTGTGTGATGAGATTTCATGCTTCGAGAGTAGAGCCCCAGCATACAGCAAGATGGAAGTAATATTGAACGTTTATTTATGTATTTGGATAAAAAGAAAAACATTTTATTAAAGAAGTATTGCGAAAGCTGACCGATCGTGCCGTTCATGGACTTTGCTAGTATAATATTACGTTTCAGTTTATGCGTAATTATTATTATATTTTTGTATATTTTTAGAAGTCGTGAATAAAGAAATTGCAAAATAGTGTATTTTAGAATAGATGCAAGAACACAACGCAATTTATTACGTTCGATCATAAAGTTCTTGTACGTACATTTCATTTTAAGCATGATTGAATGTTTATCTACTTAAACTATTGGTTATTTTATACTACACACATAAAACATTAAAGCCATAAAATACCTAGTCAAATAATCAATTAAACAATAAGGACATAAACTAAAAAATAAAACACAATGTGACAAAAATGTTTAGACAATATTTAAATGATACGAATGTTAGCAAAGGAACGTTTTGACGAAAGGCCTCTTGCCAATGTCAATGTCACTTCGAGATTGAGAACAGTGTGACCATTTGTGGCAGACTTCTGCCATTTGGGCAGATTTAATTTTTATTCATTTTCATTGCGACAGAACATGTTAACGTTGTATTAAATGTTTGGCAGATTTAGGAATATTCTGCAAGTTCTTTATTATTTTTAGGTACAAATTGAAAATTTGTTGTTGTTTTCTGCTACTACGAAGACACATCTGAAGCGAAATACAGGTCAATGTTATAAACATAACTTATATCGAGTTTATAACCCCAGCTTCTACAGGCTGTACTTAATTAGCTTTTTTGATGTTTTCATTATGAATCACAAGTATTGATAGGTCCCTTTAATGCACGTCGTCAAAAACACTGTTACACACGGGATGGCGCCATCCTTCTTTGATCGACTTCTAATGTCCAGATCTTTTCTTCCGATACAATTAAATGACCTTCATTGCTTAGTATTTGATGAATAAAGTAATGTGTAACACCCAGTGGCAGCAATACCTCCGGTGTGACGGTCTTCCGGATCCAAGAGTGGTGACTCAGGTGGCCACGTATTTGCACCGTTACAAGGAAACCGCCAAATACGACGTCGACGAGTTGGAGACCAAATGTGTTGAAATTCTACCCGTAAGTGTTACCATTTGTACATATAAATCTCGCCTATGTGTTGAGATAATAATATCGCAAACGACCACACCCATTACCTGGACTAAAGTACACAATTCCCTGTACTTTGAGCACCAGAGCGACGGCATTCACCCCAGGCACTAACTGACAGACTGACAGAGTATCATAAAATTGTCAATCTGACAGTCGTGTGCCTGGTGGTAAGCGACACACCTAAATAATAATAAAATAATAATAATAATAAATGTTTATTTCAGTAATACAATTAACTTTACATTAACAGTGGATGGTACCTCCTATTAAGCTTATCAAGCCTGTGTCATATTTAACATTTTTAACTTATACTTAATGTAGTGTTTAATTTTTACATTTCCAAAGATCGACAAAAACAAAACAAACAATTTTCTTAACTTCTAATTTTTAATTTAATTTGAATCTTAAAACGTAAGTGTGTGCATTTGTATATGAAAAAGTATGTGTGTGTGCGTGCGTGCGTGCGTGTGTGTGTGTGTGTGTGTGTGTGTGTATGTGTGTGTGTGTGAGTGTGAGTATGAGTGTGTGTATGTATGTATGTATGTGCGAGTGAGTGTGTGTATGTATGTATTTGTGAGTGAGTAAGTGAGTGAGGGTGAGTGTGTGTATGTATGTATGTATGTGTGTGGGGGGGGTGTGTCTGTGTGTATGTGTGTTAACCTGTTGCCATAGATTAGGAAAGTAGTGTTTTTAAAGCAACTGTTCTAATAGATCTTCGGTTTCCTCATACGATTTCGACTGTAGCCATTTTGATGTAATTTTTTTGCAGTCTCTATAACTTTTGGCGTATATTTCTAATTCCTTATTAATTAAATTGTACAAATGGGCCGATCGTTTGCTGAATTGTCTGTTTGCAAATGTTGTATTTACTTTAGGTATTGTGCCACAATGTCTTTCCTTCTCCTCTTCGAAATATTTAGATCATATTTTAGAGACCTATGTTGTCTGAGTACAGTTTGAGTGATGTAGAGTTTCCTTACAGTGGCTAAATTTGATAGTTGATACAAACTGCTAGTGGCAAATCGTCTTTTTTTAAAATACATTATTTTAAGCAAATTGCGTTGCGCACGTTCCAACTCGAGAAAACGAGTTTTAGCAGCTCCACCCCATACAGGAATACAATAAATCAATACAGATTGAACCAAACTCACGTATATTTCCTTAAGTATATCCCTAGACGACGAGACTCGCGGACCAGCGACTGGTCCTGGCACTACATATCTTACACCTATCCATAATAGTTGCAATGTAACTCAGAGCTTTAAATCGCAAAGATCTGAGGGTCACTGCCACTGCGCCCATCACCTTGAGACATAAGTTGACAAGTCCCTTGTGCCTTCTAAACCGGAACACAGTAATGCTGACATTACTGCTTGGCGGCAGAAATAGGTAAGGTGGCAGTACTTCCCTGGACGAACTCTTTCACAAGGAGCTCTACTGCTACAATGACGTGGAATGTCTTCCTTCTGAAGATTCTTCCTCCTATATCCTTTGCGCTATGACATGACTCAAAGGCTGGCAACGCATAGGCAGCTCTTCTAATGTTGCAAATGTCCATGGGTGACAACGATCATCTCCCATCATGTGTCTCGTCTGCTTGTTTGTCTCCTTCTTTACATAAAAAAGTCTAACGCAATTTTTCCGAATTTATTTCAATAAATACTACGAATATTTTATTTTCAGATGATTGAAATGCTGGAAGTGTTTGTAGCCAACGCAAGACAGTACACAGAACAGCAAGTTGCTAATTACAATGAGGTAAACACTGCCTTGGCAGTGTCGAATTTATGTAAACATTTATTTTCTTTGACAATTATCGTGATACCTATCCATGCTGCCGTGCGAGCCGCCATGCAAACTAAGACTTTTTGCCGTAGGGCCATCTGTGAGAAGTCTATGAAAGCATTTCGGCCAGGTACCGTGACAGTTGCCAGCAGCTGATTAGAGATGTCGCTTTAACAATTGTAATCTCTCTCTCTCTCTCTCTCTCTCTTTATAAACATCCATTATCTATAATGCTCTATAAAGTAACATGCTGTCTGAAGTTTTGCTTTGATAATGCAATGCAAAGGACTATATTACAGCTAATGAGCCAAATAAAGATCTTTTCGGCTACTCGCGGTATACCATTCATGTTTAACGCTGTATAGTTTAACCGATTCCACAACGAGATTAGAGCTCTCGCGATTGGCTACCCACCTATATCTAGAAGACTTAAAACCGCATTCCCTGCAATAAATTATTCCCATGAATCAGCGACGCGAACTTATCTCAAATATTTCAGATCCGTCTTCAGCTCCGCGAACAACTGGCCACAGCAATAGAATTTGCATCATACTTCGTGTTACGTGATCTCCAAAAAAACTTACAATTTGACAGCGTTAAAATCGCCCACTACAACCGCACCTTTCAAGCTTTGAAGCTGAATATTTGGGTCGCCATCAAACTGCCCACCAGAAAGAAGAAGCCTCCTGATCAGGAGCCAGAACCGTAAGATTTTTGGGAATATTAAGCCTTAAGAGTGGATCTCGAAATCAAATTTTTCCCGTACTTATACGGTTCATTTTGCTTCGGTGGACCGGCAGGGACACTGGCGTTATTTTAGAGTTTATTTCTTTTACAAACGAAATTAATGTCATTTGAAAAATGTGTGTCGTATACGTGTTCTATTTAGTTCAGTTGATATAAAAAATCATTGGTATATGTAAAGTACGCATTGAATACAGCGATTTTCTTGTAGAATTCCGAGATAAGTTAGTGTTTTTTCTATCGTGAAAATTTTTAGAAATCGTATTTTGACATCCTGTAGTAATCAGTGTATGTCCTCAATTTCAATATGTCGGAGAACATCCAACATTACGTTTACGAAGGCTGTTTTTTTTAAAAACCTAAAACGTCAAAGTGACAGTTCCATTTTGTTTCTTTTAATTTTAGTTCTTACTCGATTCTACTCGATTGTAAAGATGGCGTGATTGTCGATACTTTTTATTTTATTAAAATGGCAACACTGGCTTGTCTCTGGCCGGAAGTCAGTTTAGCTTCTTTTTTTAAGTTCACAGATCGCTAAGGTTAACCGAGCGGCCGCCTTTTTCTAAGTTCATTCTGTTTCCGATTGCCGAGGAGTAATGACATCCAAAGACATCACGCCTATCTAAATATATTTTCAAGGGATTTAGTTTGCAACACAATAAATCCACATTGGTGTACACGCCTGCGTTATTATTTGGAAGAAATTCCTCGTAATTGATGAGCAATCGAGCTTGATAAACGCCCCTTTTGATGACCCGCCGTTAAATATATATTTTTTCGAAAGTGATTGATTCAACACTTTGGCTGTTATACAGAATCAACCAAAGCTTTTAGAGGTTGTTTAGACTCTTATCATGACGTCAAGGTTCTCAATATGCATTGTCTGTTAATAAATATAGTACCTAATGCTTGTACATACAGCGTTATTATGCTAATTGTAAACATATTTGCATAAGGATTACAAAAAAAAAGAGGGAAGAGAAGATTACAACTTAAAAGTAATGCAACTAAAGACTAACATAGATGTTAATTTGGCAGTACTAATGAGAATACGAGACGAAATAGTTGAGGAGATTATTACGAATTCGACAAAGATTGTTGTCGAAAACATCAATGTCGGAAACCTCCAGATTCTGATATGAGTAAATCATTGTAGGTTCGGCACATTTTAGTCACGGGTTATAAAAGGATGTATTATTTCGATAAACATTTAACATAAAGGTTTTAGGACGACGAAGATTAGGTTTAATGTTAAAGTTAATAATGTGTGATAGCAGACTAGGAGAAACAAGGCTACCGTGTATGAGCTTATGCAAGACAACAATATCCTGTATTTTACGTTGGGTCCGTAGTGAACAAATTTTAAACTTGACCAATCTCTCTTGGTAAGTTGCAAGAGTGCGACCCAGTCCCGATCGGAATGTGACAATTTTAAGAGCCTTGTTCTATACTAATTCTATGAGGTTGGAGTGCAATTCATAATAAGGGGACCATATAACACAGCCGTACTCAAGTAAACTTATTAGACAGTTGAAGAGGTTCATAAAGGTGGAGGGTCTTTTAAAGTTTTTAGTAGCTCTTAAGATGAATCCTAAGGGTTTATATGACTTAGATACGATGTTATCATAATGATTTGTCTATTTAACGGATCCTTGTAAATTTATCCAACACGCAAAAGATACTTCAGACATATTGTCTTTATTATAAACATTGCTATGCGACCGTACATACGTTTAAGTAGCACCAGAGCTCCTTGTGAAAGAGTTCGTCTAGGGGTTCGTCTAGGGTAGTATTGCCTCTTGGATGCCTCTTAGAGAGGCGAAACATGTGTCGGGTATATTTTTGATGATGGTTTGTGACTATAGTTGCGCTTGTGTTATTTATTTAATTAATTTTATACGGAGGGAGGGTGGGATAATTAACTGCATAAAAAAACATTCAACACAAGCACAGCTATTTTACACGAATTAACCTTCACTGGGTTCGCGGAGTAGCAAATTAATTTACTTCCATTTTTATTATGTTCAACTGTTTGTGACAAGGAACGTAGTAGGATATGCGCGGAAGTAGAAGACATTTATTTTGTTATAGCAGTATCGTCCAAAAAAGTTACAGACATAATAAATATGACCAATTTCTTCATCAGGCAACCCGTGGATTTAGCATTTCCAGCTATCCAAGTGTCAGTAACGCTTCCAAAGACAATCGAAGGATCGAATCTCAGCGTAAGGGCTTCCAGGTCCGAAATCGATCTGTTGAGCGAAAGGACCAGGTCCTTTCCATTGTTGCACGATTTGCCTAACAGATATGAAGGTATGTGTAATACATTCAGCCAAAATAATAATCTCGAATTTTTATACCTTACTTTCTCAAATTCGTATCTTCGTATAAAGAATGATTATTCAGAAGACGGCAAAACTTTCTATTTATTCTAACTAAGGGGTTGATTTGGATCCGTTACTTTAAGAATAGGTAAAAACCAGTGTGTGAATATGAAGGAAATATGATAAAAAAAACAACCTACAAAATTTGTTTAAATACAATCCATTTTTGCATTTTAAAAACTTTGTGCGTTAAGATACGAGTTTAAGAAAGTACGGCGACGATTTGTAACAATTGAGTATTTTTAACAGAAGTAAATTCAACAGCGAGACAAAGACAGAGCGCTGTTGTAACTAGGGTGCAACCAGGTTATTAGGTTAACCGAAAAAACCGAATAACCGTCCATTTTAGAAAACGATTTCAGCTAATTAATAATAAATCCGATTTTGAAGGGTAAGTGGTACCTCTGCGTGGCCATGCACCTGCTATGGACAAGCGTGTCGCTTACCACCAGGCGTACGACTTGTTCGTTTCTATTCAATTGTATAAAATTAGTTTCAGCGAGAAATCAATTTAGAGACTTATAACATCTTTTTGATCAACAAGTTTTTTTTTACAGAAATAAAAACGTAACCAGTCAGTCAAATTAAGTAATTATTATATTCGTTTGTCATATTTGCAAGTCTAACTCTGGTAACACCGATAACCGAATAACCGGGTAATCGGAAATAAAAAACCTAAAAATCGGTTTTTAAAATCAAACGGTTCTTTGCATGCCCTAGATATAACACGGAGTCGTCCTACCTAAACCATTAAAAAATACAATCTAACGTCTAGTTAAAATGTTTTTCAGATTTGTTCATCTTCAACGTAAAAGAACTTGAGGACGTGCAGAAACTGAAGAAGGAACAAGACGTGATTAGAAACGCTTTTTACAAAGGCATCAGAGAACGAACTAGAGAGCTGGAGAACATGATTAAAGTTAATCCGTATGTTTACTGTTCTACTGTAGGTACATCCATATGGAGTTTTCTTAACGTTTTTCTAGTCACGGACCCCTCTCAAAATTTCAAAGAGCTTACGGACCCTTTCCGAAAAGATGAAGAAAATCTTTCTGCGGTGCACGGATAAACTTACTCAAGTTTTTTTATGCCGCCGGATCATTGACTTACAATTATATGGACGTCGGGTCCGCGCTAAAAAGTGTCCGAACTTATAGGGCGTTAAAATCGTATACAGAGAGTCATTCACGCTTTAGTCTTCGTTTGTTCGACTGACAGCGAAGCAAGCAAAATTAGACAGTACTGCGATGACATTACAATTTCAATTCAACGTTTTAGCTTGTTCATATTCCTTTACATGTCACTACGTTTAAATAGGTTGACTTGGGACATTTTTTCGTAGTTTTTGTATTAGACCCGTCGTCCATTTATTTGCAAGTCAATGCGCCAGATTTAGATTAATAAGTATTCTTTTTATAAAATTTTTAATAATAAATCCGAAATAAAATAGGCAAGCCTCGCTCGCTCCTATAATGGGAATCCGTGAAAGGGCGCGAAATTTCAAAAAGGTCACGTGCACTGCACCTATTACACTTCAATACAGAAAATAATTAAAATCAATCAAGAAATTTTTAATAATAAGTATATAAGTAGTATGTGGCTGAATTGCAATAAAATTTCTGTTTAGATAACGTTTTAAGCGAATGTTTTAATTTTGAACTTATGTAACCTCCTTGCTTGAACCTGATCTATGTAAGGAGGTATGTCGTGCTACAAATAGAAAAAAAAACTCGATACCGACCATGGCTGTAATGGGGAAAAAAAGCCCCAGGGTTTTATTTGGTGCGTCATAGTCAAGTTAGCAACCATGCAATCATATTATTTACGAGCAAATGTGATAAAAACTATATTTCGCCTTTCGCGTTTGGGGTGTCGGCGCAGCGAACATGGAAATGACGGAGTTGCGGAGTAGTTCGAATGATTGTTTTTAACATTATTGTGTATGTAGTACACCAAACTTGTTTTATTGTGGAATATTATCCAATTAGTTTATAAACGCATAGAACTATAACATGAGTGTGCATTATAAAAACGTCTTAATACGTAGTCGTAAAACTATTTTTCCGGATTTCAATCGCGTATATTTGTTTTTTCAAATAAACCAAACGTTTCGGGCCCTTTACAAGTCCTATGGTCACGGTTGACTCCACACAGACGTTCCACAGTAAATTGAGTAGGTTAGTATACTATGCTATTTCATCTGAAGCACCCTAAGAATCTCAAATTATATAAGTTTTTAGCGAATGTCTTATGTATGTGTTTTAAGTGTTCTATTATTAGGTAATAGAAATAACAATGGCGCAAGAAATTAAACAAATTTTTAAGAGTTACAACATTTTCATAAGCAAAGAAATCTTAATGTCACAAGTAATTCTTTTTTTTATAATTTCAAGTGACGGGACGAACAAGTCGTGCGCCTGGTGGTAAGCTACACGCCTGTCCATAACAGTTGATGTGCCACCCAGAGCTTTAAATCGCCAGATCTACCACCGCGCCCGTCACACTCAGACATAAGTTGACAAGTCCCATGTGCCTGTAATATCACCAGCGCCCTCACCCTTCAAAACCGGAACACGGTAATGTTACATTACTGCTTGGCGGCAGAAATAAGTAAGGTGGCAGTACTTCCCTGGACGAACTCTTCCACAAGGAGCTCTACTAAATTCACCAAGTACAAGATATTTTCTGACAGGTTTAATGCGATTCCAAGTCGATAAATGTGGTAACTCCTTAAGCTTAGGCCACACAATGTCGGGCGCGGGAATCTTTGTAATGTACGAGTTTCAGTGTGACAGTATTCAAATAAACTCGTACACTACAAACATTCTCGCGCCGGAACGCTTCCGCGGCCGCCTCTGTGTGGCCAGAGCAGTACAAGACAATCCTACAAACATGGATGACGCCTTTGATAATGCCAGCACCTGAGATATACGCTTGATACGTTTTTTTTTAGATTTGCAAAATGGGACAAGGAAAAGGATGAACTGGATCAATTACAGCTGGCTGAACCGCCGCCTTTGCCTGACCCCAGAACACACTTGGGTGTTCTCAACGGTGAGCAGTGCATTTTGTTTGTTTTGTTTGTTTGTCTGTTGAATATAGACTGCATTTCGACAAATTATCAATTCGACAGTATTCTTAGGTCCTTAATGACTGCACGGGATTTTTAGGTTACGAATAGCACCTAATCATACCTATGTCTTAATCTAATTCTCATGAGAGGTAAAGCGGTAGTTATATAAACCATATTTGTGTTGCAAAAACGAGCGATTCGTTCTGTGTACCGTTTAGGTTCTCGGGTTTCTCTCAGAGAAAAGTATAATGAGACTGGTACAGTACATTTACTCAACACTGAAGTATTCCTCCCACCACCGAAGATCGAATTACCAAAGTGGGTGTATTTTGACGCTTTAAAATTGACGCTCTCAGCGAATAACGCTTCAAACGTAGCGATATTTTCGTGGCCGAGTTTTTTACCGAATATGCGATGTTTTGATTGCAGAGAAAGCGTTCCAGAAATATTTAAGAAGTTGTATGTGCAGACACCGAGGTGGTGAAGTCAACATGCGAAAGTATAGGTAAGTTAGTTATTAGCCATTGTACGATAGAACACCAGACCCATATCGCCAAGAACTACTACTTCGCATGCCCAATATAGGCTATAAACCCTTAGTTGCGGCTACTATGCTTCAGAACGCGCCCGGCCATTATCGTAGTTTAGCATCAATCGAAAACGCGAAAAATGCCTAATTGCGCCATTAGAAACTGCAAAATAACCACAACTGTGAGAAGATAAATGAACAGGGACGTTTTCTTCCACAGTTATTTAGTTTTGTAATCAAAATATGCGTAATTTATTTTAAAATCAATTATTTTCATTGCGGTACTTGCGGTGTCTATTCAGATATATGTCTGTGCAATTGACAATAGCAACTTTTTGACATATCGTACTACTATTACAATAATGTTGTAACTCAAAATTTGTGAAATACAAGATTATATCATTGCTGAAGGTGAAATTTCATTCTCAACACGTCAATAAAACTGTTTTAGAATATTATAAAAAACAGTCTAAAAATCACTTTACTCGAAATGAGAAAAACCTTACGTGAGCTAGCTCTAGCCAAAACAGTCCTTACTCAAAAATGTGATATGATTTTTCCCTTTTATTTAATTTAAATATATTTGAAAAGTAAGAAATTGTGATAAACTTAAACCCATACATAAATTTTAATGATCTTTCAAAGGAACCGAGTTATTCCTTTTTCATCAATTCCTAAAAAATACACTTTTTGAGTTAATTAATACGTCATTGTATTAACAGGGCGATATAATTTTATGATGAGAATAGAATCTACATCAATAAATATACCACATCTATTTTTCTTTTTTTTTCGTTATATCTAAATATTTGCTTTTATGTTGTTTTTAGGATATGCGGTGGCGTACTTAACATGGATCTTTTAGTGACTCCCCCTCAACCGAAACCGCTGGAATATGAGGTTGTCTTAACTACGTGTAAGTAAAATGAATTTAAAAAACTACCATTTAATAATGGTAGTTTTTTTCGTCCATGTTATTTTAAAACATAAATTTCAGATTTATTTCATAAAAAACTTTTTAAAAAAAACGTTCAGTACACAACTCGTCCTAAATATCTGTGGACCCCTCCCGCTTCGTCTAGCGTCACCCCACTTTCGCCTGCTAAGCTGATTGAAGCGATTTGTCGGGGAAGACGCCAATTTTATGGTATTGATACCTCCAATTTTTTTTATTTTTTTTTTTCATTTTTTTTCACTAATTTTTGTTTCTTTTTTTTTCACAAAATTCAGGGAGCATAATAGTTGTAAATAAATATGGGTGTGTACAAAAATAACAGAAAATGACAAAAAGATAAAAAGTTGGCGTAGTGTAAGTACATTGTATTTTACAATACACCAACATAGTAATTAATTGGACTAAGTTTTCATTTCTCGTTTGGGTTACACCTTTTAATTCTACGTTGTTCATTCGAGACCATTGTTCCTTACTAGCTAGGTCATTCTCGAGCCCATCCAACCGCCGCTTAATATCAGAGATTTGCTCCGCTGACTGCTCTATTTTAGCCAATCGTGTCTCGACCCCCCCGATCCTAGCGTTCAACTCCTTTATGGTGTTAGTGAACTCAAGCACAGATGACTTTATACTGCTTATCTCCTCTCTTAGAGACTTGAGCTCATGCGATAGAGCTTCAAGAGGCGCAAGGTTCTCAGCTAATCGTGCTATTTCTTTCAGTATGAGAGAGTCCCTACCAGGCGTAGTAGTTTGGTTAGTATTAGAAGGAGGTTGACGACTTGCTGGTATGGTACTCGGGGAGGGAGTGCGTATTCCGGCCTGTTTACACTTAGAGCAATGCCACGAAGATCTCCTCTCGCCTAGTCTTGAATAGCCAAATTCCGTGATCCCGCCACAGTGATAATGAACCGTACACCTGGCTCCGTCCATCAAGTTCTCAGTACAAACGATGCATTGAAAACTTTTCATTTTTTCAAACTTGAGAAGCACTGGAATTTACTACGCGATTTATTAAGTATTGGTGATAAGACACGGCCGTACGCTAGTGGCTTACGAGCGAAACTGATTGTTTTTTTTATGTATGTTACGCGATAACTCCATACGGCATTTGCGAACCGATTTTGATAATACTTTTTTTGTTGGAAAGAGGGTATGTACTTCCTGGTCCTATTTAGATTTGAAGAAAATATTCCACCGGTAAGGGTGGCAAACTAGGGGATGAATCCGGTTTCGCGCACTTTCCGGTAACCGATTTCAATAAAACTTGGCAAATAGATATAATTCCACGAACTTCTGAGGTCGGTTTTCTTGGTACCTACTCTGTACGGAGATTATTTTAGAACTATATTGACGTCTTCTTGCATACCGTGCCAGACGCTATACCAACTAAGCCACGGAACGAACCAACGGACCTCACGAATTCTTCTATGTGCTTGCGTCGTGTCTTTGTACTTGGTCTTTCAACGACTTTTTAGTCGTAGCGCCATCTATGAGAAATCTATGACAGATTTATCACCCAGTTAGTACCTTTACAGCTACTAGCCAGGACTGGCGAGAGATGTCGCTATTCACTGGATTAATTAAATTTTTATTGAATTGATATTCAATTATTTTTTGTGAAATTACTCCACTAGTTTGTTATAATTGACCATAAGCAATAATAATATTTTCGCTTCATTAGCTCGGAAAGGCTTTCTTTCTCCTTAGAAATCTGCGCGCGAAAGCGTTTATTGCACACTAGCGTGGAAAAGGTTTTTAAAATTCGACCTAACCCAACTTTTTCTTCTGAAAAAAAAAATGACACGTTGAAATAAGCGACTTGTCGTACATTATTTATTTATGTAATATAAATCCGTTGGTATATTTCGTTCTTATTCTTTGTTGACATTAAATTGACAATGATAACTAATTGTGTTTATTAACTTATTTTAATTCGTTGAAGAACTAAAATAATTTCAATAATCCCTTAATAACACATAATAAAAGTATAAACGAGAACAAAAATTAGCGAGGTGTAAATTCAGAACGCATCCGAAGATAATTTTTTTCTTGTAATTTAAAAAAAAACTGATGTTTTATAGATCAATTGTTTCTCTTTCATCTACCATTTACCTCGCTATAATAACGTGAAAAGTTGTGTATTTCGCTCGCCAGCAAAGTTGTTTTGCGTCTCGTGTCTTGAATATTTCACTACGCTCTGGAATCGCGGCATCCTTCGCTAGCTCTGGTTTCAACACAAGCACCCCCGTCAAACAACAATTTTACAGCCTTGCATAACAAATAACTATTTCTACTGTATACTTTAATCTGTGAATTACTGAAAAAATATCCCGTAAGAACACAAAAACGTTGCTGATCGCAGGACTTAAGACTTTCAGTCACCTTTTTTAAAAATTAAACGTTTATTTTCTTACCAACACTACAATTTCTTATCATTCTTCTGGGAGAAACCTGCCTTGCGAATACGTAGTAGAGTTTAATCAATATGACAATTTTCATTGTCACTTGGTTACCTATCAAATAAAGGCATATTCATGGGTATATAATATAGAGGAGCTAAAAAAGATTGCGATGAGAATAACGGGCTTTACACAGACACTCTATCGCGCGTGATACAGCAATCAAGAGGAAGACCAAAGGAAAATGGAAAGACCGCGCGATTGCGCTCTTCAGTCGCGCACCCCAACACGCGCCAGTTTCACGCGGTCTATCCTGCGCTATTAGCCTTACACGGACGCTCTTTCCCTTGTAACAAAACAAACACGAGCTATCGCGCGCCAAATTCATGGAGTTATGAAAATGTAATTTATGTTAAGAAGAATAGTAATTTATTTATGAAAAATTGTGACAGATATAACATTAATACGAGGAATAAAAATAAACTAGCTGTTCTTGATAGCCGTCTTCACAAAGTCACAAATTCATTTAAGGGGTAATGTAAACGCTTCTATTACAAGATTCCGTTTGATATACAAAATTTGCCATTCACGAGGTTTAAAACTATAGTGAAACAAAAACTTTATAATAGGGGTTAAAGTATGAAATTGCCGATTTGTACTGAAAATCTAAATTGTTTATTTTTTAAATTTTTAACAAATTTATTTAATCAAAATAGTTGCCATTATTATCTATACATTGCTGCCATCTAATGGGAAGGTTATTAATGCCTTTGCGATAGAACTCCGACGATCTAGACTGCACAAACTGTGTGAAAGCATTTTGTACTGCCTCCTGGGAAGAAAACTTCTTGTCACGTAGATAATTGTCCAAATCACGAAAAAAATGGTAGTCCGTTGGAGCAAGGTCTGGTGAATACGGAGGATGACGAATGGTTTCTAACTGCAGTTCCTGAAGGGTCAAAATGGTTTCTCGTGCTGTGTGAGGTCTCGCGTTGTCGTGGAGCAATAATGGTGAAGATCGATTCATGAGTCGGGGCTGTTTTACTGCTAGTTTTGTCAACATGGTTCGGAGTTCGGCACAATAGACATCTGCCGTTATTGCTTGACCAGATCGGAGAAAACTATAGTGAATAACACCATGCTGAGACCACCAAACAGTTACCATTACCTTTTTATTGGTAAGTTTTGCTTTAGGACACTGTTGTGGCATTTGACCTGGGGTCAGCCATTGCATTTTTCTTTTCCGGTTATCATAAAGAATCCACTTTTCATCACATGTTACAATTCGCTCCAATATTCCTTCATTTCTGTACCGGTTCAACAAGGCAACACAAGTTTCAACACGCGTTTCTTTCTGCAGATCAGTCAAATCATGAGGCACCGATTTTTCGTATTTTTTTATTTTATTGATTTGACGCAAGTGAGTCAATATTGTGGGTAAGGTAACGTTAAACCATGCCGCTAATTCCTGGGTAGTTTGACTAGGATCGGCTTCCACTATCTCTCTTAATTCATCGTTATTCACCTGTGTGGGCGGTCTTCCTCGTGGCTCGTTCTTTAAGTCGAAATTTCCATCACGAAAGCGTTTAAACCAAAATCGCACGGTGCGTTCATTAGTAGACCCCTCTCCAAACGCAGCATTGATATTGCGGGCTGTTTCTGCCGCGTTAGTTCCGCGTCGGAACTCGTATTCAAAAATCACTCGAATTTTCGCAGTATCCATCTTTCTTGTCTAAATTGAATAACAAAAACAATTGAAAGTCGATATTCAAATGTTTCAAATTAAAAAAAAAAAAAAAAAACACAGAAACCATTTGAAAAAAGTTTCATTCGAAAACCTCAAACCGTGAAGATTCTATGAAAATTCAAAGAACCTATTGCAATAAAACGGCAATTTCATACTTTAACCCCTAATATTAAAGGTTTAGCTCATGGAGGTAGTCTCCATCTCTGATGTTCGAAAGCAAAAAAAATATTGCAAATGTGTACAAATGTTATTTACAAAGAGCAACCCCTAGAGTTTCTTGCTCATTCTTCTCAGGGGAATCTGCCTTACGAATGAGCGGTACAGTTTAACCAAAGTGACGATTTCAAGTGTAATAATGCTTGCCTATGAAATAAAGATTATTTTCATTTTGATTTTAAAGAACTTTAGTTTAAAAAAAAACAAACAGGTAATCGCGCACGAAAAGGGGGCTAATATTCATTGAACTACAGGCCACAAATAAGTTTAATTCGAAAAAAAAAATTACTTCAATCGTCTTTTTATTTCGATTTAACGTTCTGGCAATGTGGCCAGCAGTAATTCATATAACCGTTGTCATCATAATTGAATCATTTTTAGCGTTCCTCTAAATATCATCCATGTTTTGTAGAAGGGGCGAGAGCGCCATTTTGAAATTTTACAGCGGAGCGTTTTTTGGTTTTAACGACTGTTTTAAAATGTTTACATCCTGTTTTAAATTCAATTTTGATTTTAATTAAATTTAAGTTTTAAAATTGAATTTAAATCATCACACTTGCTCGTAAATAATATCCCTCGGGCCTTTTCCTTTCCATTACAGCCATAGTCGGTAGGGAGTCTTTTTTTTAATTTGTTGCACGACTTACTTCCTTACATAGGACAGGTTCAAGTTCAAGCAAGGAGGTTACTTAAGTTGAAAATTAAAACATTTGCTTAGTGTTATTTAAATAGAAATTTAACTGCAGTTCATCCACATACTTAAATACTTATTATTAAGAATTTCTTATAATTGATTTTAATTGTTTTCTGTATAAAAATGTAGGTAATTTTTTACAAACCCTCATGGCTGTATGCGTGTATGCTTTTTACTACATTTTAATTTTCGAGTTGTATGATCTATGGAAGAATTAATAAAAAAAACACAAACCCCGCCATTTGCAAATTCCATAATTGTTGTTGTGAATCATATTTATATTGTATTTATTTCGTCGCAAATGTTATGAAAGTTATTGTATGTATGACGGGCGGTAAAAAAATACAAAACTCAAAAAATATTTACTTTATAATATTTATTTATATTAATATTTATTCCACAATTTATTTTATAATTATATCATTTCAGTGAATTCAAAACTTTAAAACCTTGCCCTGTAAACTTGGCAATTTCGACATACAATACTTTACGTAGGAGGGCTCGATTTGTCTTATTGTTCTTTGCTATAGGTAGGGCGGCGGTATAAGGAAAGTTTGATTCTCCTAATACGATAACGTTTGGATTTCCAAGTGCACTCCCAACGCGACTAAGTACTATAGTTTGTCCATCAAGCTCAAGAAATATTCTGAGTAGTCATGATTTTGTGCATCACGAGGCTCTTTTTCAATCTTCTCCAAAATACCGCTTGTTCAGATGCGTTCTTTGGCCAGACTATGTAGGTCTTTGTCAACATCAGGTAGTGAAGAGTTGTTGGCCTAAGTGGTCTCGGTATCTCTTCCAAAAGAACTAGGATCAGGTCTTCGCGACGTGTTTCTAGCAGCCTGTGAAGATATGCAAAAATTGTAATTTGGGTTATTTTCGTTATTAAGTGGCTTGAATTGCACATAACGTTAAGTAGATGACAACATGACGAACAAGTCGTGCACTTGGTGGTAAGGGACACGCCTATCCATAGCAGTTGCAGTGCCACTCAGAGCTTGAAGTTGCAAAGATCTGAGAGATTCTTAGGGGCACTGCCACTGCGCCGGTCATCCTGAGACATAAGTTGACAAGTCCCATGTGCCTGTAATTTCACCAACACCCTTATCCATCCCCCTAGATAAGAATATCCTAACAAAACGTCTGATTAAAACCCGGGCGCTTGCCTGTCTCTGGGGGTCATCTTAACTATGGGACGAGTTGTATTTTTTTGAACGTGACTGCTAACTCGAGTTAACTCGACTCGCATCTAGAGTTAACTAGATTCGGTGTCTGACAGAGCAATCGCGAGTCGCAACGCGAACCGACGATTCACAGAGTTGGGCACGATCTGCCTGCCGACCTCGACTCGAGTGTACTCGAAGGTCGCCGAACCGACCGAGTGAGAACGAATATCCGGGGCGCTGTATGAATGAAATATTCAACTCGACGGGAACTGGGGATCTACTCTCTTGCGCGGCGGCGGCGGGACAGGTACCGAACCGAGTGGTCGAGCGGGAGCGCCGCGTCGTGGCGCAGTGCATGCAGGACCGGTGGAAAGAGAGCTTGACGGATCCCCCCTATGGAGCTCGTACTATAGGGGCGATCCGCCCTGTCCTCGTAGAGTGGGTGATCCAGTCCCACCCAGTACCCTGACGGGGACAATAGAGTGGGAAATCTCGCTGCCGAGCTTGGTTGCCGCCATGCTCGGTAGCGAGGAGTCCTGGAGGAGGCGGTGGCCTCCTTTTGCGGAGAGGTTATGTCGCAAAAGGAGGCTGCGGCGCGGGTGCGCGTGGACGCGGCGGACGAGCACCCGCTTCGTCGCAGACGTACGGGGAGAAGGCGAAGGCAGTTCGCTGCTCGCCTGATCCCCTAGTGAGGCCAGCGGGCTCTGGACAGGGACTCCGTAGCCTGCATTGCACGGCCTCACTCGTCTGGGGGGCGGGTCGGAGGACAACTGATCTGCCGTTGGCGCGGGAGCCCTGGCGCAAGCTAGGGCGGCCGGACGGCGTCGTGGTGAATGCGCACCGACCCCACGGCGCCGACTCAACCGGCGGGAGGTAAACCTGCGGGGGTTTTAGTGGAGTAGGCCCTCCAGTATGGAGGGAGAGTCCCCACATAACCCGTGAGTCTCCCTGGGCTCAGGGGTATCTATAAAGATTTCCCCCCGTAAAAAAAAATTAAAAAAAGTACCGAACCGAGTTCATGAAAAAGTAACTCGAGTTGACTCGTCGTAGGAGTAACTCGAGTTTAGTCGAGTTAATTAACTCGACTCGCCCAAAGCTAGGTCAACTCTCGTTCTCTATCCGACATACGTCCGAAACAATTACAGTCAAATATGTATATATGTATGTCTTCATTAATTTAGTCAAGTATTACTTATTTGACAGTAATTGAACTCTCTGGTCATAGCTGATAACGTCGACAGGCGATGTCTGGTTGAATAGCATAATAAGTTATTATAATATTGTTGAAATATCTATAATATAAAATGATATATGTCATATCATTTTAAGCGATTAGTCACCTTTTATCGTCATCATCGTTAATCCACTAGATAAGACGATAAGCGCACAACTGTTTGTTTTGTTTGTTACGCAACACAACAATGTACATTGACATAGATCATTACAGAGAATACAATTGTTTTATAAAATATAGCAAGTTTTTTTCGGCCGCCATACTTGGTACTTGGTACTTAGTGCAACGGGCTAGTATCATTTTTCTTTTGACACAGGCAGTTGACCACTGTTACCCTCTATAACATTCCTTCTTGCATCTGCTACCTACCTCTAATAGTTTCCGTGATAGAAGACTTTGAAATTTTCAATGGCGGCCATTTTGTTCGTTTGAATTTCGAATAATTTTTACTTCCGGCAGAAATTGGGTAAGGTGCACCTTATAAAAGTACACAAACATCCCTCCATGTATTATAGTTTAGGTACTCGTTTGTTAGAAGACTATTTTAAATGATAGGGTCGTTGTGGCGACCGTTGAGTGAGATCTATGTCCAGCAGTGGACGTCGTTTGGCTGAAATTATGATGATGTTGAAAGGGTAGTGGCACAACAAACAAACGTGCTTATTATTCCATTTGACTTATAAATATTTTTCACGTTTGTTCGATAACAATATTTTCTTTCCTTTTCTATTGTATTTCACTTCTTAACTTTTTTTTCAGAATGTTTATTCTGTTCAACAAAATTATAATCATAATCATCTCATATACAGCCTGACTTTACCCACTGCTGAGTATAGGCCTACACATTTCTGTGCCACTCCTCACGGTCCCCATAATCATCTATCGCCTGTCAATTCAAATGACGCACGATTTTTTAAAGTTTCTATAATAATAATATTTCTATATTTCTATAAATCTATATAATAATATAGAAGTATAGTATATAGTTATGGAACAGATTTCAAACTTCGATTTCTATGAACGTAACATATATATTTTTTTTATAAAAAATAAGTGCGCCTTTGACCTCCATCTCACCTGATGGAAAGTGAAGATGAGGTCAACGATGTAGCATGCACACCTAAGTAATGCCTATTCACTCTCGCCTTGAAAAGCTCCAAGTTATAGCGTTCGGGTAACAAATCCACAGGTAGGGAATTCTAATAAATGTGGAAGCGAAACGCTTTGTGCGTATCCTGGGAATATCCACAACATAGGGTTGGATACCCAGCTCACGTCTAGTCCCCCGATAATGGAAAGAGGAAGGCGGAATCAAATTATGCATTCCATCGCACACTCTCCGTGATATAGTCTATAGAATACCGATAAGCAGGCAACTTTACGGCGGTGTTCAAATCTCTGCAACTTCGCCTCTACTATATATATAGTAAACGAAAAAATTTTAACATTTCTAAAATGCCCGTAAATGACTTGAAACTTTAAACCAACCTGTGTTGTGCCAAATGCATCTCAAACTGGCACCATTGACTAGCCAAAAACTGCTGGGAGATGATCAGCATTATGGACCTGCTCCGGTCCATGCATGACACTATGTTCTCTAAAATTGACAGTCCCACCTGGAAAAATAAAGACGAAAATTCTTCGACGAAGGCCAACAAATGAAATGCTACGTCAAAGCTAAATTATGTCAACATTGAAACAGAATTATTTAAACAATAACAATTTAAAAACCTAAAGGCACTGTTTAAAAAACGAAAAACAAAAAACTTATTTTGCTGTCATTGTTACACGACGTTTAATGGAATGTCTTAATTTTACCAACAAAAAGAGAACGAGACAAAAAGTAAAAAGATAACTGGAATTTAAATGTGATACGATCAGGTTAAAACACAATAAAAAATCCTTACCTGAAAATCTCTCTCGTGCAAACAAACACAGACATTACAGTCCTTCTCAACGTGTGGAAGAAGATAATCCAACACCCAATCGCGATCGTCGTTGCAGTATGACACAAATACGTCGTAATTGAAGAACGTACCGTCTGGAAAGAAAATTCGAGAAGATTTTTAACTATTCAAGGAAAAATCAAGAAGAAGCGGACGATGAAAAAATGTAAAAAAGTCTATTTGTAATGAAATAGAGAACAAAGAAAATGCAAGTTAATAATTGACATACCTACCTACATGTCAAATTGGTTTACGACTCAGCTTCAAAGGACACATTTCCACACGTTTCTCCACCTGCACTAAACTTAAATACGTCTTAAACCAATGCTCGTCCAATGACGTCCTTCCATCGTCATCCCACCCTTTTATCACCTTTACTGTGGTTCCTGGCTACTTTTTTTTAAATTTTGAATCGTTCTTTAATTCCTTTACCTCGTTATTCTCAATTTGTTTTATTCCGTCGTCATTCTTTGCGCAATCGCCGAAGCGAGCACGTCTTCTCTTCAAATTTTGACCTGTTTACTAGTTACCACAAGTCTCTTGTGCGATAAACATTTAAAAATTCGCAAAAAGGCTTTAAAAATACTTTTTATATAAGGGAATTTAGTTTTTCCTTTTCAAATTGATTAAAAAGATGTGTGTAGGCTGCAGAGGCTGCGGAGGCTACTACACTCCAGGCTACATTACAATTGCGGTCCCAGCAGTGCGTGACATTCTCTTCACTCGTAATGCAAAAAATATCAATTTAAGCATTGGTTTAGATGTACTTAAGTTTAGAGCAAGTGGACAATATCTTCGATTATATTCTGACCTAGCTTTTAATAGTGAAGAAAATACAAAAAAAACTCAACACGCGCATACATGTGCACACACCAATTAAAATACAATTGTAATTCGAAAATATCAAATTAGAAGGGACCTGCATCCCAGGATTGCTTGTTCGGTCCTCGTATTAATAATTATAACAAGTACAATTGTATCAGTGTTGCACCAAATGAACGATATGACGTTTTGAGAAACTTTTTAAGCCGATTTGATTTTTAATTACCTTACATTAATACAATTTTCAACCAAAAAGCTGGAATTCCTTTACACTTTACTGTTGAATACTTAAGAAGAATCATAGAACCAAAAGGTCAGCTAGGGGTCAGATATGTTAGCACATCTACTGTACTATACTGTATTCAAAAAAATGGATTTTTTTAATTTACTAAAGAAATTTATGTATACTCACCCTCGGGTACAGCATCATTATTGATCAAACTCAAGGTTGCAGAATTTCTCATTGTTATACAAAAATATATAAAATTCTTCCTGAAAACGTATCCCAAAATAAACAAAGGGAGCATTACTGTCGGTATTATTAACAGTAATAAAAGTTTATTCCATCCTTTGTTAATTATTTCATCAATGTCGTCGTTTATTTGTGTCAATCTACAAGTTGCTACGGAAGAGAATGGCACAGGTTTACCCTCGGCTACGAAAAAACATTGGTATTCTGACGGTTGAAAATCTACGAGAAGGAATTTTCCCTCAGTTTCTAAGTCTTCAACATCTTTGCATTCAGTGTTATAGCAGGGTTTTGTAACTTTGCTTCTGGACAATATCATTTCATTGTAATCATCAAACCCTCTGTGATACATAAGGTCAATTCTACTAGCTGATCCAGGATATCTTAAGGACTTTAGAAGTTTTTCAGAAGTTACATTCTCATTCTGGTACGCAAGTTCGAAAAGTTCCCTTGCGTTACAATTGCAAACCACGAAGTTTCCAGCAAAGCCAACATAAGTTATGCTTCCAATATCTTTTAACATTTCAGGAGTAATAATATTGAAATTATTATTTTGTAGCGATAAAAAATTAAGTTGCGGTATTAAACTGAACACCGGCCAAAACCAACTCGAGAGGCGATTATTCGACAAATCCAAAACTTGTAAATTCTTCAAACTTGAAACTACATTTCCTGTAATAGCTGTCAGTTCATTATTACGTAGTCTCAATATTTCTAATTGATCAAATGTATAAAAGTCTTCTGCAGATTTCAAACCAATATCATCAGCATACAACACCTCCAGATAACCTTCCAGGCCTTTTAGTAGATTTTTTCCTTGTAAAATCCCAGGATTTCCACTCAGGTCTAACAACCGCAAACTAGTCCCATTTAAACTAAAAGGTTTGAGTCTAGGAATTTGAGTAAAGCATAAAGATAGTCTTTCCAAGCTTTTTCGAAAATAATTCATAAAATTTAAATCACCGTTGTTAATTTTTGTATACGACAGATCCAGCGATGTAAGCTTTGCAACTGGTTTGAAAACCTGTCCTTCTAGAAGCAACTTTTCATTATCAAAACCAACATGGTTATGGCTTACATCTAGATGTAAAAGGCTTCTCAATCCGTTAAAAGCATTGGCACTGATGATGTTAATATTATTTTCTCCCAAATACAAAGCTTGTAATTCAGGCATGCCTTCAAATGTGTTATCGTTGATAACTTCAATAGAACACCGTCGAAGATCCAGTTCTTTGAGTTTAGAAAAAGTTCTGCTTTGAAAACCAGCGGCCCAGGCTGATCTAGCTGAAAAATTAATTCTTTATCACTTTTATTATTATGATTAGGTTATTTAGGTTGCTACTGATTAAGTTTACTTGTAGTGGTGGCTCTTCACGTGGCTCTTTGTATTTGCGTATTAATTTATTCAATATAGTACAATTACAGATACACAAGTCACAACCTGTTATTTCAAGCAGCAAAATTATTAACTTGAATCCAATCAAGATACTATATTACGAGTTTGGAAAACGGTCATATTTGTCAGTTTCTACGTGTTTGTCTGACGTCAAATATTTTTCCAAGTACAACAAATATCCACTAGCGAATACAAACACCCATTTGAAACACCTCGATAAGGGCGCGTGTCCACGCTAAGAAAAGTTGCCGGGTCTAAGCAAAAATTCGTGTCGTTTCTACACACGAACTGTGTACACTGCCTCGGCACCGGACAAAAAAAATCTTGTCTATCCCCGACACGACGCGCTCTGCCGCTATTATATGGGGCGGAGAGGCCGCATTGTCAGTAAACGAAGGTTTATGCGCGTGGACGGTGTTGCTTAGTAGTCAACATACAACATATTTCTTCCCACAGTCGGTAGTAAAACGACAGCTACCTGGAAAACTCGTAATGCACTGACACATTTTACCCTACAAACGTCTGTCCGAAAGCATTCGTATCGTGTACATACTCATCATTTTCTCGTTTGCAACAGACACAACATGTTTTCGTGGCTAGATCCGACAAAGTTCTTGTCGTGTCGAATTTCTTACCGTGTACACGCGCCCTAAAGCTAAAATCGTGTTGAAATGTTCATGTTGGAGAAGGTGTATAAAAATTCGAAGAAGTTAAGTAAATTGTACAACCTGGTACTCATGGGACCCATCGAAATAAACTATGACTTCACCGTACTCCTTAAAAGAAGACCCGAAGCCAGCAGAAAAAGATATACTGGATACAGGTTATTGTAACCAAGAAAGTGAGTCGTCAATTGAACATTTAAACTCGTTTTTGGCAAGTACCACTAACTCTTTTCAAACTACGTTAAATGGCATAAGAAGTTTGCGCATAAAAAAGATTCTAACGCTTTCGTAGTTATCCATTCCACTAGTTAGAAAGAAAAAAGAAAGAGAAGACATTTAGTTACAACAAAGATGCCACTATTAACAACAACAAAAAGAACTACAACATTAAAAAAGTAAACAAAAGAACAGCACAAAACCTAAAATTATTATGTGTACATCAGTTTTTTAATGAATTTTTTAACACCTATAAAATTTTCTTTTTGGTCGATTTTATAATTTAAATTTGGAAATGAAATTGACCAAAAAAATGAATTGGTGTTAAAAAATTCATTAAAAAAATCTAATTTTCAGTAATTAGCAAATGTACGTGATCTCTGGACACTTTTGATGTGATATTATGGTGCCAACTGCGGTAACAAAAAGTTACAGGTTACCAAGCCACGACTTTTCATTCATTTTCCGATATTTCAGAGCTGTTTCATGCCCTTTTGCTTTCATTATCACAAATTGAATGCCAAGTCATTCCACGGAACGAAAATTGTAAGGGCGCGTTCTCATTATGCCGTGACGACAGATAGTCGTGCAGTTTTAAGTGTCGTATCTTGTATATTTAAATGAAGTTGTTCAATACGATTAAACACGACAGGCAGTCAAAACGATAGGAAGAGCTAGAACGACGATAAAAATGAGACGACAGATAAATCGCAGTTACTATTGTAGTCACTTTTTATTTATCGTTGTCTGCATGAACAGCGTGCGGTTAGGTATTTAATGTGGTGTTAGTGTTTGTCTGTCAATGTATGTGTAGTTGTATGCAGCAAATACCAACCGCCTGCTATACATGAATTTATGGTAAGATAATAACTACTCTATCAGAATCTAACGGAGAGACCTCAACAGTCGTCTTACGATCTATCAAGTGTAGCCCTACAACCTATCGATGTGTAACCTAACCTAACCATAAATATATAAATGGAGAGATACATAGTATAAGTAAGGAAGTCTGTCACCAGGAGACTTAAGGTGACAAACGGAAGTTGGGAAGGAAATTAGGATGTACACGTCGTGCGATGTGTACAGGAATGCTTTTCTCACTACCGGTCAAGCAGGCTCACAAGACCGATCTACTGATGGCTAAAGGTGTCTTGGCCACAGTGAGAGGAGTAGCAGGTAGTACGTCACTAAGCAAGGAGATGAGTTAAAATCAGATGGTATTGGTCAACTAACTCTATTTACAATTTTTACTGACTATTTATACAATATTTGTTTATACTACATTATAATAAGTTTTCTTAGTGTGCTATGGGTGTTATTGATGACTAGGTTTATTTTTGTTAACGTGTACGTGTGTGTACGTGACTATGCTGCACTTGTTACAAAAGAATGATCTGTTGACGAGGCTAGTTTTTGTAGCATTTTATTCAAGGTCGCTATTTTGCAGTTTCTTCGTTGTTTATATTATGTTCAACCTTGAACACTGCACGTATTCTGCTCCCCCTCTCGTAACTCGCGCAATAAATTGTGGTCACGATCCAATGAGAATTGCTAGACACGACATCCGTTCAACGATAAAAACGTCCACAACACAGTCACGACATACATAATGGGAACGCGCTCTAACGTAATAATATCATACAATACATACAGACTCGCTAAACAATACCTGACAACCGAAAAGATAAATTAAAGTCGGCCTCCTTAGCGTCCGTAGCGTTCATTCGAACACCGTAATGTGCACCAGGTGCGTTGAAGTTCAAGAAATTATTGCCATATAGGGTCAGGTATTCTACTGTTGAAGATATGGGCTGCCCTGAACGGCCTTGAAAGTGGAATATCTGAGAACAAATTATTAGTTATTGTGTAATTTTCTCGTTTTTTTTTTCGTTCGTATTTCGCGTTTTATTCCTATATTTTCAAAATCAATAAAATTTTCAAATCTATTCTAACCTCTCCCCATAGAGTATATAACCAGAAATAGAGACGAAATGTCATTTCATTTGTGTGAAAACTATTCTGCCAAATTATTACGGTGACAACTGCGCTCCGATTGGCCAGCCCGAATCCCGGTATCGATTGTTTCACTTCAAATCGACCAGTTTAACTTGAACTTTGCTATAATGGACGAAAATTGAAAAATTACATATTTAATTACCGATGAATGTGATTCCGTTTGTTTTGTAATTAGATGCTTTGTTGTTTTTCCGACACCACCGAATGGAACAGCCCCCCGTGGGTAGAGATATTATCTTTATTACAATAAACACGGAATATTTTTGGAATATACGGAGACGTACACACAGGTCAGTTGTTGGCGCTGTACTATTTCTTTCTAATTTGTAATGTCAGTGACGAGAGTTGATGTTTAAAAGTGATATAAGGCTTATTTGCCTGATGTGTTACCAGGGGTGGATGGCCCTTATTTCGTTTATATTTCTGGTTATATGCTCGATGCTTCTCCCTGTAGTGTGTGTGTGACGTACATAGCTTGAGTTGTGGCACCAAACCTTCACCCTGTGGAACCCCGACAGATATGTAATACAGAAGTGAAACGGTCTTGGTGGGAATCCTTATATAGGTACTTTCCAGAATTATACTCATATGTCAATAAAGTATTATGTTGCGTAGCGATAGCTTTTGATCCGACTTTTAACCGACTTAAAAAAGGAGGAGGTTCGACCGTATTTTTTGTGTGTACGTTCCGCGATTTCTCCGTCATATGTGAACCGATTTTGATGATTCTTTTTTGTTGGAAAAGGAAAAGAAAATATTCCACCTCTAAGGCTGCCTTTCAACCAGAGATGTACCGACGTAGCGAAGCAATGTGCAAGGAAAAAATCCACCTATAGGATTGCTTCATTTTCCTAGCCTCGCTTAGAGCAGCTCCGGTGGAAAGGGGTTAGCAGAGCGAAGTATTTGTACATACAAAATAGCAAGAAATGTGTGCGAGAGATGTGTGCGAGGGATGCGGGCGAGGAATGTGTGCAAAACGGTGTAGGAAACTAAAGCTACTGAAAGTATGACACTTTAGGAGCCTGTTGTGTAGCTGCTGGTAGGCAAATAAAACCCTGGTCGTTCAGGAGTCGAAGGCTATTGCTGTGGCTTGCTAGCTTGGTGTGGCTTGCTGTAGCTCGACATTTATTCAACGAATGTTACTACTTATATACTTTTGTATATCTTAGGAAGGCATACATAGGACCCGCCGCGCGCTCGCCGTTCAGTGCACGCCGATGCGTTGAGCGCGGCGGATGCGTGGATGACTTGCAGCTACAACACTAACTAATAGTGACATATCGCCACCGCTCACCCCACCACACCATACCCCGCCCGCGCATAGCTGAAAAGAGATCGTAATACATCCTCGCACAGCTTTGGTGGAAAACATCACACCGTTTCACAGAGCCGCTCCATATCCTCACACCGCATCGCTCCCTCGCACATCACTGGTGGAAAGGCAGCCTTAGAGTGGCAAATTAGGGGATACATCCGGATTGTTGGATTTGATCCACTTTAAACAAAGCGATCTCAATAAAATTTGAGAAATAGATGTGATTCCATCGATTTATAAAAAAAAGTTATAATTATAAAACCATTGCCCTGTAGGACTCCCGTATTTGAGATGTAAAATGAATGAGATAAAATGTTTTATTCGTTCATTTTAAAGGGCATAGTACAGGGGCGGATGTTTCCATTTAAGCTTGTTAGGGCCTGTGTTAGCAAACATCGCTCTTCTATAATATTAAAGTAATCTTGCTCTTCTGTTATTTTAAGATGATGACTACCTTAATATCTACTATAACTAGTGTTACAACTATTACAAATTTCACTAATTACAGTAATTTTTAACTTTTCAGACTAAAAACAGATTAACCTAAATGTTAGTGTGTGTGAGTGCAAGTATATGTATCTATAGGTGTCATCCACCCGATAGACGTAGAATATCCAAAATTATACAATGTCATACCATTTATACATATAAATAGTATCATTTCGAGATATATAGATGTAACAGCACTTACCGCGGGAACTCTGAGTAGATTACTCTTTGCCATGCTTAAATATTTCACATTGATTGGCTGCAAAATCCTATCCACATTTTGGGTCAGTATTTCTGTTGGATTTGGATTCCATGACAAATCCAATATGTAGTTAAAATCTGAAAAAGCGTGAGCAGGTTTTCAACAAACTCTCTTGGTATTGGATTGTTTTTTATAATATCAAGCGACGAGATGAGCAAGTCATGCATAACAATTGCAGTGCCACTACGTCTGTTACCCTGAGATATAAGTTGACAAGTCCCGTGTGCCTGTAATTTCACGAACACCTTTATCCTTCAAAACCGAAACGAAGACATGCTCACATTACTGCATGGCGGCAGAAACAGAAAAGGTATTTCCCTAGACTGCTACTAAATAGCCTTTTACGGTTCTCCGCTGCTCGTACGTTACTATCTGGAAAATATGAGGGCGCTGTACGACGTGCACCCGGGGCGGCTCACCTAAGGCACTAGCCGTACAGAGAACCGGATAATCCGTGCAAACGTGCTGATCCGGGGTTAGGACCCGACTTAGATGGCGCCTGTGCGGGTTCGCTCGCACAGGTCTAAGTGCCCTTTTCGTATACACTAAGGGTCGGTAGGAAGGGTCACTACAATCAAAACTAATGTAGAAAGATATGGGGCTATTCGGAGGCTAGCTCTTACTGTATAACCAAAGTGTTCATAAGGAGGGTACTATACATGCACTCGAGGCACTAGCCCCTAGGGTGCATGCCAACAGCTCCGCTACCAATGCGGCTATTTGGTAGTTGCCTTTAGAGTCAACGGCTTAAAGTTGGCAACCACTAGTTGGTCAATGCACAACAGGAGGTGAAGAAGCCCACAGCTCCGATAACTATAGCTATCTGGACAATAGGAGGGTGGTTGTATGTGCACTCGTGGGTGCTCACTCAAGGCACTAGCCTAGACAACCGAATGAAATCTGTGTCAACGGGCTGATCTGGAATCAGAACCTGATTGATAAAGTACTGCTTGCACAGGTAATAAGTACCCTTCCCGTATGACCAAAAGGTTGCGTAGAGAGGGAACTATAATCAAAACTTAGTAGAAGATATGGGCCTACTCTCACATTGGTGTCATGCTTAAGTCTGTGATAATTCTCAAAATATATCAAGGTCAAGTACATGAAACATAACATCTCTTCTTAACATGCCACCGATAAGATTATATGCAACATCATCATATTCATCGTGAACTGGTTACTCATTATGGCAGATAACAAATAAGTCACACTCTGTGTAATAAGGACCCATCTGAAAAATGACGGTAGTTTTCTCATGCTCTTAATGGTAGGAGCACGAGGACTAATATGTCCTTATGCTCCTATCGTGACGTCGTATCTAATAAGTACACTGAACTAGTATATCTTTATGTCATAGGCATGAACAAAATTACACTTGAAATTTAAATTTGTATTGAATTGATATCCAATTGGAAATGAAACTATTTTTCCGGATTTAAATCGCGTATATTTGTTTTTTCAAACAAACCGACGTTTCGGGCCCTTTACAGGTCCCGTGGTCACGGTTGACTGAGGTGGTACAGTCTTCAACCAGTTATGTCTAATATTAATGCAAACCACCCTATTTTTTCACTATAGTTACAATAGTTATTAATTAAATACCTTATTTTTAATTTTACAAAGAAAACATTCCAATTTACGCTACATTAAGTTTTACAAATTATTTTATTGAATGAATTTTTATTAAGTTTAATTTATTATTAATTATTAATAGAAATTAGAATAAACTAAAACATATTAATTAGTACTGCAGTCTTATGTCTGTTTGGGATTTTTCATTAGAGGAAATACTGGATCCCAAACTGGTGGTACGGAGAAACCATCTTCCCTGTTGAAATTAGGATGTTTTTTAATTTCAATGGCCTCTCGCAGCATCCTGGGCAGATAACGGACTTCTTTTGCAAGGACCTGGGGTTTGTCAAACTTCATTGAATGTGTAGGTTTATCCATGACATGCTCGCAGACTGCAGACTTGTTAAATCCGGAAAAATAGTTTCATTTCCTATGTGTAACAATCGCGAAAACCTAAGAACTTGATATCCAATTATTTTTTGTGAAATTACTCCACTAGTTTGTTATAATTATTAATACAAAGATGGAACACTCAGAAAAAATTCCTTCTATCCGGCCGTATTCGAACCAACCGACGTCTTCTTGCAAACCATGCCAGACGCTATGACACTATTTACTTAACTATCTAATAGCGACATCTCTAGGCAGGGATGATAGCTGTAAAGCTACCTAACTGGGTGACGAAATACTTTCTTAGATTTCTCGTAGGCGGCGCAACGGCTAAAAAGTCGTTGCAAAACAAAATACAAAGATCCGACAACAAGCACATAGAAAAATTCGTGAAGTCCGCTGATTCATTTCGTGGTTAATTGGCATAGCGTCTGCCACGGTTTGCTAAAAGACGTCGAAATGTTCTATCTTTGTATTAATAATTACACTTGAAATTGTCACTTGCGCTCTTTCGTAAGGCAGATTCCCCGAGAAGAATAGTCAAGAAACTCTAGTGGCTGCACTTTAAAATTAATATAGTAATTTAATACAGAAACAACCTGAAAGAACTAAACGGATCACTGCCATGGATATCGTCATCCAAGTTCCTACACAGAAGTTGTATAACCTTTAGCATGCATTAGTTTTTCTTTTACTATAGTTTTAAACCTCATAAACGCCAAAGTTTGAAAATCAACCGGAATCTTATTATACGTGTATGAAATGTGAATATCAAGAACAACTAGTTTATTTTTATTCCACTTATTAAATTCAACTCCGTCATCAGAAAAATCACAGACCTGTGAAAATGACAAGTAAAGTCGTCGGGGAGTACAAATCCGCGTATGTAGTATTGGTAAAAAGCGCGTATCTACACTAAATCAAATTTTACAGTAAAAAGGTTTTAACGTTATGACTTTGTTATTTAAATGGCTACAACTTTCATTTTTGCACAATAAGCATTAATTTATGTTATCTACGGTCTGATAACAATAGATTCCCTTAAAACACACTAATTTGGCTTGCACGACATTTACGCGGTTTTGATTTGGCGACTAAATTACCGAAATGGAGACTCATAATCAAATGCTAGTTACGCGTAATTCCACTATCCCCGACGAAATTACTTTTGTTTGGTTGTTTATAAAATATGCGGGGCACGTGAGTTGCCCTTTAAGTTGGAAGCTATGTCCGGACATTGTCGTTGGACACTGCGACTGGCATCTCCGGCAATAGCCCGGAGAGCTCGTAGAGGATAGGCTGGATATCCTCTGGTCCCTCCAGCCGCTTAGGTTATTGGGAACTGGAGAGACGTCGTTTTTCGGCGTCGGGAAGTGAGCATGCCTTACAGCACCGCCACCAATGAGGAGATTTCGTAGTGGACTCAGATTCGACGGCATAGCGGTGGCAACCGCTAGTTGTGCAATGCGCAACGGGAAGTGAGCGTGCCTGCAGCTCCGGTACCTATCTGGAAAATAGGGAAGGTACTGTACGTGCACACGGGGCAGCTCACTCGAGGCACTAGCCTCTCGAATAACCGGATGAAGTCAAGTGACAGAGGTCTGTGACAACCCTGTACCTGACCTGGGGTCAGAACCTGAACTTGTAAGGTTCCTGTGCGCGCACAGGTCATTCTGCCCTTCCCGTTGGGAAGTAGGGGGTAGGTAGGAAGGGGCATTATAATTAAAACTAACGTAGAAAAATATAAAGCTTTCACTGAAGAGGCAGATAAGCTTAGAGAATCGATAACACACTACGAGTACTACAATATCAATTAAATATAAATTGTATTTGACAGTACATTAGTAGGAGCACGAAGGAATATTTATCCTGTCCTACCAGTAGTACCACAAGGACATATTAGTCCTCGTGCTCCTAACAGTAGGAACACCTAGTTGGAGCATGAGGTAACGGCCAAAATGTCACCTTTTCGAAAGTTTAAAGATTCTATAAAGAAATTAGTCAGTGAGTATATAAAATTAAATCTGACGACCTCCGTGATCGAGCTTGCACACTGGTTTTCATGGTGTCGCCATTTCTTAGGTCCCATATTCGATTCCTAGCCGATGTAGAAAAACGAACTTGTATATTTTGTCTCGGATCTGGGTGTTTGTGGTACCGTCGTTGTTTCCGATATTTGTAACACAGGTGCTTTAACTTCTTATCAGAGCAACGTATGTGATATTGGAGACAAGATCACAGTACTGACACCCTACCTATTTCTGCCGCACAAGTTGTGCAGGATAAGGGTGCTGGCACATGAGACTTGTCAATTACTTATGTCTCAGGATGACGGGCACAGTGGCATGCCTCACTCAAATCTTTGCGACTTAAAGCTAAGAGCGGCATTGCAGTGCGCCTGCGACTGTTATGGACAGGCGTGTTGCTTACCACCAAGCGCGCAACTTCCCGTCCCGTTATTTGGCATCATAAAAAAATACCTCTTGCAGATGCTATATTACTAATACACACTATTTTAGAACCGGTAATCATGCTTACTCTTCCTACTTCCAATTTTGCTGTAGAATTACTAACAGTGGTAGCAATTTACTCTATCACCTAGTAAAACTTACCAATTTTATCAGTAATTTCCCCATTCTCGTCCACCCATGACTGGACATCAGTCATGTATCCGGTAAGGCAACTGCGATCATGGCGTATGATGTTGTGGTTGGTAGGCTGTCGTGCGACCACCGTAATGCAGAGTGTTGTCAAGCTGTAATTTTTAGGTATAGGTATTAGTGGAAACACGTGTGTTTATTTATTATTAGAAATACTATTTATTCAGACAACAGAATTATTAAAAGTCATAGAACAAAAGTTGTTGTTTATGATAACAATATAGTCCAGCGAGGCTGCTAGTGTTTTATAAATAACCTTAACCCCCAGAGCGTATCCCTCAAGGGTCAAACCTTGAAAAACCAAATACAAAGATATGACGTAAGCACATAGAAAAATTCGTGAGGTCCACTGGTTCGTTCCGCGGCTTAGTTGGTATAGCGTCTGCCACGGTATGCTAGAAGACGTCGACGTCAGACGTAGAATCTGGCCGGATCGGAGGAATTTTTTCTGAGTGTTCAATCTTTGTGTTAATAATTATAACAAACTAGTGGAGTAATTTCACATAAAATAATTGAATATCAATTCAATAAAAATTTAAAGATAAATCTTGTGGAGTAAACCTTCTCCATTCTTATTTGAATGAAAAGAAAAGAAAGAAAGAAACGTTTATTCAGCTTAAGATAATTCAAGCTAAACAGATAATTCTTATTAATTATTACATATACCTATCTATAAGCTGAAACGGATCCAACTCAGCATATGTTACAGCTCGCCTGCTGTAACACTGGTTTTCAGTTGGAACATTTTTTACATAATCTCAGTACAGAGTACCATAAAAACCGACCTCAAAAGTACGTGGAATTACATCTATCTGCCAAGTTTTATTGAAATATCGCCTAGTTCGCCACTATACAGGAATTGATACAGGAGATAATAAAAATCTGTTCTCACTACTCAAAGTATATTGAGAGAAAAAAACGCCTTGAATTGGAGAATAGCAAAACCAGCCATTAAAATAATTGCTATTTAAGTAAAATTTAGGCCCTATTTAAAAAATGAATGTTCATGCGTGATCAGCCACCCTTAGACGTGGATGATTGTCTTCAAAATGAAATGGGACCACTACCCTCTTTCCAACAAAAAAGAATCATGAAAATCGGTTCACAAATACCGGAGTTATCGCGTAACATACATACAAAAAAACACAGTCGAATTGAGAACCTCCTCCTTTCTTTGAAATCGGTTAAAAATGAGATGGCACGTAAGTACAAGTGTGATAAACACTAAAATTATATAATGTAACTTAACTATTAACTAAAAACAATTAGAAAAATTACTAATAGGAACTTTACGTGACTGTATATAAAATACTACACTTGTCAGGGATTGTTACATGAATTGAATGTATATGAAATATATATGAAACACAGCACTTCATCATCATCATATCAGCCGAAAGACGCCCACTGCTGAACATAGGCCTCCCCCAAAGATTTCCAGACCAGCCGATCGGACGCTACGTGCATCCATCAGTTACCCGCCAACATTACACTACTTAGGAATTATTTATATATAAACACACACAACGCACAATACTCGCCCCAAAAGGTATTTCATTCTAATACCAAATTAGAAAGATTAGTAAAGTAAATAATGAAGGTGATTTGTGATTTTATGGGCACGTCCTCTCGTTTTAAGAATTTTGATGGGAATGATCACGGATAGAACAAATTTAAGAATAGTGGAGGAAAAGAGAATCATAACGTCAAGCTAAAGCAATCCATATTTAAAAAGCAGTAAGGATTCTTGTGAAAGAGTTCGTCCAGGGAAGTACTGCCACCTTACCTATTTCTGCCGCCAAGCAGTAATGTTAGCATTACTGTGTTTCGGTTTAGAAGGGTAAGGCTGCTGGTGAAATTGCACATGAGACTTGTGAACTTATGTCTCAGGATGTCAGGCGCAGTGGCCGTGCCCTTCAGATCTTTGGGATTTAAAGCTCTATGTGGCACTGCAACTGTCATGGACAGGCGTGTCGCGTACCATCAGGAGCACAACTTATTCGTCCCGTCACTTGATATTATTTTAAAAAAATCCACAGGATAGGGATTTAACGTTATAACAACTTTCATTTTTTTTTGTTTTATTTATTTATTTATTTCAGGCCACATGACCCGTACAATATATATACCTTAGTTCTAATATATATACAATATAATAAAATACTATTTATAACCAACCTTCACGAATTACATTACATTACGGCATTTTGCTTTTACAGAAACGTGCGGTTAGGGCAATTTACAATCTGGGCCCCAGAGTATCTTTGAGAGATAAGTTTAAGGACATGAACATTCTTACACTAGCCTCACAGTACATTTATGAAAATGCAATTTATGTTAATAGGAATAGTAATTTCTTTAAGAAAAATAGTGACAGACGTAACATTAATACGAGGAATAAAAATAAACTAGCTGTTCTTGATAGTCGTCTTCACAAAGTGATAAATTCATTTCAAGATTCCGGTTGATATACTAAATTTGCCTTTCACGAGGTTTAAAACTATAGTGAAACAAAAACTTTACACATAAAGGTTTATTATACAACTTCTGCGTACTTTTTTACTTTTTACTGCAATTCGTGTAGATTACTTATTTAGTTTATTATATTGTTACATTTACATTACCTACATTCTACGTATGTTAGTCCTTATGGTATATATTATATGGGTCTTGTGGCATGAAATAAATTACTAATTAAAATAAAATTAAGAAAATAACACTGCAACGCCACAACACAAAAATTAATTATCATTTTTCTTGAAATCTTTACCCTAAATTGTACTTACATTATATATTTAACCATTTTACAGCACTATTCCAAAAAAAAACCACAGAATCCATTACATTTTTGCGTTTCACCACACTACGCAAAAAAAATCAACAACTCAATGTTCGCAAAAATAATTTTACACGTCATTTTTTTTTCTTTCCCTTTCACACACACGTTAAACTGAAAGATACAACTAATGCGACCACTTTTACTGAATTTTCAGTTTATGAAATTTTTCCGGAATGTGTTTTATTTATTTATTTTTTAATGGCGTTAAAAGCCTATAGCCTAAAAGCGTTAAAAACTTTGTTTAATTTGTGCTGGCTGCGATATTTTGTTCTCTAGTCATTTGAAGTATTGTTTTATATGAAAATTCTGTCCGATAGCAATATATCGGCTGATAATTACATATCTAATCGAACGTAAATGTCAAAGACAAGGTTGGCAATGATTAAGCAGTAAATGTAAATCAGAGAGATTATTTTGTTTGCAAAACTCAATTGTAACTATTAAACATTACATTATATTAATGTATTTTCGCTGTAATTCCTAATGCAGTAGAGCTCCATGTGACAGAGTTCGTCCGGGGAAGTACTGCCACCTTAGCTATTTCTGCCATCAAGCAGTAATGTGAGCATTACTGCGTTCTGGTTTCAAAGGGCGCTGGTGAAATAACGCACAACTCACACACTCAACACAGCTCCGCACTAAGGAAACCCTGTGTCACGAGTGCCATGGACACATACATAGACAACCACAAATTACACCCAAACTCACGAGAGAAATAAATCCATACAAATATTTCTCCCGGCCCGAGAATCGAACTTCTGTGGCAGTTAAAGTGGTGCCCCTCAGATATTTCCGATATAAAGCTCTGAGTGGCACTGCAACTGTCATGGATATGCGTGTCGCTTATCGCCAGACGCACAACTTGTTCTTCCCGCTTAATATCGCACTGCTATTACAATAGTGTTATAACTAAAAATATGTGAAATTCTAGATTATACCATTGTTGAACGTATAATTTGACGTCAATAAAACCCTCGTTAGAATATGATAAAAAAAAACTAAAAGATATCCACTTAACTACTTAACTCAAAATTAGACACGCTTTATGTGAGCTAGTTCTGCCCAAAATTGTCCTTATTCAAAAATATGAAAGTATTTTTCTCTTTTATTGTTATTATACTAGTAATTCATTTTTCGTCGATTCTGGGAAAATACACTTTTTAAGTAAATACACTATTGTATTAATGGTGCGAATCATACAAAATGAACCATGAAAAAGATTAATGAAACTCACGCCACGCCGCCGCCGCCGCTTGTGAATTTGGCCGGGCGTAAAATCGGCGTTGCCAAAATTTATTTTCTTTTAATCAATTACTGTTATCATTATCTTTGTAATTTCGTACTATTTTAAAAAGCCGTGATAGCCTAATGGTTCGACCTACTGCCTCTCAAGCAGAGGTTCTGGGTTCGAATCGGTAGGTGCGAATTTTAATTTGAACATCGTGTTGAAACATGCGCGTTGAAGAAGGTTCACAACCCTCGGAAAAAGTGTGAAGTCTCCAACCCGTATTGAGACAGCATAGCCGACTATGGCCTAACCCTTGCCTGAGATGAGACACATGCCCAGAAGTGGGACGTGTAAACGGGGTGTCTCTCCATTTAGTGCTTTAGTAGTACATAGAAATCCAAAAATTCTCCTAAAAATTCTCCAAAAATTCTCCTGTCGTAACTAGGTGGCAAGCTTACCATTTTGTTAATACCATTTATACGCTTTCTAAGTTGTCAAAACAACAGACAAAGGTTTTTGTCATCTGTATTTTTTTCTAAATAGCATCTGAGGGAGTACGTATGTGCGAAGCTAAGTTAGTCAGTCTACATCATTTCAAAATTTAATTAATTAAGCCATATCTTATCCTAAATGACTTGTATAATTAATAAATTAATTGTGTAGATAGATATTTTTCAGAAAAAAAATAAATACTTAGCGAAAAATAACCTAGAAAGCTTTATGTCCTTTGTAAAGAACAAATGTAGATAGTTGATATTAAGTATGCCTATACATGTTCTTTACAGAGTACATAAACTAAATCTTTCAAATATATATATATATATATATATATATATTTCAAATTATATATTTCTTCTTAAGTTATGATAGATTATGATTTGACAGATTAGATAATGAATATTAGAACTATTAGAAACGTTCAATGATTCCAAGATTGTTTTATGGTGACGTTTCCGATGACGATCTTCAATATAGGCTACCGAATCGCAATCAAACTAACATACTTGAGTCAGATAGCAATTGAAACGACGAAGCACATATCGTATTGTGAATATAATAGTGTATTAACTAAAAAGGGTATTCTTTCAGAGTCGATGAAAAACCAATTATTCTCTTCTTGTGAAAGATTTAGAAAAGAACATGTATAGGTTAAAGGCTATTACAGACACGTAAACAATTTTCTACTTGCCAAATGTGTTCAAAAATAAAAGGGAAAGAATAATTTCCTATTTTTGAGTAGGACTGTTTTTTCCAGAACTAGCTCATAAAAAGTTTATCTCATTTTGAGTTAAGCAGATATCTTTTAATTGTTTCTTACAATATTCTAACAACGGTTTCATTGGCGTGTAGAGAATCAAATTGTACGTATACCAATACTATAATCTTGAATTTCACATATTTTGAGTTACAACACTATTGCAATAACAGCGCGATATATCGGATGCTGTTGTGTCTTCTCCAGCGTGTACCGATAATTCGGAAGTATTCGCCAGTTCATCATCATTTCCGTCGCGATCGAGAGGACATCTGAGATCCATGACGCGTTCACGTAGACGTGTTTGTAGTCGAGTCAGAGGCACTTCAAACACCTTCACTCCGATCACAGGTCCTCAGTTGCCAGAATGCTAATGATAAGCAATATAATTATCTTGCTTATCATTAGCAAAACACAAGTTTGAGCCAAAGTTTAGCGTTTGCAACCCGCCTATTTACCAATAGATACTACGGAATGGGCAATGTATAGAGTCTACCAGCAGTAGGTATATCGATGACTATATTCTTTTTGTTTACTGTACACATAGAACACAAATTTTGAAAACTGGTAGGTCTCTCAGATTGTCTATAAGGGAATGAAAGGCATAACAGTTTAAAACAGTCACACTGCAAAAAAAATTGGTTGTAATAATAAAAACTATACAAAATCTGAGTTGTCGGTGTTTTTTTTTTATAGCATCAAGTGACAGGACGAAGAAGTCGTTGGTCTGATGATAAGCTATACGCCTATCCATAACAGTTGCAGTGCCACTCAAAGATTTAAATTACAAAGATCTGAGGGGCACTACCACTGTGCCCGTCACCCTGAGACATAAGTTGACAATGTCAATTCATGTGTTTTTTTTATTTGCAATAAATAATATTTTATTCAAATATTCCTTTAACTTAATTGCTAATTAGTCTACTTACAACCGTTCAAAATTTTAAAAAGTCTTCTTAATATAGTGCCGTTGTTCTACATATAGGACATAGTGAAAATGCGGTTTTCCCGAACAAATGTTTTTTTTCAATATTTTTCCAATGCTTTCTAAAATATTAACAACAGACCCTGAAACTCCTGACCTGAAACCTAAGAACTCGATAGACCCTGAAAGTTTAATAAAAATATTCTAAAAAAAGGTCTCTGAGTAGGCAGGGAGTTACGTCATTTCGTTATTTCATATTTGCTTGCGTTTTTACGTGCATTTACTAAATATAGTAAATGCAATTATTTTATTTATTTATTTATTTTTATTATTTTAACATTTATATTTATATTTTATATTATATATTATATTTTAACATATTTTAAAGTTTTAAAATCACAATTAAAAAGTTTAGAAAAAGGAACACAAGACAGCGAATAAAAACCATTAACAGATGTATGTATCGCTGCCATCACATGCTATCAGGCGTCTAACAAAATAATTACTGACCAATACTTATACGTATCTAATAATTTACGCAACTTACACTTAAAAACTAATAACTTTAACTATGTGATAAATGAATCGACTTAAGGATCGTCTTACAATTTTTTGGTTTACCTATAAGTTTATCAAAAACGTCACTTGGCAATTTATTAAGGAGTAATGGTAACATATGTATATCTCCAGACACGCTTTCCATAGTTGTTATTGTATGGAGAAAGAACATACCTTGGGAGGTAATTTAGATTACGCAATTTACCGATTCTTGTCGTTTGTTTTAACATGTCAATTTTATCTATTTCATCCATTGACTTACAAATAAATGGACGACGGGTCTAATACAAAAACCACGAAAAAAATGTCCCAAATCAACCTATTTAAATGTTAAACTGGTCGTTTTAACTGGTAGTGTTAATTGTTTCGAATTCAGGCTGATGTAATGAATTTGGCAGAATGATTTTCAAACAAATTAAATGACATTTCGTCTCTATTTCTGGTTATATACTCGATGATATAAATACACAGAATCAGACCCGACACGCGCCCGACCCGAACCCGCTCGCTGTGTATTTGACGCTAAAATAAAAAACGACTTCACGATTAGCACACATATCTACTCTGGGCTTGTATAATACTCGACCATTGCATTGGCTAAACTACGACTTATTATATAATTCTCATTCCAACAGTAATTCTTCCAAAGGAGCTTAAAGCCTTGGACTACAAAGTCCAGTACCGCACACCGCCACCCCCTTCCCCTGGGACAACGCGCACACCCGAAGAGATCGAAGCCGAAATGAAAAAAATCGAAACAGAGTATGAGAAACTAGCTATAGTACACATTGAGTAAGTAATACCTCCCTAATATCTTATGTTATATTACTATACGGGGTTATTTTTTAAATACTAACAACCTTGCATACTAGATGACTAACATCTTAACACTTTTGTTCTTTGACTTTTGAGAATACGTGATAAATATACCAAAAATAAACTTATAAGTCTTTTTTGTACTATCTGACACTTTTTAGATGTATATTATTGTAGCAAGGTAATAAGTTCAAACGTGCTAGCGTCCTTTCCGACGACCCCCCGTATTGCACAGAGTTATCGTTACCACCGTTAATAGTAATCTACATACCTAAATAGTTTTATTTTTGTATGAAAATATAATCAAACAGATTATGTAGTTAAAGTTACTGAACAAAAGCTGTTTATGATGTTAGTAATACCACAGTCTTGCGACATCCAACTACGACCCCCGCAGGGAACACCCCCACCGCGTACGTAGGACCCGTCGGCCAAGTAAAGTCCTCAGCGACCCTGACGACCCAATTACTCTCGCCACTTTGAAGGCCAACCAGATCGCTAGTCAGTCCCGTACCTCACGCACCAACCGTCTTCGCCGGTGAGGCCGCAGAGCCCCTCTTTTCAGCACGTAAAGTGGTAGACTCTCTCCTATAACACGCCCTCGGCTAAGTGACAAATGGTCAAATATGCGATTTATTTATTTATTTATAAATGACATCCAACAGCATACATTGTAGAACTTAAAAACTAGTGTTGCCAATTATAGGATATCACTGAAAAAAAAGCATGACGTGACATAGTGAGTTTAGAGTTTATTGAATGCTAGTGTAAATTCAAAAAGTAGCAATAATAATAATAAAACTTAAAAATTTGAAAAGAAAAAGAAAAAAATTAGTAATAATAATATTTGTAAAATTGCAGCAAAATACATTCCAAATTAAACACATTCCAATTTAATTTTTTTTTTCTTGTTTTGTTGTGCACATATGCCGTTCTTTTAGTTATAGTGTCGTGTATTTAGGTCTGCAGGAAGAAATTTCTATTATAGTGCGCGCGGAACTAGCTGGCCGCGCCTTAGGTAGGGACAGGGGTGAGGGGGCGGGTTGCTTGCTGCTCGCAACGCACATGAGATTAGACAGTGACGACCAATCTCGAGATATCGTGAACAATAATTGTTCAGTTATTGAAAAGAAAAAATTAAAGCCAATTGAACTTTTACAAGTTTATATTATACCTATCTAATTAATTGCAATGTACAGTCGGCAGCACATCAGGCCGCCACAAACTGTCAGATTTCCTCAATTGATTTTCAACTTAAAGTCCAGGGAATAGAGTATAAAATTGATTGGATAAATTTGACATTTATGTATTGATGGACTTGCTGTTGTCCGTACATTGCAATTAAAAGTAAAATAAACCAAAAACAAATTAAATGAAATTCTTCCGACATATTTGAATCATTTATGAAATTATTATTAATTAATTAGTGTAACTAACACGACTTTGTATTTATAGATTTGAAATTACTCTGACATATTATCCTCTGAATCACTTGATTCTGAATTGTCTGAACTTGAGTCAGAATCATCTTGTAAGTTTATAATGAATTCGTCCATCACAGTATCATATCTCATATCATGATTCCAGTATTCTTGTTCGTTTTTTTGTACGTGGTCGTCGCATTTTTGCCATTGTTCGGCAGAAAATTCAGAAAATAGTCTTGTTAGTATTGTAATTTTCTCGTCCAATGTAGCATTAATGTGATCTCTGGCCAGGCAATTTTTTATATTTGCCCACACAAGCTCGATTGGGTTGAGATCTGGATGATATGGAGGTAGTCTTAGAACAGTATGACCTGCACCTTTCAGAAGTTCATCAATCGTGTATATTTTTTCTGATTGGGTCGTATTAATCAAGCCCAAGAGTTCAGCTTTGACCATCGTGGGAGAAAAGGGCACGTTATGATTTTGCAACCAATTCTGCATATTAATTTTCATACAGGACATAGTCGGTTTCTTCTCAACTTGCACACAGTGGTAAGCTGCATTGTCCATAACTATGACTGAGTTAGGTGGAAGTTTAGGTATTAACTTTCGATCAACCCAGTTGTAAAAATTTGTAGAGTTCATGTCTCCATGATAGTCTCCTGTTTTTGAATCTGATTTAAAAATTAGCAGAGCATCGTCAACTAACCCGTTCCGACTACCAGCGTGAACTATTATTAAACGCCTTCCTTTGCCTATATCTGCATAAACACCAGGCTCCGACGAAGATTGCCAACATTTTTGGACATTATGACTTTGGTTAACGTAAGTTTCGTCCAAAAAGAATATATTTCGTTTGTCTTCTCTGAATTTTCTTATGGCCCTCAAATATTTCACTCGCCATTCAACAATGTTTGGTCTCTCTAATAAAAGGGATCTCTTCGATTTACATTTTTTAAATGAATATCCCAGTTTGTGCAAAAGTTCTCTTAAATAAGTTAATCCGCAATCTAAAATATTATCCTCTTTTAACACAGCATTTAGTTTTCGTAGACTTGGATTTGTTTTCTGTACCGTATAAAACTGATTTATTTTTCTTCTTATCACTCCTAAATCAAAATCATCAACTTGTATTTTCTTTTTTATCTCTTTTGGCCTTCGTGGAGAACTAAATTTTGCTTCCCCTGTATTTTGCAAGGATGTTTTACTTTGAGCAATCACTCTCCTTACACTTCGTTCTGATATCCCGGTTGCTTCTGCCACTAATTTATGAATATTCGCATCAGTTTTATATTCTAAACTATTGACATCGGCTTTCCGTTTTTTAAAAAACGTATGCACTTTAAATATTATTTCCTTAGATTGTCTTTTTATCGGCGGACTCATCTTGACATTGCAATCTCTTGTGCGTTTTGTCTAAACTAGCCAGAACTGTCAACGTGTGTTGCCGCCGCGAAGTCCGGCGCCGAACTGAGTATTCTGAGTAATGACATCAAGTGCCCCCGCCTCCCCGTCCCACCGCTCACATACCTAAGGCGCGGCCAGCTAGTTCCGCGCGCACTATAGAAATAAGCAGAACCTTTTGTTTTTAATCTCGCTTGTATTCTTTGTGACTTGTTGTATTTTTCCTGTACAATAAACTATTAAATAAATAAATAAATAAAAATTAAAATGATGATAAATACCTAACAATTGTACATTTAAATAGCAAAAAATGGAGCACAAAATTCTCTTTTAAAAACAGCTAAAATTAGTTAACTTTTTCGACTTATCGGAACTTACCCTAACTTAACTAAAATATCATTAAACCATTTCAATATTCTAAAACTGGGTTAGGGTTTTATAAGATGTCTCAAAAAATTATTTTGTCATTTAGCCGAATTTTAGTTAGCGGGTGGCAGAAATAACCCTGTTTATATAAAATTTCACGTACATATGCATAGTTTGTTTATTGTACTTAGGGTATATTATTTATATGATTTCCATGCGTTATTGAGCACTTTTGACATAATGATCACATGTTGCTTTATTACACAAAGGCTACGGATAGCCCTTCGTCCTTTTTAACAGACTTCAAAAAAGTCTCAGGTTCTGAATTCGGCTAAATTATGTGACGCGATTTCTGCGACATTCGTGAACCAATTTCTGTGATTCTTTTTTTATTCGAAAGGCTTTTAAGGGTAGTAACTTAAAGGATGATTCCGGTTTATTGGATATTACCCTCTTTCAATTAATTAATGCTTAGTAGCAGTAGAGCTCCTTGTGAAAGAGTTCGTCCAGGGAAGTACTGCCACTTTACCTAATTTTGCCACCAAGCAATAATGTGAACATTATTGTGTTCCGGTTTTGAAGGGTAAGGGTGCTGGTGAAATTACAAGCACATGTGACTTGTCAACTTACGTCTCAAGGTGACGGGCGCAGTGGCAGCACCCCTCAGATCTTTGCAATTTCAAGCTCTGAGTGGTATTGCAACTGTTATGGACAGGCGTGTAGCTTACCATCAGGCGCACGACTTGTTCGTCCCGTCACTTGATATTATAAAAAAATAACCGGTTTCACTGAAACTTGGCAAGTAGATGCAATAGCGGTCTTTACACGGGCACTATCGCGCGTGATACAACAAACTTGCCCGATTGAGCGCGTGTGTAAAGATGATGGAAGGAACAGGGAAAGATCGTCCAATTGCACTCATCAATCGCGCACTCCAACGCGCCAGTTTCACGCGATCTATCCTGCGCTAGCCTTTATACGCAGACCTGAGCTACCTTAGCTTAGCTCACGCAGCCGATGCATCCTTTCGTATACTTCAGTTTACACCGCGAACCAAACTAACCGAGCTAAATAAACTGACCCAATGATTCCGATTTTATTTTTATTATTTTGACAAAATAAGGGTAACGAACGGATTCTAAAACGTTCTGGTATTCTTTTAAATTTCTTCTTCAGTTTTAACAAAATAAGTAAAAGTGTTTCTTTGTCAGAATCCATCGCGTACGTGAGTCGAAAGACGAAACTTCACTAAAAATTTGGTCGCACTTATTTGAACTCGCTCTAAATCTTTCAATCCTGTACGCTCTTGATCACGCGCGACAGAGTGACTATGTAATGTTGGGCTAATTCCATAAACTTGTGGTTAATTACCTGCATTGTTGTGAATATTATAGATTGCCTCAAGAAATAATGTGGACCGAACCACCAGTTGTATGCCAGTGGCAAGAACAACGCCGACTCTGGACCACAAACTATATCAACGACTACAAATACAACGAGGACAAATTTACTATACAATTCCGTACTGGAGTGTTGTGTAAGTAAACTGTTGTTTGTTTGTGTAATTTATTTAAAATACATAGTATTTTGGCAGCAGTAGACCTCCATATGAAAGAGTTCGTCTAAGTAAGTACTGCCACCATACCTACTTCTGCCGCCAAGCAGTAATGTCAGCATTACTGTGTTCCGGTTGAGAAGGGTAAGGGTGCTGGTAAAAAATTACAGGCACATGGGACTTGTATACCGTTACGGACATAGAACCACTGTTAGTTGGGCCACCGAGGTTGTCGAATTGATTGATTAAAAACTATTTTATTTATCCAGGGCCGATTGGCATTGGCACGTTGCGGTACAACAATATGCCATTTCAAGGTTGGGAGCTTAAACCGGATCCAAACAGGTAAAGGCCACACACCTAATAAACGTTTCAATATTCGAAAAAGAAATATTTAGGAAACTGACTAAATATAATAATCGATACAAAGATCGAACACCGATTCGAACCGACATTTTCTAGCAAATCGTGGCAGACGCTATGCCAACTGTACGGTGTATCCGTAATCTTATAAAATGATAGTTTGATAATTGATAAGTAGATTTATTGCTTGATTACTGACAATGACGTAAAGTGTTGATGGAGCGCATTGTCGGTCATAGACCGTACACCAACTATATCACGGAACAATCGAATTTTTCCATGTGCTTGTTGTCGGATTTTTGTATCTGGTTTTTAACGAGCCGTAGCGCCATCTATGAAAGTATTTTATCACCCAGTTAGACACCTTTACAGCTACCAGCCCCGGCTAAAGATGTCGCTATTCACTGTAATTAAGTGTTTTATGAATTTCCGAATCCGAATGTCACCACGATGATATTCAATTATTTTTTTGTGAAATTACTCCACTGGTTTGTTATAATTATTAATACAAAGATCGAACACTCAGAAAAACCTCCTCCACAGAAAAACACTCCTTTGATCCGGCCGGATTCGAACGACGTCTTCTAGCAAACCGTGCCAGACACTACGTCAACTAACAATGGTTACGGTTAAAACAACGCACGTGCCACCAGCCAAATATCTATGGCTAACGTACGTAGCACCAGGCAGCAGTAGAGGCTTGTGAAGGAGTTCGTTTAGGGAAGCACCGCCACCTTATGGGTGCTTTAATAGTACATTATTGCAGAGGCAGGGACGTCAGGGATTGGTGGACGAGTATGAGTTACAAGGACGAGCGCCAGCGAGGCCTAGTATTAATACAAGTCAAGCAATCCCCGTTCGCTCCGAGACATGTGTACAATTTTTCTCAAACAATGTAAGGAAATAATAAGAGATTAAAGAGAGGAAGACGTTTAATAGAAAATGTAAAAAAAAATAATTGAAAGTGTGACGTGTTTACCACAATTGTTAAAATATGTAACTAATCAGAGCTTAGTGTTATCTATTTTGTAGGTGTTTATTGATAGTGTAGGTGAGACGGAGAGAGATAGCTTCCGTGTTTATTATTTGCGTTTTGCTCTGTTTATTTAAAACAATAAGAGACAATCTCGTTTGAACTATTATGACCTTTGAGTTTTTGATTCTGGAATTACACGACGTGACGAATCAGAGACGCTTTTTTACGAGTATTTCTTATGAAAACCCGTACCTAATTCGTCCCCTAATGGACTTACCAAATGCGGTTTTTTAATCGCTTTAACTTATGTGGTGGCTGGAAAGGCGCATCTAACTCATCACTTCGAGGGGACTTTTAGTGTACGGTATTTCCGTTGTTTAGACCTTAGAAAAGCGTACCGAACTCGACTCACCTTGGGAGACGTACTGTATACGGGAAGCCATACGCGGCCGGGAAGTAGTCACATGGTCCATAAATTACAAACTTTCCGTGTTCGTATTTTGAAAGTAATGCAAACATTTCCGAGCGTGTTTGAGAAATGTATATGTATGAGAAAAATATCTGCCACAGCACATCAATTGACAACAGGACGATGCTTTCACAAATGTGTTAAATGAAAATACACATTGAATTAAATTTGTCCGGAATCCGACTCGACCTCATCGTCACTTTCCATCGGAAGTCTCAAAAAAACTATTGTGATCAGAGAGCAGTGGCGACTCGTCCAAATAACTCGATTCCCACCACAAATTTCCACGTGTTATCAAATATTACAAATATTTAAAAATAATTTACTACATTTTTTGCTTAAGAGGGAGCAGAGGAAAAATTCCTAATCTTCGATTTGATTTTGGAGGGGTATATCCACTTTAAAGTTAAAAATAAAATATTGTATGAGTAACTACACGATATATTCAAGCATAGACACTAATCAGAAACATAAAACAATTAAGTTTCCTCGATAGATAAAAATCACGAAATGACCTCTAATTTTCACATTTTTTCGATTCATCCTCGAAATGCTATAGCTTATTAGGACTAAAATTGAAAAGTGGATATACCCCTCTAAAATCAAATCGAAGATTAGGAATTTTTCCTCTGCTCCCTCTTAATTTTACGTGAAGAGTAACCAGTGAAATAATATGTGCTAATAAATGGTATGTTTAAATGTCGCCAAGGCGCCACATGTTAAAGCAAGTGGTTTTTTTTTGCTCCGGCTTCACTAAAGACAATTTTTACACCTTGCCACTGTTAGGGAGTAAGATAAAAACTAAGTAAAATTGATGTGATTATTAGCTACATTGTTATTGTTAATTTATTTTTACAGCAAAGGTGTTTTAGTAGTCGTGACGGGTGTATGCGTCACTGTAACATGGCTTTGTGTCGGCAACAAAGTGAAACTCAAGTTCATCGCGAATGCGACCACTAACGCTTTGAAGGAACACTTTAATAAAAAATACACTGTCAAGAGAATGGTGCAGGTAAGGAATTGCACACGGCGGCGGCGTATTTATAAGCGCCGCAGCCGCGCTGTCGTCATGCGTACATATCGCGCATTTTGATAAATAGTACATTATATAACAGCACATTGGCAGGTAGTGCCCCTCAGATCCTTGCGATTTAAAGCTCTGGCACTTAGGGACACGGAAAAACTATCGATACTTTTTGGTATCGAGTACTTTTCCCTCCGATACTGATACTTTTGTACTCGATACTTTTCAGTGATTAGTACTTTTTTTATAAGTGTCGTATCGTTTCCAACAGTTCCTACTTAGGACACCTCATATCATAACGCAAGCCACCTAGCGATTTTTTTTTAATGGCAACCTTTATCATGAATTACTTGGCTGTATAGTGTATGCCACCATTTGCCTCTTTATAAGAATGAGAATGAAGAAAAATAATTAGAAACATTTGAATTAGGTATCATACCTGACAAACGTTATATTTGAATACGTCGCAATTCCGGCGAAGTTTGTTCCTTCTTCACAAAGTTTGTTCTCAAAAGCAGAAGATATAATATCAAAAACGAGAAACAGACTGTTACCAAATAGATTTTTGGTTTTAATTGATTATACAGAGAAGGAGTGGGAGATATAAGTAACACAAATTATGTGATTATGACGGTTGATTGAATTGATCAATTTAATAAAAGTCTTTTGTTATTTGTTTCAATAGAAAAATCATAAATCAAATAAAAGACTTATTTTATTATTTATATTCATGTGTTTTATTCTGTCTTTAAGTAGAGAACATTTGCAGGACAAAAGTATCGATATCTCAAGGTATCGATACTTTTATGAATGAGATATTTTACATACGATACTATTCATGAGTACAGTATCGATACTTTTGATTCGATACCGTGACCCTAGTAGCACTACAATTTATGTGGACACGCTTGTCGCTTACCAGGCACACGACTTGTTCGTGGATCAGGTAAAATTAAAAAAGAAGATATTATCCAGCCCACGAGGCATGGTGAGACATGGCCGCTGACAATTGTAACTTGCACGACTGTCGCTTGCCGAATGTGACCGAATCGCCCGACAGTGATTACACCTGGTCACTTCAGCAGCGAAATACTGTTATCTAGTAACTTAGGACGCCTTCAAACGATTTACAGCTTGTAGAAGCGCTGCAATTGCTGGACTTCAATAATTTTAGGCACTAATTGTAATTGAAAAATAAATGGAGCGCATTAAGCGTCTAACTTGAAGGCGCCCTTAATATTTACAATCACCTATCGACCTGTCTACCGATCAGGATAGGGAGTTCCGGGGAGATTACGGGTAGGCCGGAAGCGGCGGCGGGCGTCCAGGCCAAGCCCTGCGCTAGTGATATATAACCTTCACGAGCGTCACTGGTGGATCCGGACTTGGGTATGAACTCGCTGGGGTTTGTGGTTAGCTGTAGCCTCAGTAGCATATCGCCGAGGCGTTCATACCGCGTTTTAGACTAGGACCTAAGCCGAAGAGACGCGCGGGACACGTGTGTTGCCCTATAAGTCGGAAGCTATGTCCGGACATTGTCGCAGAACTGCCCGGATAGCTAGTAGAGGATGAGTTGGATGTCCTCCAATCCCTCCAGCCGCTTAAGTTATTTCGAATTGGAGACACGCAGTTTTTCGGCGTCGGGAAGTGAGCGTACCTCACAACTCCGGCACCTATCTGGAAAATAGGAGGGTTACTGTACATGCACCCGGGGCGACTCACCTAAATCACTAGCCTTCTGCGTACCGGATGACGTCCACGCAAACGGGCTTATCTGGGGTCAGGACGTAACTGAATAGATCCCTGTTTCCCGTATAACCAAAAGGTTGATAGAGAGGGTCACTACAAACAAAAGTTACGTAAAAAAGATATGGGACTGACCTGTCGACCTAGTGTAAACGAGTCAATCACCGATACGTAGATTTCCTAATTTATGTCTATGTTCCCAAGACTATGGGAACTCAATCCCTGTATCGTCAGCAAGCGTTGTCTTAATCAAAGTGTCATTTATATCTTACAGATAATGCGCGGGGCGGCTGTGGACCTTTTCCCCGAATTCGACGGCCATACTTACGTGGAAGGCTCCTGCCCCAAAGAGTGGGCGATGGAGCGTCATCTGTATCACGCCATGGCTTTCTTGTCCAGGTCCTACAACTTTCAGTGGAGCAGGTAATTTCATGGCCCTTCCTTAGAGAAAAGAAAGAAAAGGATCGCTCCACCTCAATGTGTTAAAAACAAAAAACTTGTACTAAAAATAGTATCATCATCATCAAATCAGCCGGAAGACGTCCACTGCTGAACATAGGCCTCTTCCAAAGATTTCCAGACTAGCCGATCGGACACGACGTGCATCCATCGGTCACCCGCCGCCCTTACCAGGTCATCCGTCCATCTAGTAGTTGGCTGTCCCACTGAACGCCTTCCGGTTCGTGGTCTCCATTCGGGAACCTTTCTGCCCCAACGGCCGTTCTACGACATATGTGCTCTGCCCACTGCCACTTCAACTTGCTAATCCTTTGAGCTATGTCGGTGACTTTCGTTCTTCTACGGATCTCCTCATTTCTAATCAAATGTAGTAAAAGATCGCTAATTGTCCCGTTCGCAACGTTCCTACTGAATAAATAACAGGTGAACTATATATAAATAAAGCCCGATAAACTACTAAGACTGTGCAAGATGAACTCGTTCATGACAGTGTGTCGGGAAAACATTCCTAATTGATTGTACCTATGTAGTTCACGAACTACGCAAGCCTACTCAATTGTTACGATTGGAAGATGGATATAGTTCCAATACTCGAAGGAGTGATATCCAAAACCGTCGAGAAAAATGTTTATTATTACATTAATAACATAGCTTGAAGCTAATCTGGGTTTATTATTTTATGATTCTCAGGTGGAATGTACAAGGTGGTTGGCGTAACATCATAATTCAGTTTCGGGAAGCGGTCGATACAAAACGAGAGGTATGTCTATATTATAAAGATGGTTTCAGGGTAACTTAGAGACCCCCCTCCCACACACACTAGCGTCTTTCGAGCGTTAGCGTCTTGTCAAGTCACGCAGAACGTCAACACGACGTCCGCACGGTGACGACGCAACGCCACCACAGAGCGATTGCAGATTAGTGCCGAACGTCGCATATAAGCCGCGCTGCCGTTACGTCGCTGCCGGGCTGACGTCGTGTCGACGCTGTGCGTGAGTTAGCAAGACGCTAGCGTGGGGGGTCTCTTAGGGCTCTCACACATAAACACGATACGACGTCGCGTCTTGCTACGACGCAGCATCGTCTCACAACGCGACGTCGTATCGTGGAAATTTACGACGACGCAACGTGTCACGACACACGGCACGACGTCGTCGTAGAAACTCACGATGCGCTCCCCAGTGCCGCATTCATTTGTTATTCAATATTCTTGCTTGAATGTTGCTTTGACGATGCCACTTTTTGAGAGGCTGCAGTGTGTTTGCGCAGCTTTTTCTCAATGGCTTATGCTATTAAGTGTGCCATTTTTTATTTAGGGAAAACTGATGTTACTCCAAGTGACCCCGCAGAGAGTGTTATTATTGAAAAACAACGAAATGTCTATGAACGAGTTGGACATGGAGCCAGTTGCTGGTTTACCCGTAAGTGTTGTTATTTAGAAAAAAAAGTGTCATGTCCTTTTAAAAATGAAACTATTTTTCCGGATTTAAATCGCGTATATTTGTTTTTTCAAACTGTTGAAAACTGTACGAAACGGTCGAAGACTGTACCACCTCAGTCAACCGTGACCATGGGACCTGTAAAGGGCCCTAAACGTCGGTTTGTTTGAAAAAACAAATATACGCCATTTAAATCCGGAAAACTACATTTCATTAAAATGTACCATTACATGACCAACATCGAGTAAATAACCAGAAATTGGATGTTTTGCTATTTTTCCCACACCACCGAATGGAACAGCCCCCCATAGTTAGAGATATTATATTTATTACAATAAAAACATAATATTTTTGGAATATACGGAGACGTAAACACAGGTCAGTTGTTGGCGCTGTATTATTTCAGCTTTCTAATTTGTGATTTCAGCGCAAACGAGAGTTGATATTTAAAAGTGACATCAGTACCATTCGACTGATGAGTTGCCAGGGGTGGATGGCCCTTATTTCGTCTACATTTTTGGTTATATACTCGATGATGACCTAGCAAGTATACCGTCAATTTTGTATGACAAACGCATTTTCTAAATACCCTATGGTCATCTAAAATATACAAGTTCACAGGTTGAGCGAGATAAATATGGGTATAAATATGTAAAAACAAACCTACCTTATTTTTCGTCTAAGGAAAATACTGCCTCTAACCGCTCACGCGATTCATGCGTCTCTGGAAGCATACCACACCTAGAGGTGCCGGTGATGATTTTATACCGATTTATCGGATATCGAAGTTATAACAGGTAAAAGAACTAATACTAATTGCTATTTCGTTAACTACTCTAGCAAACCATAAAGTTTTTAATGTCTGGGTCTGTCATTTAAAAAAAATAAACAACTTTAAAAATACGTCAAGACAATCGTGTGTGTTATTGTTTGGGCTGGTGATGTCGGTGTTTATTTATTGAAAACATACCGTAAGTAGCGTTTTTTAAGTTTACCCTGAATATAAATGTTTATAAACTATACTTTAAGGAGTAATTTCATGGTAAACATTAGAACCACTCAAACGGAATATTATCATATTTACCCAAGTACACCAAAAATTTCATTAGTGCTTTTTAAGTGCACGATTTGCGGTGTATTACTGCATTTTATTTGAGATGTTTTTGTTGTAGTACGGAGGGTATTTATTTAGCAATGCAGAATAATATTTTTTATTTTTTAAAACTTGTATTTAAACTGAATCCTTTTCTAATTTGCGAAACCAAATAGCCGCCATTTTGCGGTAGGATGAGCGCATCGCGTGAGCGGACATATTGTAATACTCTGCTCAAACTCTTTGAAGCGCCGACGCCGGCCACCCGCTACCGCCCGGTTAATTCGCTTGCGCTCTTGTGTTAGACGGGACCCCAAGTCCGTCGTCGCGTATTTGTTTTGCGTGGTACATTGATCCATTCACCTGTCCAGTTTAGTGGAGTGCAGTGACGAAAAATAACGACGCCTTATTAGTATTGGCACATGATGTGTTCCGTTGTGGTATGTTGTGCAAATGATGTTATCAGTCGTGCCAAAGTATTGGAGAAACGTTCCTTAGTCGATGTGCTCCATCCTACACATTCATGTTAGGGCTCAATTTTGTCCGTCCTAAGCAAGGCATGAAGGGAAAGTTGAATTATTTTTAATAGTACCTACTCTTTACACGTGGGATTTCAAAATCCTACCGCTCAGCTGTTCTGCTTCAAAGAGTAGCCCAAATGAAGAGTGCGTAATAGCACGATATTTTTGTTTCTTGTGTTTAGGGGTGATTCTTTTTACATATTCGTATTAGATATCAGCTACTCGTTTGCCTATTTAAATATTTATCTCGTTCAACCTGTCGCTCAGTATAACACTAACTTTGAATGCGATATTTTCATTAAGCTCAGGCCACACAGACACGGTATAGCGGGAAAAGCGGTCCGGGGGCGGAGCTGCGCTCTACGCCCCACGTATTGACGGTTACATTGACTGAACGGCAACAAGGCTGTCGGCCGTTTTCGCGCTAAGACGGCTTTGATATTTAAATATAGTTTTCATTTTTTCAATACGAAACTTGTACGTTAATATTATAACATCATTGTACGGTACTATTTAAATGGTCGTGAGTTGTGCTGTGTACGACAGTTTCTCATCATCTAAACGTGATAAAGAGAAGATTTTCTTTCGTTTTCCGAAAGATAAAACGAGATGAGCGAAAAAACTTATGTCTAAGACTCATTCAGTTATTGTTTTCAACATTTATTTAGTGCAGAGTAATATATATAGTAAATATTTATTATATAAATATAATGAGATGCCGTAACTTCGTTAACTTAGTAGACAAGAGTTCTCGAATTTTAAATTTGTATTGCCGATAGATATGTAGTGAATATAATTATTAACTAAGTAAGTAATGATAAAGTCAAATACCTTGGTTATCTAAAAGTACCTGTCTAAAGTATAACATGTTAAGTGCTTTTAAATTCATTTTCTTTTTACTTTCAGTATTATTCTAGTTAGCGAGTTAATGAAATATATAATATTATATTATATTAATATAAATACCTAATGAGCATGTGTAATTTGCTCTTTACAATTAGCAGCTCTTGGAAGAGATTGTTACCTAGCAACAAGGCCGCCTGTTGTTTGTTCTTTTGTGTAATAATGCGTATCTGTATTGTATTTTTACACCGAATATATTAGTCTCTGTTATTTATTAATAGATTCACAGATACTATGAATGGAGTGTAGGTGTAAATCACAAAATTTTAAATGGTAAAAAACTTTATCTGCTAACTTAGCCTATACCGTAATAAAAAATATTACCTGTAAGGCACGAAGTTGTCGTTCTTCAAAACCGGAACACAGTAATGCCGACATTACTGCTTGGAGGCGGAAATAGATAAGGTGGCAGTACTCCATTTGCAGAGTTCAGTCGATTTACAGGTTATTGCAAATTACAAACCAAAATGATGCTTTTTCAAATCTTACTTCTATGCTTAATAATACGCATAAATATTTACAAAGAGTAACCTGGGGTGTTCGGTAGGGAGAATCTTACTTATTCCCCTCAGGGAAATCGGCCTTGCGAATGAGTATGTACCGCCGGCGTGACAAATCACGTCACTGTGATTTTTTTTGTAACTGGAACGATGACAGAAGTGTAACGCTTTTCCCAATCACTCCAAGCGAACAGTAACACAAGGCGAAGTTTTCGCGCGGCAGCCGCGCGGTGACCGCGTTACCTTGATGTACCTTAATGACAAATCTGAATTCTATTTACTAGGCAACAACGTTTACATTCCTCTGAATAATACAAACGTCGCGCGAGCCGCCGCGTAGACCAAATTCAAGCCAGTCTCGCTGCGCAGGCGTTCTTGTGACGTTCATTTAAGTTGAAACGTAAAAGCTATACAAATAGAGCTTATTTTGCCATGACAGTTAGACGCATGACAGTTGGACTCCGCGTAACGACCGAGCGGCGCGGCGGCCGCGCGGGGTGTACGCGATGAAATTCGTGTCGAATAAAATTTCAATGTGGCAGAGTGCATAAGAACTCGAACGCCTCCCGCCACCGCCTCTGTGTGGCCAGAGCATTATCATGTACCTGCGTGTGAGTTTCCTTTATGGAACGCGTTCGTGAAATGCGCAATTGCATCGATGTAATCGCCCATGAAGCCCAAGCGTAGCGATGCAGTCGCGCGTTTGCATCGCTGCCTAAAATCGACAATTAGCGACTGCATCATGTAAAGAATAAATAAGAGTAGAATGATTTCGTACCGAGGACTTTTTTAAACTAATACTACCTAGTCTCTTATTATTTCCGAACATATTGACTATACTCCGTCCTACCATTTAGTTAACTTTTGACATATGCATGCATTCGAAGTTACGTAATTATTGACATACGACCATAGACAAGAAAATGCAATTAATTCCTGGACTCTTCTATTTTTAATTTTAGTGAAGCGACGTGCTCTTTAGCTCCGATATTTGTCAAGTCAACAGATTATGTAACAAGTTGATAAATATCGGTATCTGTCTAATAAACTATAATGAAATTAAATAAATTATAAATAATGATAATAAATTCTTATAGTTTATTGTAATTAATCTAAAGATTCTTCTGCATACGCATAAATTGACAAACGCAACATCACGATCCCAATAAGATAATATCTTTTCTTTTAAACCCGCTCACATTCACGATTAAAACTTCTTCGTAAATAAAATCGATTGTTATATATACTAATTGATCCGAATTCGAGCTGTCCAGAGTTAAGTAAATGGTTGGACGGAATATACAGATAGTAACTTTCCTCACACTCTTCCAGTTCTTCCCCGACCTCTTCACTATGAACATGTCCTACGGGTCAGTCGACGCGAGACGTACAACCTTTGGCATGCATTACAAATTAGTCGAAACCGTTTTCGACTTGCTGCAAGAGTGTAAGCTGTGTAGTTTCTCGTAAATCTCCCATTGGCATATTAAATTAAGGTACGTACTGTAAAAAAGCATTCATTCATTATCTTGTAAGATCCCTAGAGTGTCAGTCCGTCTGTTATACGCATTTTTCTCAGATACTGTTGAACGCATAGCCTGTCTTTTTTGAAGATGGAGTCTTCAACGTTTAAATGGAAATGTTTCCTGTGGCTATTTGAAAAGAAATCTCGAAACGCAGACATTTAATAATAACTTGACTTTAAATAATAGCTGTTTGTGTATCTGTTCTGTGTATTCGTGTGTATTTGGTATTGTGCAATTTAAATTTACTATTATCGTTGTTGTTATTCAATTTGATTATTTTCATGCATTGACTTACAAATAAATGGACGACGGGTCTAATACAAAAACCACGAAAAAAATGTCCCAAGTCAACCTATTTAAATGTAGTGACATTTAAAGGAATATGAAAAAGCTAAACCGTTGAATTTAAATTGTAATGTCATCGCAGTACTGTCTAATTTTGCTTGCTTCGCTGTCAGTCGAACAAAGGAAGACTAAAGCGTGAATGACGCTCTGTATACGATTTTAACGCCCCATAAGTTCGGACACTTTTTAGCGCGGACCCGACGTCCGTAAGTCAATGTTTTCGTGTGTAAATGTTGTATTGTCAAATTTATTTAGTATCTGATTGTGTTAGTATTTGCATTAAATTTTGTTTTTAATTGTGGTGTTCTATTTTTATGGCAGGCCGTGGCAGAATATCAGCGAGGGCTATGTCATTAGCATAGTCCTCAAATGCTGTGATGCACCTTTTTGACATGCTTTTTTTGCTTATTTGTTTTTACTTTTTTTTCTGTTAATATTATCCTATTTTTTCTTTTTTTGTATTTATGAACGAATTATTTATTATTTTATAATTGTTTGTATTTTATAATGTATTTAGCGCGTCTTTATTTTATTTTATTTTTAAAATGACATTTGTAGGGTTACCAGTTTTCGTAAAATTGGAAATAGTCATGTAGGTACTTGTTGTCGACAGTTGTATCGATAGATTGCGAAAGTATGTAACATTTTGCTAAAAATGTCTGAATTTTGAATGTTAGATCGTTCTAATGATTACCAATTGCGTTATTGTATTCTTTATTCTTATTTCAACAGTTGGTCTATCAGTAACGACCGGCGGATTTGATTATGTATATTCAATTGAAATGAAAAACTTTAAAATATGTCTCCTATTTGTATGTTTCATAAACATACTACTAAATTTAGTGTAATATGTATGTATGAATTTTCAAAAATTTACAATCCAAATAAACCTGTGCACAGCAGTTGGACGAATAATTGAAAACAAATGAAACAAGTTCGACTATTTATTTCATAAGCGTAACCAACATTCCATCGATAGTCGATGTCATATTTATCGACGGCAATCACTTGCTGCTTGCAAGCGGGCAACGCTTGCGCAATCAACTGAACATTTTACAGCATTTTCAAAAAAGATAAACTATAGATTCTTAAAACTTAGTACCTATACCACAAGTTTACGCTTTCCCAAAACAAATTTTAAATTGTATAGAAGCAAATTCATGTGTAAATATTTTTTTCCCTTAGCATCTATGTCTTAAGTCGTGTGTCAAGTTTGTTTGGCTAGTCAGGTTTTTCATCGTATCTGTATTTCGATCCATTACCGCCGACTTAGTGTAAGCGACTAAAAACAAATTTTATAGGAGAGGATTTTTTCAAATATTTGTACATGTATAAGTGATGATACTAAATTTGTTTTAATATATAATAATGTATTTCGTAACCGATTATGTAACAGTTTTTTAACAATGGATGTTATGTCTTTTTGCCGTTTACAATATTTAACCCTCTATGATGTGTTCAAAAACCGCAAATTACGACCAGCATAAAGGTAGATATATAAGGCGGTAAATAAAAAGTTTTCTCAAGCACGTCACACAACCGTAGTTTTTATTTCATTCATAGACAAACTAGAGACCTCAACTATCATATCGTTCGTTAAAAAGTAACGTGTGAAATTTGCTTAGAGGATGGAAAAAAATAAAAGAAAGGAGGTGCCCTAACTACGGAATGAACGTGCATACCTAAACAAAAACTGAACGAACAAATGGCGGATTTTGTTTAGTGTCGTACCATAATCTATCGATAAGTCATTATCGACATGCAAACATTCAATTAAAGTAGATCAATATTCCATTTGGGAATATTTTAGGTTTTAAGGGAATGTCGAATATTACGAAAATTGAATTCACACAGAAAAAAATGTAATTTGAGAGTATATAAAAAAGAGAAAACTTTGAAATATAACTCCTATACATTTCCAACCTCAAGATGCATATTTTCATAGACAAATTTTTAAACAGATTTCAAATAGTGTAGGCTTTTTTGTATTTATGCATTGGTATAGAATTAATGTCAGTGACTGATTTAAGTGAATCTTTAATACTTCCATTTAATTTTGGAAATAAATGAAAGTAGTAATATTATTATCATGCATTTATTTGCTTAAAACATGGTATAACAGGAGATGTACCAAGAGACAGTGTTAGTATAAACATGTTTCGCATGTATTAAATAGCATACAAATGTCTGTTTATACAATTTCAATTGACTACTATTGGCCGAGCGCCTTTGATTTGTACAGAAAAATCAACACTTCTACGACGTGAGACAAGAAGTCACGAGCGATTGCAAGTTGTGACAAGCCACGTCAAACGAACACGTTAGCGCTCGCCGTCACTCGGTCAGGTGGTCGAGTGACACCGAACGATAGCAAGGCAAGGCAAGGCAAATAGGCTGTCTTTACACTGGTATTGGCCTTCACCCGGCAACGTTGTACCAACATGGTCATTGTATTGCTGGCTTTATAAAATAAGAATTTTTTGTAGTTAGAGTTGTCAGTGGGAAAAAATCGGAAACGAGTGCATAATTTTGTTTTCAGGAACTGAGAATGCCTAGTAAATGAATCTTGTTTAATTTAAATTAAATATAAAAATATTTACCAATACACCTAATGGAATTGCATTATCATGTAATCTAGTTACATTCAAAGTTATGTTAAAATTTGACTCTTCAAAATGAAGCGAATAAATGAAAATGGTCTTTGATTCAATGTTTATATTCGGCACTATTATACTGCGGTATGATTTCCAACCATTCTTTTTTCTTTTTTGATTTGTAGGTAAACTTGAAATAATGAAAACAATAATAATAAAAACCTCGTAGTGAATTATTTTAGTAACAGAATATCGATAATATGTACGCTTCCAAGAACTACACTATCTCAAAATAATCGTTAACAACAATCATCGAAATATACAAACAAACAGGCAATTTGAAGAAACCAAAGCAAAACTTGGCAAGATTTATGAATAAACTACTTAAATATATCTATCTAATTACATGAGATATTTGGGCTTTGTGTGATTTATAGACAGAAAAATAACACGTGACTGTACAATGTTACATTCGGTCGATCTTCAATTTTTCAAATGCCACATCCCGTAATGCTGCAGCGACGAATTTTTATTAATACTAAATTGTTCTCACTGTCAATATTTATGTCCATTTTATTACAATACATGCGAATAATTCAATAAAACACTTGGAAAAACATTTGTTTTGACATTTGATGTGCTTCCCTTTGACAACCGTATCCTGTACCTCATGTACTGCGAAATGGACATGGTTGGCATTTAAGATGACGTTACGTATTTTCGATTCTCATGTTTGACACAGACCAGTGTAATGCTATCTCTTGTGACTTAAGACGGCACGCAATAGTTAAACAATAACATGTTTATGTTTTCAACGTCGAAATACATCATATACATGTAACGTCTGATTTATATATGTCAACATAACATGTCCTTTAGTTTCCATAGTCTAAGATCTCGACTGATATTGGAATTGAGGTCGAATCAAATTGTTTTGTTTTTCAGAGATTTATAGAAAATAATTTTCACAGATAAGAAATTTGTTCTAATAAAACAGTTTGTCTTTATATTGGTTTACGTCTGTCGTAATTTGCTGTTTTTTTAACACATAATAGAGGATTTATGATATGTATGTAGATGTATGTAGAACTACTATTTGCTACCTCCATCTAAAGATTTTTGAGACTTTCAGGCGTTTATGATAACACTTGCGTTTAAAAATTTGCAACAATAGTTTAAACATAAACGTAAACGTGTATACGACGAAATTATGATCTCTTATTTTATGGTGTTTGAATGGGGTCGCTTACTTTCTGGTTTTTGAATATTGATTACGTCGTTTACACTAAAATACAAAAAAACAATTGAGCTAACTATAAACTTAGCTACAAATTCCTTTTCTTATTATTTTGAAAGAGGATGTGGTGACTAGAATAAAGAAAAGAATGTTGCGGTGGTTTGGGCATGTATTGTATAATTTTAGCGGGAAATTTCGACAAATCCTTATCCATATCGAGTTCTTAGGTTTTCGCGATTGTTACACATAGGAAATGAAACTATTTTTCCGGATTTAAATCGCGTATATTTGTTTTTCAAACAAACCGACGTTTCGGGCACTTTACAGACCATGTCAACCGTGACCATGGGACCTTTAAAGGGTCCGAAACGTCGGTTTGTTTGAAAAAACAAATATACGCGATTTAAATCCGGATAATAGTTTCGAATCCTTGTCCGTCATAGTTTAAAATATCAGTTGCAACCATAGATTTAGTATATACCACTAAATCTATGGTTGCAACCAAAAACGTTTAGATAAAAATGTAGCTAAAGATAAGTTGGTAGTCATGGCTCGATTTATTAATAAAACAAAACCATTTTTTATCGCCATCTGATTCGAGTATATTCAATTTGTTTTTTCAGTGATACCGCCGATACCTTTTGAACAAAGGAATGACTAATTGTAGACCGATTAAGCGATTTTATTTTGTCGACGCGGAATTACATTAGGCTCTACTTACATTGCCGTGGAACGGAAGCGTCAATTCTCGAGCATTCGCGATAATACTTGCATCTGCGCCTTGAGGCTGTAGACGTTCAGTTCTTTTACATGACAAGGAAGGTGGAGTTTTTTTGTTTACGGGGAATGCTTTATGTGGGACTATCCCTCCAGTTGGAGGGCATTAACACCCTCCAAGTACCTTATTGACCAGGTGTTGTGGGCGCCGTGGGATCCCGAAGATTCACCACTGCCGGTTGCCACTAGGGTTCCCGCGCTAATGAAGGGAGCGGTCCCAAGGGAGGTACCCATCCCCCCAGACGAGTGAGACCGTGCAATGTAGGAAACGGATCACTATCCTCTGTCCGCTGGCCTCACAAGTGTAGTTCGTAGTAGAGTGGATTCGTGTCGACTGCGCCTTCGCGTTCCCACTCCGCGGCCTCCTTTTCCAAGATTACGTCTTTTCAGAAGAAGACCGCAGCCATCTCAGCATGGCCGCTACCACACTGGGCAGCAAGAGATCTCCCCCTATGGAATGAAGGATAGTGGACTTGGATTTTGTTTTTACATCGCTTATTGTTGATTCAGAATTAGAGAAAAAGGAGAACAGAAAAAGGAAAAGAAATATTTGAGATCATGATTTACGAAAGAACTTTTTGAAATTCGACGAATTTCGTATCCTTCGTGCCACTGCCTACGGATTCGCCAGGCGTCGCCGACGCCAGTTGCGTGGATCCGCAGACATTCCCGAGCATTCGCGAGCATTACCGAGCACGCGCGAGAATTTATAATGAGAAAAAGTCGCTATTCGGTGCTAGTCGCTATAAACTAAATTTAGTCGATCCGCCATTCGAAAGTAACAAAGTGTACAGCCCACGCTGGAATAAGCTTATAGGCTGACTAGATTTAGTCGGTTCGCCGTTCAAAAGTTAGTCCACACTGGAATAAACTTATTCCGGCGGCACCATTACTCATTCTCGAGAATCACAGCTCCTAACTTAGATCTTATTGTATTAAAAAGTCGTGACTTAGTTGGCATTAGTCGTAAAAAAAGTAATTTAGTTCTTATGCCGATTTGAAGTTAGTGAGTTACTGTCCACGCTGAATTGAGCTGACAAAAACTCCGGAGTCACTACTTTTGAATCTCGAGAACCACAGCTCCTAGCTTAGATCTGATTGCACTACAAAGTCGTGAATTAGTAGGTTCTAGTCGTAAACAACTAGATTTAGTCGGTCCGTCGTTCAAGTTAGTCCACTCTGGAATAAGCTTATACCAGCGGCACCATTATTCGATCTCGAGAATCACAGCTCCTAGCTTAGATTTTATTGCACCCACAAAAAGTAGTGAATTAGTCGATTCTAGTTCCACAATTTTAGTTCAGAAGTTATCGGATATTCGATAAATTTCATCAATTTACGTTGCCGCGAGACTGTGAAATTTGTAGCGCACAAACATGCAACGTACAAACCAACGGTAGCTGTGCTAATTTCCGAGTCTGCGTGAGAATTCTCCGGAATTATGGCGATCTGTTTTTCGCCTTCTATCTAGTTTGTACGCTATTCAATTGATATTAAGAAGGAGCATGCCAAAAAAAGTTTTGACGGCTCCGCCGAAATTTGTGAAACAAATATATGCCTGAAGTTCGCGTGACAGGCGACAGATGTTGAATTTTGCGCACTAAAAGTACTAAATTCGTTTTAGCGGAATAACTCTAAAACTTAAGGGATTAAAAAAAATCCGTAGTGACAGTTGTCGCTCATGCATAAATATAATTAATTATATCATTTTTGTCCTAATAACCTGTAGCATTTCGAGGATAAATCGAAAAAATTTGAAAATTAGAGGTCATTTCGTGATTTTTATCTATCGAGGAAACTTTATTGTTTTGTGTTTCTGATTAATGTCTATGCTTGAATATATCGTGTAGTTACTCACACAATATTTTATTTTTAACTTTAAAGTGGATATACCCCTCTAAAATCAAATCGAAGATTAGGAATTTTTCCTCTGCTCCCTCTTAAATTCCGCGACAATGTAAATTGAGCTGACCAGGGTTTCATTGTACCAAAAAGAATCCCCCACAGTATACATACTTTGTAGAATATACAAAGTATGTATATTCAACAATAAAATAAAACACAAACATCTTTTTACTATAAACAAATTGTCTATTTTATTTTTACGGATAAAAAAAACTAAAAACTACTAATAGTAAAAAAGAAATATAACTTCTTCTGCTAAGAATAACGAAAATAAAAACGTTATTTTACAAAAAAAAATATATACGTTGTGTTACATAACAAATATTATTTTTATAACATATACAAATATACGATTAACTTACCTGGCAGTTGATTATATTTATATACATTATTATACTAGTTTTTACCTATAGAGTTTTTGTGTTGTTAGTTGGCCAACGTAACTCAAAATAATCAATACGACCAACAACGTCGTACAACGTAGAACACACTAAATGAATGCCAACGGTCACTATTCCGTAGTAAACAATTATATGCCTATATAACATATTAAATTGCAATTGCAAATGTGGCCCAGTTTGCATACATTATGGGTATTCTGTAACACTTATGAAAACGACATTGGAAGGTCACCAACTTATGTGTTATGTTATGACAATAAAAGGAACAACACTCCGTTATGTCTAACGCAGTCAGGTTAGTGTAAATGCATGCAAGACTGCATGTACACTAAACGACACCACTAAATACACTAATAAGTTGGTGGATCTGTATGTCGGTTTCAAAGAACAGAAAATCTAAAACTATAATCGTCTTAACCGATATCGATACATAATTTCCAAATAAAAACGTTGAATCGACATTTTACGTCATCTGAAAGTAAATAAAAAGTCTTGTTAAATAAAAACAAAGTCTCTACTCGAGATAATAAAGTTGATTTTACATTTTTATTTGCTCTCTGACGCATTTAGCTATACGTGCTTTATTTAAAAGACTTATTATCCATTAAAACGAAAAAGGGAGATAGATGTCTTTAAACAATCAATAGGATTTCATTATATATCATTAAGCAGAGGAAGTGTCAAAGTAACATAATTCTATTGGTAGTTTAAGCACATCTCTCCTTTATAATATGCGGTACCCCAGTCTGTTACTCCACACGTTTAAACCATATCAAACGTTTAAATTAGGGTCAGCTTACATTGCCGCGGAACGCAATTTAAGCGAGTTAGGTAACAAAATTGTACATTGACTTATGTCAATTGCGTAATACACAGGGAATGCTCGAGACTGCACGAGAATTCACCGGAAGGCGAGCGACCTATTTTTTAGCTCGTATCTAGTTTGTATGTTACATAATTAACAAAGTTCATTGTTAGAAATATTACGCTTCCGTTCCCTTCCGCGGCAATGTAAACTGAGCTTTAGTGACTAAATATGTATAATTTAAAAAAACAATTGTATGACTCACGTTGGTCAACGGAGAATAGTGAAGTTGACCGACGTTGGTCAACGAAGATTAGTCAATTTGATCCATGTCGTGAATTTGGCCAACTAAACACGTAACTTTCAAGGCATTTGCATCAAACCATTGCATTATAATGTGACTAATATGACTTCTAAGAGTCGTTTTTTAAAACACAGTTACTTATTGTACAGATAACGTTCATATTTTAGTTTCTTTTTTGTTTTTATACATTTAAGCTATTCAAGAAGTCACATTAACGTAAAACATATGTCGAAATGTGATTTTCCCAATTCTACTGAGGACTGACTTTTTAATCACAAGAAAAATCACATTTTGTTTTAAATAGTTTTCTATTAGAATTAAATAAAAATTCACGTGACGCTTAGAATAAAAAAAATAAAAGATCACGTTCAATTGATCACAGATTAAACAAATTTAAAAAAATCAATCCTCAAGTAAAACTTTTTACTATTTTTTTTTCAAATGCTCAAAGAAAACTTTTTCTTATCCACGAATTTTTAATGGATTAAAAACATATGTCCTCCATATTTTTAAATTCAATGGACTTTTTTTCTATTTCCCCCTTTTTTATTATTATAAAAAAGCTTATAATGTTAAATTAAAAAGCTACTACTCTACGTAAATAATCCTTTTATCCATTTATCTATACTTATTATTTACATAAATAAAATGAATGTTTAATTAAAAAAAAAATGTTTATTTGTATTCTAGATGTTTGTGATTATTTAAGTTTTTTTATCAGTGTTGCTATTTTTAAAAGCAAAGTGCCATTCTATGCTAAACTAATATCAGAATGACATTATTTAATGCAATAATAATTTAAAATATACATGGATTTCTAAGGATGTTACAGTATTCCCTATCTAAGTTGCCTGAGTGTCATTTTTCTATATTATACCTGTGACTACAGAAGAACTTCTTTCCCAATTCACGTGTGATGAATCGGGAATATTATTATAAAGAATATCAACAACTTTGACAGATATCTAACATAAGAAGTTGAATATAGAGCCACCAATTTATCTGTGATGCGATAGGTGTCGCTAGTGTTTACTCGTAACATAACGGAGAGTTCAATTGTGCTTCGTAAACTATGTACTTCATTTCGTTCGTTGTAATTATTCGTCTTTATGCCATATCACAGGTAAGTTGGGAGTACTTTAAATTGTAAATTGAACTGAAAATTATGTAAGAAGCAATTTCCAACAGACAGCATACGTCGTCACAGGCGACTGGGTAAAATAATTCACAATTTTTAACTGACTTCGAATGTATTTTCAGTGAACAAATTTCAACGATTCTTTTTTTTTGTTAGAAATGGGGTACCTCAGTCACATTTAAATTTGAAGAAAATATTCCACCTCTAAGGGTGGCAAATCAGGGGATGAATCCGGTTTACAGGATTGCCACATTTCCATTATTTCAATAAAACTTAGCACGTAGATGGTAATTCCACAAATTTTTGAGCTCAGTGTTTGTTTTATAAAAAAGTTATTTATGTATGGTAAATTATACAGCGCCCTATAGGTCACAAATAAGTAACATTTTGCATACAAATATTTTACCATCAGGTTATTTGCGGTCGCTTGCAACAACCACTAATGTAAACTCATAGAAGTACCCAGGTGTAACCCACCGTAATGCAAATAACGTGGCGGTATAATTGTGAAACGGTAATAATTCCCAATTCATACAAATATGGGTGAAAAGGGACAAATAACTATCAATTTAGATCACGTTCATTAACAATTTTTGTCAACAGATTGAGCAGTTTTATCTAAATTAACAGTAATTCTTCTAACAACTCCCTTTAATTGCATTGAAAAGTAAAGCATAAATTTTTCAATTCTGACGTTAGGAAGCTGTGTTTTTAGATGTGCGAACTGATTTAGAAGATCACTAATAGGAGTTCGGCACCAAAATTCGGTACTTTGAAATTTTTTAAGGTACTGCAAATCGCATTTTGATATAAGACAATACATACATATACATAATACAACTACATATTATACGGAGTAGAATTATACGTCGCTGAAAAAAAAAACGAATACCAACATTTTTGTCAAAGACCATTTAACAATGGATAGGTACTTGTAAAATATACCTAATTACGATCTCTAGTGACAAAAAGATTAGTATCCCTTCCGTTAAGTTTGCTATAACAAAATTAAGCCATGCAAATTGTGAAAAAATTAAACTTTATTTACTTTTCAGTTATACACTTACATCCATGATTGTCCACGACAATGATTATTTTATAATGATTTTTTTTTCATACATCTCGGTCACAAAAAAAATCGTCAATACCACTTTAAACTTTTTTTAATTTTTACAACATTTACTGAAATAAACAATATGGTATCTACATTTCTGTGTCATCATGACAAGTCTATTTTTATACAAAACCGTGTTTTTTTTTTCATTCTCAATTATTGACAAAACATTTTATTTAAATTATAATATTACATAAAGGAGAAGGAATTTTACTAATACGCCAATGTTTTGTCAGTAATAGGCTTACAAGAGTTAACTGTCAAACGTAACATTTATTTGTCAACATGACGTTCTGTCAAACAGCCCCGATGTATGACGTAAGTCAAATGACAAACAATTGGACCGTTTCACGATTTACAACTCGCCCAACGTGGCACATCGGCCAACGTTGGTCAACTACGTACTGGCCAACCACATGTCGATACTTAATTTTAAGGTGACATTTCCGTTGACATAGACAAAAAGTCAGTTATTTTTAATGAAAGAAGATATCCGTCCTCATAGACAATTTGTAACGTAGCTGTTTAATGTGAACTATTAATAAAATTAATTTACGTAAATGAAAATGGAAATAAATTAATTTGCTACTCCGTGAACCCAGTGGAGGTTAATCATGCAAAACAGCCGCCGTTAGGTTTTTCTTTCATGCACTTATTTTACCACACAAGCGCAACCACAGTAACAAATCGATGGGTTACTTTCTCAACCACGTATCTTATATAATACTTTGTTGATTGTCCGTCTCTCGGCCGAGGAATGAGCTCGCTTTAGAAATTGGCATTGAATGGACGAACTATTTGAAACTATTCACCTACCGTCCTACCTAGGTCTACCGTTCTTCGATTGACTAGTTGAATTCGTCAACTATAGTACAACTCGTGGACGGCCAAATGGAGAATCCACGCTTTAATCAACGCTCTACGCGTCGAGACGACGCGCGAACTTAATCGAATTATAAGTAAACTTGTGTAGACAAAATATTTCGAACATTAAATTTAGTAATCGTTAACTTGATATTTGAATATGTGCGATAAAATAGGCTAGTTATGCTATTTATGTAGAAAAATGACGACGGCGTAGTTAATTCGTAAATGCAAGAGAGAAGGTTATAAGCGATTTGAAACCCGGAAAAGACTGTTTAATTTCCAATATAAGGGTGCATATTCTCAAAACCTAGACAGTTGATTGATCGACTAGTTGACGAATTTAACTAGTTGATCGACTAGTTGCCCGTCGACGGTGAACTGTTTCGTTTAGTTAAGCGAAAACGCGTCAACGATCCATCTCCATCCCTGAACGGTAGGTCAAATTTCTGTGGCTCTAGTGAAAAGGGGTACAAGTCAAAAAAGCCAACTATACAAGGAGACGCGAAAAACACTTAAAGCTTAATATGATATGAAGCGTTAAGTGTTTTTCGCGTTTCCTTGTTGTTGGCATTTTTCACTTGTACCCCTTTTCACACAGATTTTTTTTTTTTTTTTTTTTTTTATACCTGACAGGCAAATGACTCCACTCCACCTGATGTATACCCAACTACCCCTACTATTGTCATCGTTAACATTCAATTGTTCATTCATTATTACGTGTGTGTGTGTCCTAGCCGGCTTCGGTTACAGCGACTGCCATTGTTTAGAAAGAGAGCTACGGTTGTTTGCTCTTTCACGTTTATTTGGCTACAATGGCCAATCTTATTGGTAAACATTCGCAAACAGTGGCGACACATAAAGACACCCTCAACACAAACAGACACAATAAAAGATGGCGCAGGTGTCTTAGCCTTGTCTGCTCCTCAAATTGTGTCAACTGAGTTTTCACAAAGTGCCTCCACCCAGAACGGCAACTCGATTGCAACTCCCACCTCGACGGGTCAATGTTGCAACTTTTAATGTGTCTCATTTATTATACATACCTATTAATTACTTATGTACTTCATTATGGCATTGAAAAGAACAACCTGGCTTATTTTTGAGCTGTCAATTTGTATCCTTACAAGGGTGACCATCGCGCACACTAAATCTATCGTAGCACCATAGTCGGTAGACAATTTTTCCTACTCTTTTTCCTATTTGCGCAAATGCTAAGCGTGCTGGCCCCGTTTCTTATCTACTATTACCCGTGTAATCTGCCTTAAGATGGACCAAAAAAATTACAATCAGTAAAAATTGTACCACACCTTCGGAAATTCAGCCCATTTATTTCAAAGGTTCAATTTTACATTGTCGCATAGCGAAATGGAAGCGTATTTTTGTAAAGAAATTGTACATAGTATCATAAACGTAATGGCAACTTACAAACGGGTGTCTACTCCCGTCCAACATCCGTCTGAAACAATTATTATCAAATAACTAATTCTCGGCCAAGCAAAAGACAAGTGCCTTTTCATATGGTCGAGTATTACTTATTTGACAGTGGTGATTCTCGGACTAGTGTTCACTACCTAATTTCCGTGCAATTTTCATTACTTCAGTGTTCGGTTTTTTATCGTGCAATATTATTTAATATTCGAGTACTATATCGCGATACTTGAATGTTTCAATAATAAAAATTGCAACGGAAATTATATTATTATTATTTTGTGTATATATTCTAATAATGTATGTATTTGATATTATTGTTTATATATTTACTTTATTGATGAATAGTGTATTTATTTATAACCACTTTCATTACAAGATAATCTTTGGTTGCACCCCCTCCCCCCTATTGCAACTGTTAAATTTCTATCCTAAGGTTACCTGGAAGAAATTGCTCCTTAGCAATATGGCCGCCTGTTGTACATTATCTTACTCTGTGATATATTACTGTTCTGTTTTGTCATTGTGCAATAAAGAATATTTAATTAATTCTTTTCATTCATTAGACCGATAATGACCGATTGTAATTGTTTCGGACGGACGGATTAGATACGATACGGTAATTCCGGGAATTCCCGGGACAGTGCAAGAATAGTTGACATGGTTTTTGGCTCGTATCTATATACTTTACATAATTGACATGAAAGTTCATATATTACTGCTAAAAGTTCCGCGGCAAAGTAAATTGAACATAATTTGCGAGAGAGGCTCATTGAATTTCAGTAAGTGTGGCGCCATGATTACGTATTAAATAAAGAAAATAAGTTTTATGCTATCACAAGTGAAATGTCACCTTAAACTTTACTGACAGCTCACAAAAACGTTTGTCATACAACAGCCAATCCATTCGCACATATTGGCCAAACGCAGCCAATATCAAAGCAAATATCAACACAAATGTTTGACCAATTGTTCTGACACGTCCATTTTGGTGATATCAGAGAAATCTACAGCTGGTTTACCTCGTTGTAAAATTTCGATTGTTGTTCTTGAATCTAATTGCTTCAAGTGTTGGATTAATCGAGCCTCGGATATCGGGTGTATCGGTTTTGATACTGTTAGAGTTGTGTTCTTCAACGCCCGCGCAAGTGTTTTAAGGAATTTCGACCATTGTCGCTCGTTTGATGTTGGCTCGGGGGTGTTTACTAGCGCCGATGCTTTTTCTATTAATGCGCATACGCAGCTTAGGGTTAACTGGAAAAGAACACATAAAATAAGTAAACTCCATCGCTGAGTAAATGCCTCCACTATAGTGTCTTTTTGAAGACGACATAAAATAACATTTGCAGGGTTGCCACTTTTCGTAAAATTTTTAAATAGTCATGTGGTTGTCGATATTTTTATCGATAAATTGAGAAATAGGTAAAATGTTGCCAAAAATGTCTGAATTGTGGATCTTATGACGTTGTAATGATTACTAATGGCGTGCTTAAAATATGAAATATTTAATTCCTTACTTGTAGGCCAACTGTCAAAATAAGAATAAAGAATTATTCTAATTTTGACAGTTGGCATACAAGTAACGAATTAAATATTTACATTTCATAATATACATATACATGTAATAAGAACACGCCGATTTGATATCTATGTTGAATTAAAATAGTGCGTCGCTCCATGTAATGTTTATAGGATTTACAATTTTAAGGAAATGGTCATAAGAACTATTGGATAATAATAATATAGTGTCATATTTAGGAGTAACGTAACTTCAAAAGCAAATATTAAGAGTTAGCCTGTATAATGGCATAATGATGTGTGTGAAGTTCTCAATCCGCTTTGGAAATCTCAAGCCTTCCCACAACAGTAAGACTATATACGTCATCAACTCATTTATATATCCCACCGCTGGCCACGGACCTCCTTTCAGGCGAGGATTTAGGCCATAGTTCGCCAAGGCCATGGTAAATTTCAAATATATAACCAGAAATAGAGACGAAATGTCATTTAATTTGTTTAAAAATTATTTTGCCAAATCATTACGGTGACAACTGCGGTCTGATTGGTCCAGAATTCGTCAAAACAATTGACAGGTATCGTCAATTGTTTCACTTCAAATCGACCAGTTTAACTTGACGAAAATTGTAATAATTACATATTTAATTACCGATGAAATGTGATTCCGTTTGTTTTGTAATTAGATGTTTTGCTGTTTTTCTCACAGCACCGAATCGAATGGCACCGATTGTTAGAGATATTATCTTTATTACAATAAATACAAAAAAATTTTTAAATATACGGAGACGTACATACAGGTCAGTTGTTGGCGATGTACTATTTCAGTTTTCTAATTTGTGATTTCAGCGCAAACGAGAGGCTCATTATATAAGGCCCATTTGCCTGATGACTTACCATGGAAGGCCCTTATTTCGTCTCTATTTCTGGTTATATACTCGATGATTCCGATAAACTCAGAGGTGCGAGTCTGGATTTGAATCCATGGCTTCTGCTTGAGGCAGTAGGTCAAAACATTAGGCTGCCATAGTTGTAAATAAAAAGCGCACATAGTTCAATAACATTTGCTGTTTAGATTAAAATACAGTGTGATCAGTTTGACGTCACATATAAAAATAACGCCGCTGTCCTAAAAAAACAAAGCTTCAAAGTGCGTAACTTGATTGTACAGCCTTGCAAAAAGCCCGTGATTAATGGTGAACTGTACTTACAGGTGTGGTAAGCGCGTAGGGCGTCCTCGCAGGATCGAAAGCTTCTGACAGTAAGCTGCAGGATTCGAGTATCGCTGACCACCCTGACGTGTTCTGAATGTATCTGTTTAAAAAATACCTTTTTTTATAAAAAAAAAATCAAACCCAAAAGTGTGGAATCTTCTATTTAATTTTCATTGAAGTCGGTTAACGGAAAGTAGGTGAAATTCAATGAATCGGATTCATCCCCTAATTTGCCATCCCTAGCGATGGCATAATTTCTTCAAATTTGAATGGGACCACTATTGAGGTACCCCTATTCCAACATAAAAGAAAACAAAGAAAAACACTGTAATATCCAAAACAGCATTTTAAGGAAAGCTGCGTAGAGGATTTTTGGTTTATTTTTTTTGTAACTTTTGAGGTAAATAAATAACACAAAAATATTTAAGTTGCGTTGTACATTAGGTATTAAAGAAATCTATCCAGCGATTAGAATTTTACTTTGGAAAATAAGATATTTCTATTGGAAAAACTAATAACTTCCTTTGCTCTTGATAACAGCTGAAAGATTCTCGTTATGAAATTACAAAACACTATATATACTCGTATGTACTGTAGCCTTGCAGTGTTTTGGTTGACACAATAGTTAAGAGCTACTACATCGATACCTCGAATGAACACTACACCTTAATTTTTGGGCTTGTTCTGTTTCTATTTTGTTTTTGCTTTTTTATTTAATTTTTTCACAAAATAGGTTTTTTTTCGAACAAAATTCCATTAGCATGTAAATAAATATGGCTGTTTATAAAAATAACAGAAAATGTGCAAAAAATAAGGTTGGCATAGGGGTTCATTGGAGGTATCAAACGTTAGAAAGATATAAACAAACATAATTTAAATAATCTCAGTACAGGGTACTAAAAAACCGACCTCAAACCTCACTCATCCCCCCAGTTTGCCACCTTTAGAGGTGAAATATTTTCTTCAAAATTAAATGGGACCACTATTAAGGTACCCTCTTTCCAACAAAAAAAGAATCACGAAAATCAGTTCACAAATACCGGAGTTATCGCGTGACACACGTACAAAAAAAACAGTCGAATTGAGAACCTCCTCCTTTTTCGAAGTCGGTTAAAAATAAGTAGCCAGAGATGAAGAATGCAGCAACTCGCGGAGGGTGGGAGAGCGGCCACTGACCTGCGGTAGTGCGGCGCCAGCGCGGCCAGCCCCGAGGCGTCGCGGCGCGCGGCGGCGGGCAGCGCGCGCAGCAGGCGCTGCCACAGCGCGCGCACGCGCGAGTGCGCGGCCGGCACGCGCGTCAGGAAGCGCGCCACCAGCGCCTGCGGGACAAGCGCTGATTATTGCGCGGACGCCCCTTTCCGACATTGCGTTACACGGGCGGTTATCAACGAGATATTTCTTCAACTATACAAGTGTGTGCGAGCGTGAAAGTTTGTATGGAGAACCAATAAAACTATGAAAATTAGTTTAGTAAAGTAGGAGACACGAGGACCTTATTCTACGTAGACGAAGACGTCTGCCAGTTAAAAATATAGATCTAAAAGCGTTAGATAGTACAGCAACAATTTTAAAGTTTATTTTCGGTTAATTCAAAATGTTTTGTAAAAAGTCATGGAACAAATCGACCCCTCCCACGTAAAGTATCGTATGTCGAAATTGCCAAGTTTACAGGGGAGCGTTTTAAAGTTCTGAATTCACGAAACAGGTAGTAAGTAGTTTCACCAGCACCCTTACCCTTCAAAACCGGAAAACACATTACTGCTTGGCGGCAGAAACAGGTAAGGTGGCAGTACTTCCCTGGACGAACTCTTTCACAAGAAGCTAGAGCTAAAGAATCTTGTGAATTATTTTTTAAGCAACAGTAGACTGTTGCTTAAAAAATACGAACGAAGCCACATTCAAAGCAAATATTCTTCTTCAATATCCATTTAACATGACATTGCCGACTTAATCGACCAGCAACAGTTTGTCGAGTAACGAATTGTATTTTTGAAAATAAAAACAAAATCTATAGCATTATAAAAAAATATTATAAATTGAAAAGAGTAAAATTTCAGTTTATTTTCACTTACCCGTCCCTTTCTAACAGCTAGCACCTGATGAAGCTTGTCCTGGTGGAGTAGTCCAGAAAACAACCTTCCTATTAGTTCTTCTTTGTCTTCGTCTAAAAGGTTTTTGACTGGCGCCGGTTTCGTCCCTACAGCTAGGTTTACTACCTATAAAAACAATAGAAATTTAACATCTTGGTATTGAAAAAGAACGCACCGAAATTATGCAATAGAATTTTGATTAACACAACAAAATTTTTTGACGTATCCTGCCAGGGTCGCCATGTGATGTTGGGATAAAATTATAATACTTATTGGTCGGTAGTTGAATTTATTGTCTGAAACTACAATTTGATTCACATATATAATAATAATTAAATAATAATATAAATAACTGCGAAACATACGTCTTTAACGTTCTTGTTACATGGACATAAAGATTCTACCGGATGCCGAGGTGCCGGGTTCGAGTCCCGGTAGGACCAATTCGGGAAATTAACTTTTCTAACTTGGTTCTGGTCTGGGTGTTTCAGGTAGTGCCCCAAAGCGAATTCCTTCTGGTACTCATGGTACAGATAATGCCCTAGTGTGAGACCAGGCAATTAGTTATGTTTATCTGGCACTTTATGATAATAACTAGGAATATCCGGTAACTATCATGTATCCGGACTAATTTTACTATCCGGCCGGATACCGGATAGTAGAACAATATCCGGCCGGATACCGGATAGTAGAACAATATCCGGCCGGATACCGGATGTTCCGGATGTGGATGTGGACTGGGAAAAAATCCCAATCAGTATCTGTTTATTACTTGTAACTGTAAAGAATGATCTGTAAATTTAATGCTCAAATTTCAAGGCAAGGCAAATTATGGAGACCAGTTTTTCTGCATTTAGTAGCAAAAGTCGTTTCCGTTTATTTTCATAAACGAGACCAGCTTCAGAGGACAGCTTTTCGCTATAAACTCTTTCAAGCTTTGGTCAATTTAGATACAGCTTGACATTACCAGACCACTAAATGAAAAGATCGCAATCTCGATCGATTCGTATAAACAATATGTACCGACAATTATGGAACGTGTAAATAAATTTAGAATTTTTTTTTCAGCAATACTGGTATCAAGTTTTAGATTAGTTAGATCACAAACAACAAATTAACGACATCAAATGAAAAACAAATGTTTTTTTTTTGCATTCGGCACAACAAAGAAACAGCACTAAAATATTTGAGAGACATTAAAATATTGCCATATTGTTGACATTTTTCACTTTTGACATTTTTCTGTTGTGTATTTGATTGTATTATCGAATAAATTTATCCTTTCAACAAAATACCAGTGACTACATATCAAATCGTCAATGTGAAAGTGCATTCATTCTCTAATCGATCAATCACTACGATGCGCGCTGTAAATCGGTCGCGACATGTTTGCGACAGTGGGCCAAATATCCGGCGGCCGGATATTCGGCAGTCCGGCCTAGTTGCTCGCCGGATGTCCGGTAGATTCAGATTCATTTATTTCTCAAATATATCATTTTAGTATAAATTGCATCACATGTCAAAGTATAAGAAATTATATTGAGATCGTCAGACAAAAAGGAAAATTATAAGAAAAGCACACAATGATTAGAAAATTAACAATTCATTATATAATATTGTTGTCATTAAATTACATATCAAATATCATTCTCCATCAAGGATCGCCATAAGTTGATAACAATTATACAAGAATATGTTAATGTGGTAAAAATTAGAATAAAAATAGAAAATACTCAATTCGAGAGTATAAAGGATTTTTCAAGACAAGGTCTTTCAGCCGGCACCTAAATGTTTCGTCAGACGGTTCAAGTCTGAGAGTAGCGGGTAAACGCTCATAGTAAGTAAGTCCGATGGCACGCGGGATTTTCTCTGCAAGTGCTATGCGTCGGGGGACTGTTCTCAAATGACCGGTACGGCGAAGTGGGATGCCAGAAACATTTACAGTCCCAAATGAAGATTATTACAGAAAGGTATCCCGCCTAATCACTATCCGTTTCATTTCTAATAATAAATAAAGCACACACTCATAGCCCTCATAGCCCCGCACTATGAAAATCTTCTACCGCGGGGGCCTTGGACTCATACATACACAGATAAGCACAAATGACACCCAAACTCACGAGAGAACTAAGCCTTACAAATATTTCTCTCAGCCCGGATACCGTACCTGAGACCTATGCGTGGCAGACCAGCTTGGTGACCATTTGGCCACGGAGGCAGTTTAGTCTACGCTCTTTAATCTTTTTTTCACAGGTAAGCAAATTACACTTAAAATCGGTATATTGATTAAACTACAGTTCATTCGTAAGGCAGATTTCCCTGAGAAGAATGAGCAAGAAACCTAGAGGTTGCTCTTTGTAAATACATTTATCATTACAAATGTTTAACCCTTTCGCGGGCGTAGGCAAAATGTTTGCCAAGGCATATTTTTAAATATAGCTCCAAGTATATTGAGTTGCTTGGTATTCTTTTACCCTATGTAGGTGACGCCATCTCTTAGAAACTCTCGTAACAAATTTGGTTTAACCAATCAAATGCTAGCGTATGATTTTGACAGATTTGTGAAGACGCGAGAAAAGTGAGGCTAGTTTTTAGGAGTTCGAATACAAATCCAAAAAAATCAAAAATTCTGCCGTAAGAAAAGTGAGTATTCAATTATTTTATTTGTATTGAATATCGAAGCTATCATATTATGATAGAAGTTTGTTGTTTTACCTAGTTGTATGATAGATATGATGCGAAATATTTGAAATTGCCACTGCCTAGAATGGTGGCAAAATAGTTGCCTATGCTTGATTGTTTATACACATAGAGATAAATAATTGCCTATGCCCATTTGATTTTTGTTTCAGATGCCGCCTCGAAAACATAAACTTAGAGTTGCAGTAACAAACAAAGAGATAATTGAATTATTAACTATACCAGATACTTCGGGATCAGAAGACAGCCTCGAAGACTACGAATCCGAGCCTGAAGATAACCAGAGCGTTTTTTTTATTTTAATATTATGGCTTTACCATATCTCTGTAATTTGTTAGTAAACTCATAAACATAATATATAAATATTAAAGTTGATTGTGATTACGATGTTGATTGTGGTTTATTATTTTATGAATAAAAAACAAGCACAACCTAACCTAAAGGTCAAACAATAGGGCATTGGCAACACTAAGTTGACACCTTCGAAGTCGGCACTGGCAACTATTTGATTACAAAATATATCCATAGGGACACAGGCAAACATGTTGCCACCCCCCCTCAAAAAATATGGGGGTTATTTGGGGGATTAAAATTAATCGTCAATGTCCTAAGGGACGTTCTTAGCACCGTTTTGAAATGTTAAAAGTTAAATTAGCCGCATACTGAGTACAGCCCGCGAAAGGGTTAATTTAAACATCTTAGATCGAGACTACCTGTAAGAGCTAAACGGGTCACTACCACGGAGTTTTGTCTTAAAACAATAATGATATGTTATAATTTTAGCATGTAGCAACTTGGATTTATTAATAGACCCCTATAAAGTCATATGTTTTCTCTTCAAAAGGAGATTAGCAGTATTGGAACGTACCTGTCTCTTATCAATGCTTTCGCTTTTAGGGCTGTCCTGTTTAGGCCTCCTCTGTACGGACTCTATGTTCCTCAGAAAGACGTTAGAGTCCTCCTCTTGCTCGTTTTCTAGTGCCTCTTTTTGGGCCAGCTCTAGTTGTTTTTGTTTCTCTTCCCTTTCCTGTAAACACAAAATGTTTTTAAGCAAAAAACATTGAAATGGTGACTGATGTTGAAAAATTGGAATGGTTGCACCAACACAAGTTCAAGGATGATTTTTTTTATATAATACCAAGTGGCGGGACGAACAATTCGTGCGTCTGATAGTAAACGACACGCCTGTTCATAACAGTTACAGTGCCACTCAGAGCTTTAAATAGCAAACATATGAGGGGCACTGCCACTGCTCCCGTCACTCTGAAACAGAAGTTGACAAGTCCCATGTGCCTGTAAATTCATTAGCACACGAATTTTATCGCACTCGTCGCCGAGCGGAGTCCGCGTTGCCGACGCGCAGCGACCGCGTGCGTCTAACTGTCATGGCAAAATACGCTCAATTTGTTTAGCATTTACGTTTTAATTTAAATGAGCGTTCCGGGCACGCCGGCTAGCCTGGCTTGAATTTGATCTACGCGGCGGCCCGCGCGACGACCGCGCGGCGGCCGGGCGGTCATTTGATTGAGAGGAATTTAAATATTGTTGCATAATAAATAGAATTCGGATTCGCCATTAATGTACATGAAGGCGTGGTAACTGGGCGGTCACTCTTCAAAACCGGAACACAGTAATGTTCACATAGCTGCTTGGCGGCAGAACTAGGTAAGGTGGCAGTACTTCCCAGGACGAACTCTTTTACATTTATTAATATTTCAAATTAATTAATATTTGGTGATTAAATATTTTATTAAATGTCAGGATGTTTGACCACCGTGATATTTTTTTGTGAAATTACTCCACTAGTTTTGTTATAATTATTAATACAAAGACCAAACACTTAGAGAAAACTCCTTCGATCCAGCCGGATTCGAACTGACGTCTTCTAGCAGACCGTGACAGACGCTATGCCAACTAAGCCACGGAACGAACAGCGAACCTCACGAATTTTTCTATATGCTTGTTTGTCGGATCTTTTGTATTTGGTTTTCAACGACTGTATGTACAAAATTATGCACTCAATTGGGACACCCTATTCTGATCATTCGCAATCAGCCTAACACAGCGATGAAAAATGTATATTTGATGTTAGTTTTAATTTTGTAGTGTTGTAGTAGAAAAGCGAACATTTCCGAGGATATTTGAACAAAAGAAATATACCTTCAATATAAGCGCGTTGGAGATCGCCAACGGATCGTTGAGTTCTTCAAGCCTGAGCAATATCAGGTACAAAGCTTCGATTTCAAGGAGCAGTTGCTTCGTTCTTCTCAACTCGCGCGGTATCTGTATGATAAAAGAAAGATAATTAAAAACTTCCTAAATAAAATAATATTAATAATAATAAAAATTTAACACTACTTGAATAACATAAAATAAAATTAATACAACGAACAAAACAAAAAGCAATGTTCACATATTATATTATATTAAAATTGCAAATATTATCTCTCTATATTATCTATCTATTATAATACATATATTATCATTATAAATAATAAACAAAATACAATAATAATATAAAGTACCAAACGTTCCGTCCTAATTAAACTACTTGCATGTCGCTTCTAGTTTTGGCCGTTCTATATATCTTTGTTAATTGTGTATAGCAATATTCACGTTAGCGATTCAACCAACTAACTCACGTTTAAATAAGCAACAACCCACTTAATGTAGAATAATTTTTATACTCAATCTTTGTCGTTCGATATTTCAACTGTACTATATTTAGTTATTTCTTTTCTCATGTTAAGTGAATGAAAACTCTTAGGGAGAAATAAAATCTTTAAACCTAAAATTAAGTTCCGCAGAAAAAAATACAAAGGATCCGTTTTTTCTTCCATACAACTTTGCGTGTACTTAAAGTACACATATCATTGAATATTTATTCATATTATTATCATAATAGCACAGAACTGGTGAACGATACGTGCTGTATCGAGCAGCAGCGCTTTCTTAACTGTTCGCATTTACCTCTGCGGGGTTGGTTGTGCTGGCGACACTGGGCGCGCGGCTACAGCGGCTGGGCGGCGCCGGCTCACCCGACACCACTTCCACGTCGATGATCTTCCGCGGCGCCGTTACACTACCGCACTGCAGAAGCAACGTTTAACAATAATCTTAGTGCAGAGTACTAAAAAAACCAACCTCAAAATTACATCTATTTGCCAACCGGATTCATCTATATACATAGCATAATAAACTTTATGGTCCATTGTATAACGGTAAAATGTTTGGACATTTGTTGCGTAATGACGAATTTGTGAAAGTGATAATTGAGGGGAGGATAGAAGGGAAAATAAAAAGAGAAAGACCGAGAATGACGTATAGTGAACAAATAAAAAAGAAGATCAAAGTGAACAGCTATAAAGAGGTCAAAGAACTGGCTATGCTACCAAACTGGCTACCGTGAGGAGTGGAGAAGGCTACACCGATAAGAATCTAGCTCTTAAATAAGTTGATGATGATGTGTAACGTACAAACTAGTTACGAGCCAAAATCTTCCGCAGAATGCACGAGCATTCTCGAGTATGCTCGAGAATTCCGCGGCAGACTTTGGCTCGTATCTAGTTTGCACGTTACACAATTTATCGCTACCATTCCGTTGCCCCGCAATATAAATTGAGCCTTAAGAGGTGGAATATTTTCTTCAAATTTAAAAGGGACCACTACTGAGGGGAAACCTGTGTCGCGGGTGCCACAGACACACACATAAACAACCACAAAAGAAAAAAGAATCATCAAAATCGGATCACAAATTTATCGAGTATCATAAAATACAAAAAACACAAAAACATACAGACGAATTGAGAACCTTCTCCTTTTTTTGAAGTCAGTTAATTAATAAAGCACCTATATCTACACATATTAAACATATAATTGTACAGGTTTATTTTTAAAATGCTTAACAACCTCCCAAGACTATATTACAAACATCATAAACAACAACATACCCCTCCTACGTATAGTATCGTATGTCGAAATTGCCAAGTTTACAGGGAAGCGTTTTAAAGTTTTGAATTCACTGAAATAAGCATAACACGGACTTTAGCATTTCACAATACATATTGTGGTTGTTCATCTAACCGATATCTAGGATTTTATAATACTCTATGTAACGAGCTTTGCTGAATAGAATTCAAAACTTTAAAACGCTCCCCTGTAAATTTGGCAATTTCGACATACGATACTTTACGTAGGAGGGGTCGATTTGTTCCATGACTTTTTACAAAACATATTGAATTAACCGAAAATAAACTTTAAAATTTTTGCTGTACTATCTAACGCTTTTAGGTAGGCTATATTTTTAACTGGCAGATGTTTTCGTCTACGTAGAATAAGGCCCTAGAGTCTTTAGTAAACTAATTTTCATAGTTTTATTGGTTCTCCATACAAACTTTCACGCTCGCACACATTTGTATAGTTGAAGAAATATTATTTACACCGATGAATGTTATCGCTTTTAAGGGCTCATCCTTTCTATTAGAACAAAGTAATAAAACCATTAACACTTATTTTACTTCAAGCGTACATTGACTTAATGATCTTGCCCCATCGGAGTCATGGATGCGCTAATGCTTTTTTAAAATTCTAGTTTTTAATTATTTCTTTACTTATAAGGTCGTTTATATTTTAAACTGTAGGTACTCACAGGCAAAGTTAGTCCCGCGTGAAGATTATCAACTTCAGAATTAAGTTCCAATGCGTCAAGTGTTTACACTAGTTGTTTGCACTATACCATCGAATATATAACCAGAAATAGAGAGGAAATGTTATTTAATTTGTTTGAAAACTAATCTGCCTAATCATTAAGGTGACAACTGCGCTCCGATTGGCCAGCCCGAATTCGAAACAATTGACGGGTGTCGTTTATTGTTTCAGTTCAAATCGACCAGTATAACTTGAGCTTTGCTATAATGGACGAAAATTGCAAAATTATATTTAATTACCGATGAAATGTGGTTCCGTTTGTCTTGTAATTAGATGTTTTGCTGTTTTTCCCACACCACCGAATGGAACAACCCTCCATAGTTAGAGATATTATCTTTATCACAATAAATATTTGGAGACGTACACACAGGTCAGTCGTTGGCGCTATTCCAGCTATCGATTATTTTGATTTCAGTGCAAACGAGAGTTGATATTTAAGAGTAATATAAAGCTCTGATGAGTTATATATTATATTAGTTATATTTTCGATGCACTATACAGATGCGTTACCGACAGCTCACTGTTTTATCCTATTGTATTCAAAAGATAAAGCGATAAGATGTATTGATGCAAATAATACTTCGTCAACTATAAATGGCAAATTTTTAATACCAACCCCCGTTATTATATTATATATTATATATTATTATAGAACATGTTTCATAGGAGATCCGTAACGCATACCTGCAGTTTTCCAAGCGAGTTCTCGAACTGCGTAGGCACGTAGGTGCGCGGCGCCTGCGCATCATCCCCCGTGGAGTTGTGGCGGGTCGAGTTGTGTCGCTCGCGTGTGTGCGTGTGCGTCTCTTGCTTGACCCCTGCGCAAAATAGAAAATGTTTTCCTCATATTCATACCTTTAAAGGCCACTGCTGGGTACAGGTCTATCCGCTAGACCCAATGCGACTTGGAATCTTCACATATCCTAAGGGTTGTCTATTTAAGTACATATTCGCTTATATAGACATATATGGTCGCTTCTTAATTGTAGAGCTAAGTAAACATTTCGAATTCGTCGTCGTTCAGCTATTGACCGCTAGATGACACATATTGAATGAAATTTCAATATAAAATCAAAAAATTGTAACTTGCATTAATAGGTTTGAACTTTCGAACGATATGCCAACAGGGCAGTTTAAGTTACATTAACAGGCCAGAATTTGTAACTTCTTTTTAAATTAAAAACTACGACTAACCTTTCTCAAGACTGAATAGTGTTAAAAATTATGATAGTGTGAGTTTTGGAGACAGCGGTTCTGATAGTAACCGAGGCTTAAGGCACTTCGATAAATTGTCGTCACAATCTAGTGTCCACGACACAATCACGACAGATAGTCGTGATGTGGGAACAGGCTAGACGCGACAGTCGTCTAACGATACATAAAACGTTACGACATAATGGGAACGCGGAAAGGCTATATCATACGCTCCTATCACGCTCCGAGCGGGCCGCAGCCGTAAAATTAAAAAACAAAAAATCAAAAACCTCTCTTCACGAAACGGTTGTAATTTCTTTTTCTCGAATTATTATAAGTTAATACAGTCCACTAGCATTTTATTTCCACTGGGCCTATACAATACTTTAGTTATAAACAAAAGGTATTTTTTTAAATATGTAGGAGATAAATAAAAAATACATTGTCTATAATTTTTAGTAAGAAAACAACTCGATTTTGTCAACAAGTCATTAGTAGAAACACGTACTTATTGTCGAACATCAGTCGAAGCAGGTGTTAACTCTCACTGCACCTGGTTGTTTGTTATTTGCTATAAAAGGGCAAGAACGTGTTTTAGAACTGAGAAGGCTTCAACTCCGCTGATAGTACAAGGCCGTTGGCAGTCTATGGCATCCAAACATGTATGTGACGACATTTATGTAAAAAAACATTTAACACTTACCACCGCTGTAGAAGGGATGATTCTGCTGGTTGGCCTTATGCGCTTCCTTGACACCCTCCTTTTCTTTATTAGCTTGTCGCTCTAGGAACACCTGTGGTCACACAACAATACTATTATCTAGTCAATCTATATTACATGGAATTTCTTTCGCAGAAATTGTAATTTCATTTTTATTTGACATAGTTGTATTTCGACAATATTTTGAGTCCGTTCATATTTATTATAGTCTGACTTTTTTGCCGATGTAGTAAAATGACAGTGATTGCAGTCGATAAATATTCTATCGACTAAATGTTGCTTATAGTTAAACAATACCGGCCCACTATTCGTCCAACTGCTGGGCACTAGTCCAATTGAATTATCAATTTTTGTAAGTCATACATACACTGCATTTAGAACTATGTAAATTTTAAAGATTTTCTATCCAATTCAATATAGATAATTCTGTGGCCGAACGGTTGCCATGCCGGACTGCCACGAGAGGTCCTGGGTACCATTCCCAAAAAAAAAATTCACTCGTGAGTTTGGGTGTAATTTGTGGTTGCACCCGTTTGTGTGGCACCCGCGACATAAGGTTTCCCTAGTGCGGGGCTATGAGTGTGTTGTGTTATTATTATTATTATCATTAATTAAATCCGTCTGTTCTTATTAAAATGTATATGATTAAAATTCATTTGGATACTACTAGGCCAACTGGACATAGTTATGCAAACAAGAACCAACCTACACCTCAAATGAAATTGAGTTATGTATTTATATTCTAGCCAAATTCGATGTAGAATGTTTAATAACAAAACGTTGCTTGGCAACCAACGATGGCATAGGAAAAGAACATTTTTTTCGATGCACATTATTAAGGCTTGCTCTGCCCACGACCTGCTCCCTTAATTGGAATTTAAATAGGTAAGTATGTAATTGGGTTATGTAGAAGTAATACTTACCTAGCCAATTATTATAAAATTTAGAAAATACTTATTGATACGTATTTAGGAATAAAAATAAGTTTTTGCATCCTATTAATATTTATTTCTCGATGGTAGGTAATGGTAGATGAAAAGAAACAAAATTGTAAGATTTTATTTGGTATTAATTTACCACATATTATATCATCCAGCATCTATTTCCGATTCTGAACTTGAATTACCACCAGAACTCGAATGTTTGCAATCTCTCCCTTCAAATCAAAATGTCAATAGGGATGACACAGTTTTACAAATAATTAGTTACTGGTCATTTTTATGTTATTTCTAGGTGATTTGAAACTTCTGTTTAATAATATTCCGTATAAACACGGCTATTGCATTTAGTATTATCCTTAATCTAGTTGAATTTCGTAGGAAAATTTTGAAATTGTGGTAACTGTGAAAGAGCCGGAGATGAAAACCCTAAAAATCATCTGTTTTTGTTTGTTGACATTTATTCTACAACGATTTTGGCTAGATTATAGGTAGAACACCAGACGTGTCCTTTACCCGCTCACAAAAGATCCTGGAAATACACCAAGCCAAAACGGAGAAAATAAAAGTCCTTCAGGGTACCAACCTTAAATAAGTAACTTTTTAATAGCTAAAAAGAACCATGCTGCTTAACTTCATATAATGTATTTTTTTAATATGCTAAATGGATCCATGTCACATGTACTGAAGTACTGTAGATCTTCAGCGTTTTCATTACGAAAACTAGAACATAGTTCTCGTTAAAGATGTTTTCTATTTATTGCTATATAATATAATAGTTTCCCTATATCCTTCTCAATGCTACACATAACTCACGTTGTTTGTCTCAAATAACTTAATTTCTTCACACTGTTTTTACAAATATCTAATTATCTCAAAAGTGACATTATGTGGGTTGGTTCTAGTTTGCAAATTATGTCCAACTGTCAACTGAACGTCGTAACATTCACAATTTAGTAATTTTTGGCAAGATTTTACCTACTTTCACAATCTACCGATAAAACCGTCACACTACCAATGAAATTTTATGACCCCGGATTCGAACCCACGGCCTCTGCTTGAGAGGCAGTAAGTAGGTTTTACCATTAGGCTGCCACAGCTTTCTTAGAGCATCATACACCGATTGGCAAATTCTTAAACCACAAGGGCAAGCGTTACAGTGTATGCCATCAATGCGATTAAAAAATAGAAATAGAGTGAGGGGCAGAGTCCAAATTCTTAAACAATTCAAAATATATTTTTTTATGGCACAGTTTGCTAGAAAACGTCCGTCGGTTCGAATCTAGCCTGATCAAATGATTTTTTTCTAAGGCTCAAGTCACACTGGAGTCGAAGCGTCGCGTCGCGTCGTTTTCAACTACAAAAAGCCGAGGGGGAAGGTGGCGAAAGCGCGCGCCATCCTTACTCCGTATTTGCATAACACATATTTCGACTGTTCCTACGTAAAGTATCGTATGTCGAAATTGCCAAGTTTACAGGGAAGCGTTAAGTTTTGAATTCACTAAAATGAGTATAACACGTGACTTTAGCATAGAAATGCTAAATTAAATTGTAAAATAATAAAATAATTTGTGGTTGTTCATCTAACCAATATCTAGGATTTTATAATACTCTGTTTGAGTTTTGCCGAATAAATACAGAGAAATAAAGTCACGTGTTATGCTCATGTCAGTGAATGCAAAATTTTGAAACGCTCCCCTGTAAACTTGGCAACTTCGACATACGATACTTTACGCAGGAGGGGTCGATTTGTACCTTAATAATGGTAAAATAGAGATGAATATGCTATTGGCGAAAAACATGACGCGTCGCGACGCTTCGACTCTGCGCCAGTGTGAGTTGAGCCTAAGTGTTCGATCTTCGTATAAATAATTACAAAAAGCTAGTGGAGTAATTTCACAATAAATAATTGAACATCAATTCAAGACAAAGACCACGCGGGCATCTCGTTCTTTCCTTCCTCGAACCTACATGATTTTTTTTTATGAAACTAAGTGACAAGACGAATAAGTTATGTGTCTGGTGGCAAGCTTTACGCCTGTCCATAACAGTTGCAGTGCCACTCAGAGCTTTCAATCGCAAGATCTGACGGGCACTGTCACTGCGCCCGTCAACTTGAGACATAAGTTGACAAGTCTAATGTGCCTGTAATTTCACCTGCACATCACTGCTTGGCAGCAGAAATGGGTAAGGTGGCAGTAGTCCCTGGACGAACTCTTTCACAAGCGCTAAGAGCAACTGCTACTATCTATTATCTAGAACTTACCGTGTAGTAAAAATCGTGAATATAAGGCGTTCCTGTGCTAAGTTGTAACATTTGAATGTTAATGAGCCATTGTTTTTCTCTTTGCGTCATGAGTCCTGCGTACTCGTCGTTGTCACTGCTTGTGGATGCGTCATCGCCATTCATTGACTGCCTGCAATTAAAATAAAAAATCATCTTAAGTCAAGTTGGTTAACTTTGAACACTCTTCATAATACATTAATTTAAAAATATTAATACGGCTGGATTAGAATCAACGTCTTCCAGCACACCGTGGCGGACGCTATGCTAACTAAGCCACGGAACGAACTAGCTGACCTTACGATATTTTCTATGTAGTCGTTCAAGATCTTTGTTTTGGTTTTTAAGTACTTTTTGCCCTAGCGGCATTTGTGAGAAATATGTGAAATCTTTTCCTCACTCAGCCAGGTACCTTTGCAGCTTCGCAGTTCCGTGGCTTAATTGGTATAGCGTCTGGCACGGTAAGCTAGAAGACGTCGATTCGAATCCGGCCGGATCGAAGGAATTTTATCTGAGTGTTCGATCTTTGTATTATTATTATACCAAACTAGTGGAGTAATTTCATAAAAAATAATTGAATATCAATTCAATAAAAATTTAAAAAACTTACCTATTGTTATTACTGTAAGTCCCGTTGTGCCTCTGGTTGTTGAATAAATTGTTGTTGAACTGGCTGTTGAACACGTTGTTCCTATTCAACATAGGATGATGGCTCGCGTTATGAAAGCTATTATTGAATTGCAACATCGGATGCGTATTTTGTATAAGCTGTACTAAATTCTGAGATGTCAAATTCTGTGATGTCAAATTCTGAGACGTCATATTCTGCGACGTCAAATTCTGCGAATTTACATTCTTTGAATTGTTATAAATACGACTTTTCTGTAATTTCTGATTCTGCTGGTTATTTTGATTCTGGCTCTGATTTTGATTTTGGACTTTGTGATTCGTTTTAATTTGATTGTTTATCTGATTCTGAAACGGTGGCTGGTTAATCTGGTTCTGGACAGAATTCTGAGGATTCTGTTGAACCTGATTTGACAGTTGGTTTGGAAGAGATTTCTGATTAATCTGAGTTGATTGGTTTTTTAGTTGTTGCAATTGTTGACTCATCATCATGTTTTGTTGTTGCTGTTGATTCAACTGTTGTTCGGGTTTTGGTTGTATTGTTGGGCCCTGAAATATTAAACACGCAATGTTTAAAAAACCAACCACATGTCTACCAGAACCTCTCTACATATAAAATGTGCAATGGCAATTTGTCATATCTGATTTAGGCCATAACTATTGTACAATTTATGTACATGATTATTTTTCTTACAGTTAACAAACAAAAAAGTTAAATATATTCGTACTTACACGAAAATTTGGGTTAAACTGGCCCATGTTTGGACTAAAATTTTGTCTGGGCATATTAATTCCTGGTGGTGGGGCCATCATCCTGGGCTGACCCATCATGTGGGGAAACTGATTCATGCCTGGGTTAAACTGATTACCATTTGGGATCATTTGGTTCACATTTTGACCCATTTGATTCATATTTTGTCCCATTTGGTTCATATTCTGACTCATTGGGTTCATACTTTGACTCATCTGAGTCATGTTTTGATTCATCTGGTTCACATTTTGACCCATTTGAACATTTTGAGCCATTTGAACATTTTGGCCCATTTGATTTACATTTTGCATTAATTGGTTAACCTGCATATTCATCATGTTATTCTGTCCCATTTGGTTGTTCTGAAAGTTTCCCATTTGGTTTGCGTTTTGCATGAACTGGTTCACATTTTGCCCCATTTGGTTCACGCCCTGTCCAATTTGATTAACATTTTGACTCAACTGATTGAGATTTTGTCCCATGGGATTTACGTTTTGTCCCATTTGGTTCATACTCTGCCCAATTTGACCCATTTGGTTCATATTTTGACTCATTTGGTTGATACTTTGTCCCATTTGGTTCTGCATGAGGTTCGTCTGGTTCATGGCGTTTTGGCCTATGATCTTGTTAAGTGGCTGGCTGATTTGACCCATTTGGTTCATGGATTGCTGTGGGGCGAATGGTAGAGATACCGGGGCTTGCAAACCAGGCGGTCTTTGTAAAATGACCGGTGGAAATCGCGGCTGTAAAAAGAAACACAAATATATACCCAAATTTTACATTTTTTATAACGCCACTTAGAAACTTGTAATAATTTTAGATACCAATACTTAAAATGACAATGATGGAAGCGCCGTTTGTTTTTGCGTTCCCATACAAAACATTATCCGTTAATCGGACGGATCGTAGAAAAAAATCGCTAATTGGATATCGCACATGACAACTAACATAGTATTATCTCAAAATTATTGCTTTAAGTTACATTAATATTACCTGTTTAATTTCGAAGCGACAGTGTCGTCCTGTCATTTTGAAATTAATTCGTATACGAAAGACATAAATATAAATATAGCGAAATTTTGGAGATAAATTATGAATATAACGCAATTTTGAGATAAAATTAACATAACGCTATTTTTGAGATAATACTATGTTAGTTGTCAAGTGCGATATGTGTTTTTGGAAAAGTTATTCGGTCTCTGGAGTAACTAAAACAAACTACTAAGGCTAACTATTAATCAGACGCGACCATGGAGCCCAAACCGTTGGTTTGTTCGAAAAAACTTGCGCCTGTTAAAACACATACTAACTAGTACTATAGATAACGGAATTAGAAATGTGTACAGAAAGCCCGCTCTATAGATGTATATCAATTTATAATAAAATACGAAGACAGAAGAATATGACAACACATTCAAAACCTAATTAAAGTCTCTTCTGATAAATAATAATAATAATAATATATTTATTTATTTAGGCATAAATCCCATTAATTTACAAAATTACATATAATTAAATTTAAAAATTAGATGGGTGCTACTTCCATAATAATGTGTTTTTTATTCGAGAGTACTATTATATACTATACATATAAACGAACCTAATGATGAAACATTTGAACATCGACTGAAAAGACCTTTTGTAGGATAATGCATATTATTCTGTTGAAGAATATAGGAACACGATAGGACATGATATATGATATAGGACATGGATATATGTTCTAATTTATTAGATCTGTTAATTAGGTATTTTTTTTTTCTTTTTTGTAGAGATGGATAATTACAAACTTAACGCATAGAATAATTATTTTGACATACTTATTATTATATTAGTTAATATGTTCCCACATTATTTCACATAACTACATTAAGATGTTAAAATTATATAATTCTCCAGATTCTTGTAATACAATGTATTTTATTGTATACAAAGTTTACAAGATAATAAATAAATATAATCTAAATCTATTAATTTACTACAACACAATGGGGTATGTTTGTACTTGGTAGTTACCTGTGTAATGACCAGGAATCGGAATAGATAGAGTTTTGTGAGGGAGGTATCGTGAAAAAAATCCAATATCCGCAATATTCCTGATCCGACCCACTGTGTTGCAAAGTTAAGATAAATATAGTGTAGCTGCCTGTCCCCAATTACGTCAATTTTTAATGTACTTATTAAGTGATTTCCCGAATCCAGAACAGCTCCAGGACCTAAAAAATATTGTCGTAAGGCAGTCTCCATTTTCTGTCTATGTTCCTCGATGTTAAGGTTAAAAGAAACTCTACCTATTCCTATCCCTGGTAATGACTGTACTAACATTATTTGCAATAAATAAATACGTACCTGGAAGAAGTTCTGCGAGCCGAATGGCATGTTCTGCTGCGGCGGCTGATTCTGCCGCAGCTGCCGCTCAAGCTCCTCCACCGTACACACATTCTTAAGGGTTGGTACTGGCTGAAAAATTAAATTAAATTTAGTTAGGGCGATAAAAGAAAAGAGTGTCGTGGTGAATGTGCACCGACCCCACGGCGCCGACTCAACCGACGGGAGGTAAACCCGGGGGGGTTTTAGTGGGGTAGGCCCCTCCAGTCTGGAGGGAGAGTCCCCATATAACCCCTGAGTCTCCCTGGGCTCAGAGGTATCTGTAAAGATTCCTCCCGTAAAAAAAAAGCAAACTCCTGACTCTGTTGATTCACTGATTAATTATGTATGAAAAATCTGTATGAGTTTAAGCACACTATTTTGTTGTGTCAATTGTAAATTTAAAAGTGAAATTAATAAATACATTAAATAAAAAAAAATGATAATTAATTTAAAATGTGTATCGCGTTTGCATCGCAGCTTAAAGTCTCGCGCGAGTGTAAAGGTAGACAATTAGCGACTGCATCGGTACTGCATCGCGTTTGCATCGCTGTAAAAGTCTCCGTGTTTAACCGCTCTAAGACATTACTTTTAACACTAGGTGCCAATGCAAGCTAAGCTCTGTTAAGTTGATACGTGTGATATTTTTCAAGATGGTGGATTGAAAACGGATGCTAAATAAACGCGCAATGTTTAAATACGGGCGATATTGCTGTTTATTGTAAATGTACTGTGCCACTGTAATGCGATCGTCCGTAGCCCAAAGTGGATTAGGGAAGCTTACACGTTTATGTTTGTGCACTGCATCCTATTCGTTTAAAATCCGAGACTATAGAAATCTAGAAACTAGGACCCACTTTGGATGTCGCTTGTGCACTAAGTCCCATTCCAATTCGAGAAAATACGAAAACCGCTTGTACACCTAGAGATAAAACGATTCCTGTGACATTTCGAACTGTCATTTCTCGGTTTCGAAACTGGGGATCTACTCTCCAAATAAGTAATACTTGACCAAATGAAAAGACGCGTGATGCGAATGAAGCTTCATACTGGATACTTGTCTTTTAATTTTGTCGAATATTACTTATTTGACAGTAATTGTTTCGGACGAATGTCTGACGGAGATCGAGAGTAGACCCCCTGACACGAATCGGACATAGTGCACAAGCGACAGCCGTCAGTTTTAATCACGATGCATTCTTAATAATTACTTTGTTAATTATTACAATAACATTCGCAAATGTCTTCGTGGAAATGAAACAAAAGTTGTTTATGATGTTGTAATATAGTTCTGCGAGATTATTATAGTTTTACAAATCACTCTGTACACAATATGGTTAATTTTAAATACTTTTTAATACAAATATCGAACACTTAGAAAAAAAATCCATTCGAACGAACGAACGAACGAAAAATGGATTCGAACCAACGTCTTTCAGCAAACCGTGCCAGACGCTACGAACTAAGCCACGGAACGAACTAGCGGACCTTACGACTTGTTCAACGCAGATCTTTGTTTTTCGTTTTTAACGACCTTTTGCCGTAACGCCATTTGTTAGAAATTTATTTCTTCACTCGACCATCGACTGACTAGAGATGATTAAATACTATCTGAAAATCGATTCCTAAAACCCGGCTATCACCGAAAATCCATTGCCTTAATATAATTTCCTTAATGCTAGTTACAATAAGCTCTTACTGTAGTGGTCGGGAATGGCACTTCATGACGCCACACGCTCGATCCGAGCGCTCGGGGCAGCGGCGCATCTGTCTCGTCCAACACTAGCTGCGACAACGACGCTTCTGTAATTAGACATAGAACACAGTTATTGAGATTTTAGTAGAACACCACTAGTTTTGTTATGATTATGAACACAAAAATCGCACACACAGACAGGCGACATCTGCGTCAGTTGTGATGCCTGTAAAGATATCGGCTGCAGTAAGAAGGTTATTCAAAAATCTCTCACTAGATGACACTAGCCGGCGACGAATGCCGAAAGCAAGATATATCGTCATTTCGACGGTTCGGTAACTGGACCCGCAGCTTAGTTAGAAAAGAGCAATGCTACGGTGCAGCAGGACGTGAGTTCAAGTCCCACCGTGTCGACGAAAAAAAGAAAAAATCTATGTTCGATCTTTGCATTCATAATCATAATAGAATACATTTATTTATTACATTTAGGGCACGTTTCCCAATATGTCGTAACGACAGATAGTCTAAAGTGTAGTGGCTTGTATATCTAAATGAAGTTGTTCACATATAGTACAACACGATTATCTGTCGTTCACTACTTTTTGACGTTACGACGACAGATTGTCATGACTGTCGTCAGACGATAAATAAAACGTCACGATAAAAACGTGACGACAGTTAATCACAGCTACTATTGTCATCACGTTTTATTTATCGTTGTCTGCACGTGTTCTGATGTCTACTCTCCCATCTCGTCCCCAGCGCCCTGGACTGTACATCGAACAAGGCGGCTGCCGTGATCTGATAAATTGTCGTCACGATCCAATGGGAATAGCTAGACACGACAGTCGTGCAACGATAAAAAAAACGTCCAGGAGTACGCCCTTATTGAGTGTCTTGTAGTAGAACCATAGATGTAGCAATAAGGCTTTTAGTCACGCTGCATTTTCTCGCGACTTGGTGCGGTCTCGAAAATTCCGGGAAAAACTTAAGCCAGCAGAGAATGTGTTTATTAAACATAGCTAAGAAAAAACTAGCTTTAGAGGTCAGTACATCCGTTTAGATGCTACGATGCCACAGACAGATACAAGACAAAATCCATAACTCCCTCAACAAGTCCTTACCACGGTCTAATAATCACCACGTGCATTTCGCTTTGTATGACCTAGAAGATGGACGTCGTTAATCAATAGATGGCGCTGGCATCTCTTGTTTATTACTCCGGCACTTGTGAACCGATTTTGACCATTCTTTTCTTGGTTGGGTATAAGTCCCATTTAAATTTGAACAAAATATCGACTGTGAAAAGGCAATCGGTGCAAGATAGTACCGATAGCCAATTCACAGTCGATACCGATTGCCAGTTCACAGTCGATATTTTGTTAGTAATATTATGTAGTTCGATACGTACGGTATTGTGTAGTTTTTAAATATTTTTATTACACATGTATTTTTCTACACCACGTATTTTTATTTAATAAACCAGATGACGATATATAAATGACGCAAACAATTTCTTTCTTTATACTGTAAAGTTGTCAAAATTGAGATAGTACCGGATGCCAGTTCACAGTCGATATTCCACTCTTTATATTCATAAAAATGTTTAGATAATTTTTGAGAATATATTTCATAAGGCAATATATTATCCTCAAAACAAGTTTAAATACAATCATGAACCCAAGAAGCCAATAGAAAGCATGAATTTGGAGATATGTGTATGTATAAGGAAAAATATACCTCCCGCGTCAGCCACAAGGGGTCTTTACGCTGATAACTCTATACTCGTTATGTAAAGTCTGTTCCAATTCAAAGTAAACAAACAGATCATTGACCCGACCATAGACAGTTTAGTGATGGCCAACTGTAATGCCAACTACAAATCGATTAATTAATTGAATGAATTCACTTGTTTAATTGAATCAGTTGGAATAACTGGGTTTCAAACAATAAAATAGGTTTTGCGATTTCGCTGCTGATTACTATAAAAACATGTGCTTCAACTGATGATATTTCCTACATGAGATTAGAAACTTTTTCTTACATAATTTTAAATCCTCCTTCAACTATTAATATAAATTACTTATTCCATTTATTAAGAAGATTGGTTTAGAATGTTAACTGAACCGATTTGTTTAAATTCCTGGCATAAATGGATTGGAACACACCTTACAAGAGTACAATATAAGGGTACAAGAGTACCTTGGCATCTTTACAAAGGTCTTTGATAGTGAGAGGTTTGTCCTGTCTACTTTGTCTTTAGGCTATGCGACATTTTCACTAAAAACACGCACCGAGCTCATTGGCAGTGTGGTCCATGTGATGGTGCCGGCGACTGCTCTCCAACTGCTCGGCGAGCTGTTCATGCTCCACCTCCCAGTCCAGAATATCGGCTGGAACAATAACAAGGGATGTTATTAAATCAATCAATATATCTAAAAGTGAACAACATTCTTATTGAGGCAAGAGATAGTGGCGCTAATTAACAAACAATCCAGGTATAGCGAACCACAACAATCGGTACAAACCTTTTTGTATGTTTTAAATTTATAACTTTAATTTAAAACTATACTGATAATGGCCAAAAATGCAGCCAAGAAGCTTGGCATCCTTTCCAAGGTGAGGCGTTACTTCACACTGGACAGTTGATTCAGATGTACCAAGCACAAGTCCGGTCGTGTATGGAGCCACTTATGGGATGGCTTTGCTAAATACCAACTGGCCACCTTGGATTCAACAGACAAGCGTGCTAAGAGTGTTATAGGTGACTCGGAATTAGTAGAGGTGAAGCTGTAGAGCCTTGAACACCGCCGTAGAATTCCAGCTTATCGGTATTCTACAGGATATATCACAGAGAGTGTGCGACGGAATTGCATAATTTGATTCCGCCTTCCTCTTTCCATCATCGGGAGACTAGACGTGGGCAGGGGTTCCACCCCTATGTTGTGGATATTCTTCGGATTCGCACGAAGCGTGTCGCTTAAACATTTGTATGGCGAGCGGCTAGGGAGTGGAATTCCCTGCCTGCAGATTTGTTCCCCGAACGCTATAACTTGGACCTTGGCGAAGTGCTCAGAAGGCGAGAGTGAATAGGCATTATTTAGGTGTGCATGCTACATCCTCGACCTCATCGTCACTTTCCATCAGGTGAGATGGAGTTCAAATGCGCACTTATATTTAATTAAAAAAAAAGATAAAAAGACTATTTATTATGGTAATTGGTAAAAAGGACCATATTATGGTAACTGACAAAAAAGACCATATTAAGGTCTTTTCAATACTCAATACTTTTTTATCAGTTTATTTTTAAATTAAAGTTCTAAATTGAAAAGCATTTGCCTATCGTTTTGACTGTACAATTTTAAAGTTCTGGATTAAGTATGTTACTGGTCTAAATTAAGAAACGATTTGTGCATTTTCTTAATTTTAATATTTTAATTTTTGTTCTTCACTATTTTAATTATTTTGTTTTGTTTAATCATATTTTCAAAATTCATTGTAATCATATTAACAGAGTTCTAAGGTTTTCTTTTGTAACTAACACCATTATCTTATGGGCTATGGCCTGATATAAATAGTTTATTATTTATTTATTTGTTTTAGTGCCTTTTCTTTGATATTGTCATTGGTTGATTGCTTTTAGTGCTATTGCACATCTTATACTTTGTTTCTGCGTTTAAATAAACTAAATAATGAGTTTTATTATTAATTTGTATTTTTATTACTATTTTTTATTGTATTGCATGTGTATAAAGTAATTTTCATTTCTGATTCTTCTTCAGATGACGCGGCGTCAATGTCTTAATTTCCTCATGGTTTACAAAGTTTACAACATCTCGTATCACTAACTGGGCAAAAGTAAATATATAAAAGTGTGCCATAAAAATTGTTTACGTTGCAAAGAGCTTTATATGCAAATAATTACTTTGAACCTGTAACTATAAAACATCATTGTTGTTGTGTAGGTTACAAATTGATATCAATTAACTGCAATACAAGTGACAAGATGCTATAGTCATCAAATTGCTTTTTTTTGGTAGTGAATCATTAGAATTCAATGCCACTATTGCAAATGCGGTTATGTCTACGCCGGTGAACTCCACACTGTCACATTCTTCCCTTTATGTGCCACTACACTACTCCAACAGAAGTATGCCTTTTCAATTGAACCTTTTGTTGTAACTGCATATTGGAGTCACTGGCGCTCCGCCACAGTGCATATCGATAATAGTGTACAAATGGTTATTTAAAAAAACTAACCATAGTGACAAATCGATTTTACCATTTGTATTTCTCCTCGAAAATTAATTAAACTTGATTAACTGTTTAAAAACTGGAACACAGCAATGCCCAGATCAACGCTTATTGGCTAAAATGGGTAAGGTGGCAGTTCTTCCCTGTACAATCTCTTTCATAATAATTATTTTATTACTCAATGCAAGTTAGTAAATACACAATAATGCTTTAATATGTTTATATGTTATATGCCTAATGTTTCATCACACACAGTGAAACTATATGTATTTTGTTACTGTCTATTTCTATACAACCTATACAATGAATTATCATGAAATGCTTATTTAATTTTGTGATAAGGGGTCTAGAAAAGCCGTCATTGGGTCACTGTCGGCACTGGCTGGTGTTTGTTTACCCAAAGTAATGGTACTTACAGTCCTGGCCGAATGTCTCATCATTGAGGGCATCATACTCGTCCTCCGAGGGCTCCCCACCTCCCTCATCGTCATTTAAGTTCTGCAACAAAATAAAAGTACTTAATATTGACTTTTTATTTATTGTACATGATGGCATCTCCAAATTGTTTGAAATCAAATGTACCTATGGGGCGTAAAATATAAATTTTGAAATTATTTAACATTTTAGCAACACTAGTTACACTTTTAGGGGGCTGATTATACTGATCACTTGCTTTTTTCTGATCATCAAAAGTGTATTTTTAATTTCTGTAATCTTGTAAGCAGTCAGATGACTATGAGCAGATGGGTTGTGTGACTTGAGGCATACAGAGTTAACTCCCCAGCAGGAGCCCATCTAATTGTAGCTGGATTTCCAAATTAGTTGACCCAGTTCTAGGATCCTGAGTCAGGGACAGCCATTTGTCCTGCCAACAGATTAGGGTAGTCATGCTTTTATTAAAAGGTAAATCAAATATTCATCTTCTGTCTTGACCATCTCCATTGATGATTTCCAAAGTGATGTATACCCCGAGGAGTCCACTCCGAACTACAAGAAGTCCAGTCAGTGAACAAAAGGAGGTGCATGAAATATTTACGTGAATCCCATTTAGGCAGGTTGTGTCCAAAATCTTGGCGTTTCATAAATAGAATAATCCACATTACACAGATAGAGTAAAGCAATAACCAAATGGAGGCCAATAAATGGTTACTGAAACGTGGGAGACCTGTAGCGGGATAGGTGGACAACATTTTCATAGTTGCGGGGTGACATAGAGAGTACCTGTGTACATCTTATAATAGACATATGAAGTAAATATTGTGCAACGAACATGATATTAAATTAGATGAATGGGAACTCATACTTTTTTTTGTTTTTTTATTATCAATAACACATTAGACGATTTCAAATGTTTTTTCTGAATAAATAAAATAAAAAAAACCATATCAGAAAGAGACATCCACAAGACAAAAAATTTGGGAACCACTGGTTTCTAGATGATATTACTCCAACCAATCACAGTGAACTGCTGAGATCATATGACCACAAGACAGTGCCTTACATAGACAAATGATCTAAACATTGTAATGTTAATGAAAATTCATAGTTTCATATATCCAACAGGTACTTTCAAATTTCAGAAACTTCCAGAGTGCTGCATTACAACTGCAGGCTGAGCAGCAGTCATATTATTGCATGAATATTCAGAACTTACAGAAGCTGCTAGTAGGTGAAGTATCTATCTAAAAGTAATAAGCGTAACGTTCGAAATATCTTTACAATTTCGCACCTGTGGCAACCTATGTGGTTGGTATTGTTATTTTAAATATCAAACCAATAGGTCTTCTATAATATTACAATCCATAAGTCCCACTGTTGGCACTGTTGACCATTTGCACTATAGTATTACAATATACAACTACATTCACCAATAAAGCAAGCATAGATTGATCTAGCCCATATTTGCACACACAAATATGTGTACACATAATACATCAATAAAGTCAAGATAGTATAACTTAAATAAATAAATAAGCCAAACAATCCAATTACTTTGTTCTTCAATTGAACAAATTTTCATTTCTGCATTTAAGTTAGAAAGGCTTTTCCACAGAAGTACAGCATAACATACCAAAGTAAAGATTGATATTATGTTGAATACTACTTGGTACCAATTAGAAAACACACAAGCGGCGTGAGAAAAGAGTAAATTATACATAATTTAGTAACGAAACAACATTCTCACAATCTAACCTATTTCTTAGTAGATGATTGTTAAAATACAAGTTACTGTTGGTTTCAAAATTAACTTGTCGCAATTACACGAGAATAGCAGCGTTACAAACTATAAACAAGCTTAGATAGTAAAGAAACTGTTTTTAGACACAAACAACTCTGACAGTAATATGGTTATAGGAACGTATAAAAGAAATAATTTAAATTTTGTTGTATTTTTAGGTTTCCAGCCTTAAATATGCGACAAATGTACAGTTAACATCTTAAACAGATAGTCAAATGCTTAGAGTTGAATAAAAAACATCGGCAAATAGTAGAAAATACATATAAAATGTTGTAGTGGAATAGATATCTGGCATGCTGGCATATATTTCGAGCGCTCAATAATCAAGTATTAGACATAGTAAATGTCGTTAAATCACGTAGAAATAGATTGTAGCTTACCGATAACGAAGTATCGAACCCGAAGAAAGAATCTGCCATTGGAATTTTTCATATATCATGGACAAAATTGACATGACTTGTCATGCTACATATGTCGCAATGGCGATGGCGGCCATTACTGTCGTTGCATGGAACGCTCGCCAGGTGGCGCTTGACTTGATGTTGCCAATAAATAATTAACTAATTTTACTTTTTAAACTAAGTGTGTACGAATCAAAAGCCAAGTCACTTTAATTGATTTTGAAACTTACAACCAAAAGAAATCAATCTATGGGTAAGAACATTCACAGAAACGATATGTTCCTAACTAACACGGCAGAGCTGATGCCCGATAAACATAAGGTGATCTACAGTCAAGCTGGATCAGGAATGGGTAAGAGACTGAGTGTTAATCCAACACTTGGGATAAAGCCCATTAATGTCTAAAACCGAGAGCAAACAAAATATTTGTTGCAAAGTGAGTTTTGCTCAAATTCAATGATATTATTACAAAATGTTTATTTCTTTCTGATCTTAGAAGATCAACATTTGCCTTTCATTTGAATCGATTCGCTTGAAAATCGCATTGAAATAATTTGATACAAAAAATTATTGAGTTGTAGGCACGTGACATTTTCGCAAAATTCGAATCTTAATGTATAACATATTATATCCTTAGTACTGAGATTAATTTTTGCAAGGTGAGTATTGAGTGGCGTTGCCTCTTTCGTCTGAAATAGATTTCTTACATATAAATTTGTAATAAGTATGGAATTATTTCGTATTCCATATTCGCCTATTCAGTCCACGATTTTGGGCATTAATGGTTTAAAATCCGCCGCCTTGGGTAAAAATTCGGTGAAAGCCCGGGCGCGTTGATTGGGTTTTAACCCACTGCCCATCTCTGAGATGAATATTAATAATCGTAAGCGGTAACTCCACGCAGATAATTCTAAATGTGAAGCACTGACAATATATATTTTAGTCCTTATTTTAATGGCTTAATCTTATTTAAATTAATAGTATATATTAAATAAATAATACGAAATCGGGTAAAACGGTAACATCGAAAAATGTTTACACTCAGTAGCGTACATTGATTGGTATTATTTATTGCTCATTTTCACTAGCAACCAATTGGAAACAGCTGTTGTTGTCAATATGCGACTGTAGGTTTTTTTTCCATCCTCTAAGCTGTAGGTAGCCGTTGTGACATTTTGTCGCAATGAAAACTATTTTCGTTTGAGTATTAAATTAATACTCGATGGACGTATCGCCCGTTTTGCTACCTTAATATTATTAAGACCTAAATGCCTTTTGTCTCTGTCCTCTCACCCAAAAATATATCATATTCTCTGTAAATTTATTCACGTGAATCATATTAAATTGTAAATATTGTTCGTATATTAACACTATATTTATTAGTAACAATTTGTGTTGTCTAATTTGTGCTGTCTCTTTTGTTCTAGGGATCAACTTGTGCAAAAATTTCTTCGATACTCCCTCTGAGTCACTTAACACACTTTCCTTAAACATTCTCTCCATAATGTTTATGAACGGACACTGGCAGAATTGAGACAAATTTTAGTCTCACAAGCCATACATTAAAGAAAAAAAATTAGTGCCTTTGCCTTTTCCAATGGAATAAACTATTCTGTATCTATGGAATAAACAGTAGCAAAAAAAGAAAAAAATATATTATGACATTGATTTGACAGGGATTCGCTCTGGACCTTTTGGAGGGAAAAGTGTCGTTTTTATTTTGACTTTCAATTATTTTGTGAAATCTAGTTTAAAGTGGAATAGGATAGTGCTATTGTGCCTTAATCGAAGATTAAAACGCGAAATTATACGAATCTCGAACTATAACGAATTTCGAGTCAATCCCAGCACGCCGCTTCAAATTGCCTATCCTCTTTGTGGCGGCCATATTTACAGAAAAACTTATTTTTATGTTTTCGGCTAAAGGACTTTGTTTCCATGGCCAGCAATAAATTAAAAAATAAAAATTATTTGATTTGACAGAAGTGACAGAATTCATGTGAATTTGCTACAAAAGTGAAAGTTTAGTTATTTATTATTTTTTGACGTGAAATAAATATAATTAAGTTCTATTTATTACATTTCTGTTCTATTCCAAAAGGAGACCAAATTAAGGTAAAGTATTTTTCATCATAATCTTTATACTTAGTACAAAACGTGATATATTTGTAAGTCTGGTCCTCATACGAGGAATGATAGATTAGAATTTGTAAATATTTTGAATAATTAAACAAGGAAAATAGGAAGGCAATCGTAATTTACATTTTATTATGTTCAAATTTAAATGAAAATTCATTGACCCATTTTACTACATAATCTTTCGATTGTTATTTTGTAAGTTATAAAGTTTCTAACTATACCCTAATCTACATGATAATAATCGTGTTTAAAACGTGATTAAAAAGAGATACGAAAACTTTGTGCCGTTAATTATTGTTACCTACATAGATGTGCCATGACTTTAGGACACAGAGAGAAAGTATTTTAAATGTTGTGGGTAGTTTCAGGCAAATTAGATTTTTTTCAAGCCGGGTGCCGCGCGCTTGTTTTGCCTTACGCACTACCCGAACACACCTACACTAAACATTAAGTATATACGTAAAACACCTGCAGGATATCCTGTTTATTCTTTATAATAAATAAACAAATTTTCCCCACTGCTTCCAATGACTGTTAAAAAGTTGCTTGCCTTATCTAGGAATCAAACTGACCAAATGTGAAAAAAAACACCTGTACATTTACGATGTTGATGGAAAGAGTCAATTGTAAAGATTAATTCCTTTTAAACAACAAAATATCTTATATTAAATTTGATTTACATTCTTCTAAATAACAGACTCAATCAAAAACCAAATTACAAAATTCCCAATAATAGAATCGAAAAAACGTAGAATGATTTCCATAGAATAAAAATATTAAAATCAATATCACAATATTTGTTTAACTTAATTTTATTGTAAAATTTATTGTTAGAAATGCTTGTTTTGGATAGATTAGACACACATAGGGTCGTATTCTAGAACTCTACTCAATGCTCAAGTCAGGATTGCAATGGAAACACAAGCACTGGAAATACGAGCCTAATGGAAGGGACTTGAGTTTGATTTCGAGTGCTTTAAACCATACTCAAATCGTGACTTGAGCATTGAGTAGAGTTCTAGAATATGACCCATAAATACTTATTATCATAAGTAAGACCAATTACATAGGCAAAGACATCCTTATTACTGACCCTAAAAATAGGAAATAATATCTTATTTTCCTATAGGTATACTGAGGTATACCATTGTGCAGGGCTGGGCAGTATTTGAATTACTTGTATTTGAAATACGTATTTAAAATACAAATACGTATTTTGTATTTGTATTTCAATTACTCCCTAAAAATGTATTTTGTAATTGGTATTTCAAATACCTGACCGTAATGTATTTTGTAATTTGTATTTCAAATACTTTCGTTGCAAAATACATTTCAACAAAATACTTTTTTCTTTTCAATGTACAGCCTATTTTGTGACGTGCATAGATTTATATCAGTGTTGGGCATTGATAATGATAATATATTTATTGCAGTTTACATAATATATATAATACAAATTTTACACTATATTACGTATACATGTAATATACTGTAAGGGCATAGCAATATAAAAACTTATAATATGGTTTAATTACATTTCAAGCCTTAGCAATAATTATTATTACAAAATTTCTTATTATATTTCTTATCATATATATAAACATATTATTAATTGTACAATTATGTGTTATACTAGTTTTAATTCGACCATAATAACATTGCATTTACTCCATTATATAACATTTTATCTACTTCATTTTATTTATTTATTCACATAGTTACAAGATATTGTTGCACTGTATAGTAAGTTTTATTAGAAAGAATGTTTTTTAAGTTATTTATGAAAATACTTGTTTTATTTTCTTGCTTTATATGCTCCGGTAGTTTGTTGTATATTTTTATCGACATTGAATATGGGCTCGATCTATGCATTTCCAATTTTGAGAACGGTGTTACAAGATTATTTCCGTATCTTGTGGGATGGTGTCTTGGTTCGTCTCGCAGTTTAGTGTAAAATTGTGGGTACTTTTTTATAAATTTGCAAACTTCCAAAATGTAAATTGATGTTAGGGTTAAGATTTTGTATTTTCTAAAGAATGGTTCACAGCTCTCTGTTCTTGATATATTTGCTAGTATTCTTACGCAGTTTTTTTGTTTAATAAAGAGGTCATTTACAGTTGTACTATTGCCCCACAATATGATGCCGTATGATAGCCATGCATAAGCGTACGCATAGTAAGCACTTAGGGCAGTTTGTAAATTTGTTGACTTCTTTATTTCTTTTAAGGCGTAAGTAAAACTAGATAGCTTTTTTGTGATTTTTTGTACATGCTGCTTCCAATTTATATTTGTATCGATATCTATTCCGAGTAAATTAAATGTATTGACGGTTTCTATTTGTATTTGGTTATACGAAAAATTAATATTTAGTGATGGTTTTTGATAGGGTCTAAATTCTATAATTTTGGTTTTTGTGAAGTTAATTTCTAAATTGTGATCATTCATCCATGTTACAATTGTAGTTAGTGTATTATGAAGGGTTTGATTTAAGTGGTCACTATTTTTACAAGAGGTTAATATTGAGATGTCGTCAGCGAAAAGAACACATGAATCGTTTATTACTTTTGGGAGGTCATTTATATAAGCCAGGAATAGTATGCACCCAATGACGCTACCTTGTGGTATCGAATTGTTCATGTTTTGGGGCTCAGATCTGACTTGAGTTATTTCCCCTGTCTCATAGTTATAATGCTCGATTTCTACATACTGGATTCTGTTTTCTAAATAGGATGCGAACCATTTATGAATGTTACCTCGTATACCCATTCCGTAAAGTTTATCCAGTAAGATATCATACCGAACTTTATCGTATGCCTTTGACATGTCCAATAGGATACCGATACCATACTTTTTTTCATTTAGTGTATCCAGAATCTTTTGCATAAATTTGTAAGTCGCAAGTGTAGTTGAACGATTTTTCCGAAAACCATTCTGCGACTCATCAAATATATTGTAC